ACTCAGCCAATCCATCCAACAACGTTAGGAACATGACCCTCAACGACCCTTCAAAAGGAATCGTTCTTGACCTCACAAACAATCACCATTTCGATCACCATCAACTGCCACTAACAGCAAGCTCTTCCTCCCATTCCTCAGCTCATCAACAAGCTTTTCCATGGATGCCAAGCAGATTAAACTACCACAATGCCAACCCTTTACCAAGCAATGCATTTGCTACCTCCAGGACAAACGAGAGAGAATGGAAATCTGATGAAGACAAGTCACTAGCTGAAAATGTCACAGCAATTGCCTCAGATCCTAAATTCAGGGTGGCTGTTGCTGCTGCTATTACATCTCTAATAAATAAAGAAAGCCAAACCACTCATCCTATTCCTATTGCTTCTTCTTTTGTTGGTAGGGAGGGAGAGAGTGGGAGCTCTAGTACCAACAATTGGGTCCTTGAATCTCTCTCGGGAACTGGTAAGCCCATTCAGCATTCACCTTAGAAGTTAGTAAAAGTTTAATTATTTTGGGCAACACTTTGTTTATTAAACTTTAAAGACAGATATTAAAGGGTATATACAAAGGTTATGTACTTTTATCTTGTCTACATTTGCTTTCTCCCTCTTTAATAAGACTTATACTGAAATATTTCCTTTCTGATTTTCCTTTTCATCTTCCTCTTTTTAACTATTGAGGTTTCACAATTCATGTAATTTAGACTAAATGTAAGATTTAACAACATATATAATTATTAAATTATTATTCTCCAACTTATCTTTTAATTATTTTTTTAAAAAGTAACTCATTGATAAATTGATGAATATTGTACTTTTACGTGCAATCGATCTTTCTGTTTTTTTGTAGTGACCCTTTAAAGGATCCCTCTTCTCCTTTTTCCTTCGGTTTTGGTTTTTGACATGTAATTTTCTTTTCACCTCCTAATAAAATCTTCATTTCCTTTTTAAAAAAATTATTTCTGAAATTTATATGGAGGTATTAATAGTCGAAAGTACTCCCTTTCTAGTTTTTCTTCTAACATGCACTAGGGCTAAGAAAAACTTAATATTCTCCATTGTCAATAATATAATCATATGAATTAAATGTGTGCTTCACTAGTTATGGTTATGTTTATTTCTAAGAGCAGCAGTATGGATTGATTAGTAATGTTAATATATAAAAAAAAAATTCTTATACAAACTGAAAACCAAAAATTTTATAATTTTTCAATATTTTTGACTCAATAATAATAGGGTAATGAACTTTTAGCATATATTATTATAAATAGATAATTTTGGCATGCATGCAGTTTTGTAAAATGTTAAGTTCTAATGAAATTATACAGAAAAGGGTTCAGCAAGAACAAATTACTATATTAATGTGCGGAAGTTATTAATGAAATTCAAATCTCACTCTATAACTATTTGTAGTTTGTAATTTTGTAACAAGTTTACATGTTTTTTTGATAAATACAAATTTAATTATTAAAATTTTAATTCAAAAAACCAAGTGTATGTTGTGTGTATATATATATATGAGAGAGAGAGAGAGAGAGTTAGAGAGAGAATATTGAGCAATGCTACATCAAGTCTCGAACCAGCAAAATCTCGAGACAGTGAATGGCATTGTTGTAATTCCATTTTTTTATTAAGACAAGAAAATGCTTTTCAATATATATATATAGATAGAGAGGGGAACACATGCTATACATATAATTATTTTGTCTAGAGTTGGGTTCCTCTATTTCTTCTCTTTCCCTAAGTTACATGTTTGGTTGGGGAAAAAGAAAATATTGAGGGACTATATATGAGAAACTACATATATATATATATTATCAACCCAACAATTAAAGTAAATTTGCATATTTCAATAATCTAAACACAAAATTTTTGGGGGTTTTTTACACTTTCTTTATCTTGCTTCTTGTCAAACCCTATATTATGTTTATAAACATCAGATGTAATTGCCACGTCGAACAACAAATCCTGGCTGTAAAGATTACGGCAGAATTCGGTGCAATATACCCCTTTTTCTTTTAGTTAGGCAATTGATCGGCTTGTTTACAGCTGTGCCTTGGATGAAAAAGGGCAAATGGCTTTGGCCTGTTTGGTGTGAAATGTTGGTGGAAATCCTCTACCCTCTTGCATGCCCAGTCTATATACGTTAACATGTTTTTTTCAAGTAATTGAAATGAAGAAAAGATTTTAATTTAATAGCAAATTATCATTCAAAACATTATTTTTATAAGAAAAGAAAAATCAATGATGCTTTCCTTTCAATAATTCACTTGCTAAAAAAAATAAAACAATTATAGGAAATATTATTATGATCATTGACACTCATCAAATTCTTGGTGCCCATCCCTTTAGCACGACTAGCTATCAAGTGTTTTCAACAAAATGGAAGGCAGCACATGTGAGTAAAGAAATGAGGGAGGAAGAGAAGGAAAGAAAAGGGAATAAGGGTTTTTTTTTTTTAATTGGAGAAGGAAAATTTGAATTTTACTTTTTAGATATGATGTTCGGATCCGAAAAAAGAGTGAGGATTCGAGTTTGCTCTTTTCTTGGTAATGGTATAATAAACGATTGAGCAATTAATTAATTCAAGATTTGTTCATTGGAATAATGTCATAATACAAGTTAAAACACTCCCAAAATTTATTTGTGATTTTTTTTGGTCTAATAAATTATAATGGATTTTAATTGACATATAAAAATTGAGACATGCAAAAAAATGTGTTTATTGATTTAATTAAAGCAAAATCTCTCTCTCACTCTCTTTTATCAACTAATTTCAGAAAATACACGAAAAGAGTTAAATAATTGATGAGAGAAAAAAAACGAATCATCTCTATTTCCTATTAAATTTTTTTTGTCAAAAAACCTTTTTAACAATAATTTATTGTTAAGTTAAAGGGTTAACGTGACAAAACATTGTGATCGAGACAGAGAGCGAGACACTTCTCGAACTAGAAGATTTTCGTTCATGAATTATTTAAAATTTTGGAGGGTTATAATTCTATTTTTTTATTTATTTTTAATTAGACTTAAATTTGACAAATCAAAATTATCTATGAAATTTTTAATTTTGATCCAATAGTAATAAATGCTGAACCAGAACCGTACGTTTTAGGGGAAAATAATTGCAAAGGGTTAACGGTTGCTTTCAAGTTTCAACAATTGGAATTATCGAAATGTGTTGATTTTAGGCGACCTGAGGTTACGTCCCTAATAGTTCAATAATTATTGTGACTGAAGTGCCCTTTATAAAGTTTATATTCTTAATTCAAATTAGGCCAAGTTATTATTATGACCTAATTAATACCCTCAACAACCTAAAATGCTTTTCATCAATTGGGAGATATATATATATATATATATATTAAAATTTAACTTATTGTAATATTTTTTTTGATTAAAAATGTTTTACTAACAAATTTAATATTTTTGTTTAGATAAATTGAAGAAAATATTCATCGTAACCCACCTTTAAAATTTTTTCATCTTAAAAATTTTTTCACCATGGTATAATAACTATCAAGATTCATTAATTATGTAGTATATACATCTATTTTTCTTGGATGAAAGACAGAAAGAGATGATAGAAGGTCTATTTTTGAACAAATTATCTTACATAATTTAATTTATACTTTTAATTAGAGAATGAACAGAAGATAATTTATATGAATCAACAAATTTAATTCCATTGATCCAAAAAAATTTTATTTTATTTTTGCATTTTTTTTCAAAACACGAGAAAATATTTTTTTTTTTTTTGAAAAGCAAATGGAGCTAAACAATACTTAATAATTTTAGTTATATAACATTTTATTATATATATATATATGTATATATACATACACGCTAACTATATATAATCATTAACTCGTAGATTTTATACATCAATGCATGTTGTAGATATCATAGCGTTGAGGGGAATCGTTGAATCAAAGACTTGGACTTTGCATAACTTTTGAAATAAAATGATTTGATGAATGAAAACGTCACCAATGCAAACATGTGATCATGGTTACAAAGAAAAGTGATTGAACCCACATTTTTCATGCTGAAATTTGGGATCAAATTATAGTAAGTTGCATAAATAAAAGTTATACATGTTTTGTTAATTCTCATTAATGGTATTTGTTAATGTTATTTGAATCTGTATATATTTCAAAAGAAGAATTTTTTTTTTGTTAAAAAAGAGAGATTCAAACTCAATTTCTTAAATAAAGATTCATGCACAGAAGTTTATAATTACATAATTTAATCTTATGTAATATAGAGTTCTTAACATGTTTGTAATAATATCTGAGTATTTGACTAATTAGTTAGTACATGATTGTTTGCTTAAAGAGTAGAGTTTAAATCCTCTTTTTAAATTAAAAAAAATATTTGTGATAAATAATTATGTTTTAAAGGAGTTTTTTTTCGTAATTATCAAAAATACTTACGTAATTATCAAAAAATTTTAAATAAATTTTTATTATTTTATATATTTAATCAAACCCTTACGTTTTTATTTTAGATCAAATAGACTAATTGATTAATTTTAATACAATAAAAGAATAAAAATTTATTTAAATTTTCTAAAATAATTTATGAATTTTTTTAAATATTATATATATATATTTGGTTAATAAAAAAAGATTCGAGCTCAATTGTCGAATAAAAATATTCACACACAAATCGAAACTTTAGTGAAATTCTTTTGATATTTGTATATATCTATTTTTAAAAGGAAGGTTTCCAACTCAATTTTTTTTTTTAAAAAAGTTTCATGGGTCAAATGTTTAATAAATTTTTTTTTTCAAGAAGCTTTGAAAAAGTTCGTGAAGATGAATTTAATTAATTAAAAAAGAAAAAAAGTATATTAAAAATAAGTTAATCAAGGGGTTGTGACTTTGTATGGCTTTGGGCTTTATGGGCTTCTAACCCATTTTTGCAACCAAAGACCTCAGCGGTAGATAAAATAAATTTAAATCCCTATTTTTTTTTAAATTTTTAAAAGGGGAATTAGACAAAATCCCACGCGAGGGTTTTCGCGCAAGGCAGAGCTTAATCTTTCTCCCTGTTTTTTCTTCTGCGGAAACAAATAAGAGGAATTCCAAATGGGAAGCACCGCCGTGGAGAAGACAGCAGAGGAGCTCCAGCGAGAGATCGATGAGCTCCATCGCCAACAACGCGAGGTTTCTTCTTTCTTTCTTATACGTACAACGCTACGTATACCATAAGCTGCAGTTTTGATTTTTATTTGTTATTTGGTTTGTTTCGTACAGATTACGGAGAGGCTTAGAGATCCTCGGGGACTTCGAAGGGGAGGATTGTTGGGCATCAGTCCTCGTAACCTCGCCGCCAATGGCGCTCGTCAGCGAGGATTTCTTCGACCGGTATGCCTTCATTTCTTTGCTTAGCTTATGTTTAGGGTTTAGGGTTTTTTAGATGGTGTTAACTTTTGTTGGTGATAGGCGGATAGGACTGATGCAGAAGACCAACCTCCGGCTAAGAGGCGATTGTCGTCTGCTGTTGTCAAGGTAATCTTTTTCTTCCTGGGTTTTCGTTAATTAGTAACTGTTAAGTAGGAGTGGACTGAGTTACCTAGCTTTTCTTAGGTTTTTTCCCTTTCTTTTTTATGTTATTGGTTCTGAAACACTCAATTACGACGTTCTTGATTTGGGAGTGAAGGTTGAAGATGGAGAGATTGTCGATGACGCAGAAGCGGCAAAAGATGTCAGTGACACGGCTGTTGAAGGGTCTGTTGCAGTAGATCAGAGTGATAGAAAGCTGTTGAGTCTGCCGCAAAGTGGTTGGTCTAGAAGGGATGGAAATCAAAGACCAGTGAAGAAGGTTTCTTTGCATTCTAATTTTCATTTTATTGAGCTGTGGCATATTTTTAGGTGTGGGTTTTAATACTTTTGATTGTTGTCTTTTGATGTTAGGTCACGCAAGCTCCAATTACAGAGCATGTTCCGAGGATTTTGCCCAAGGATGAGGATCCAAGCTTGATTAATAGAAATAAGAGAATGTTGGGGCAACTTTTAGGGACTTTGGAGGTATTCATTATGTAGTTGCTGTTTTAGCAAATTGGATGCATGAGGAGACATGTTCCAATAGATGGGGAATGTGTATTATCAACCTATTTGCTAATTGTTTTTATTTTGATTTCTTTGAAAAAGTTTCCTACTCAAGATTGAGATCAAACTTTCCAAACTTGTTAAGTAAAGCAAGTGTTGTTTGTTTACTAGAGTAATGGCTTTTCCAGAAATTGTAAACTGCAAAGTTTCTCAATGGTTGGGATGTAGTGCTCCTTTTCATTTATTGTGGGATTCCAATTGTAGCCCGCACAAGTTAATTATTTGTGTTATCATGTTCTAAAGTCCCTTCGGTTTTTTTTGAACAGAGCGTTACCTTGTATTTTCTGCTAGTGTTAACTCTATCTATCTGTAACTTATTGTACATTCATGACAATATCATTTTGTGTGCATTGATTGCAGAGATTTAGGAAAGAAGATGTGCAACTTTCAGGGTCCGAGGCATATATGCGGAGGTCAAATTCTTTGCAAAGAGTAAGTAAATGTTCATTCATACTATGATGTCTACTTTCTGATGTGAATAAAGTAACTTGTAACTGTTGGTTCTTATTATGAGCAAAGCAGTTCGTAGAGAATATGACATAGATCATTAATTGGCTTGGAAAATGAATGTCGGATGACTTTGTTTTCATGAAAGTCGAAATTTTATCTGTCTACAATTTAAACGAATGATAAATTGGACGTTTAGGGTTTTTCTGTAATAAGGGTTTTTGCTGTTCACTAAATTCTCTTCTAGGCTGAGCAAAGAGCACGTGAAGAAAGTGAAAAGCTGAGGCAACAAGAGCGTGAACAAATTGCAGAAAAGAGGAGGAGAGATCTGGTTTGTCATTGGTCATATATATTGCTGTTAGTTAACGTTGATGTATGTTTAATTTAGAACCAGTTCTTATTATTTTTGTTGCTTTTCCCCTCTGTATTTCAGACTCTGAGGGCTCGTGTGGCTGCCAAGGCAGAAGAAAAGAAGCTGGAGTTGTTGTTTCTTCAGTGGAGTGAGCACCACAAAAAGCTTAGCAATTTTATAAGGTTTATCTCTTATCTGTTTTGGTATGCTATGGTGTTGGTACCTTTTGGACATAAAATTTTTTCTGCTTTACTATCCTCTTTGACAATGAAGAGCTTTAGTATTAACACCCTTTCCATATACCAATCTGTTGCAGGTTATTTTTAACTTTGGTCCAAAAGTGTCCATATTCACAATTTTATTGAGACAAAGATAAGTTTCTGTTCATGTGCATAGTAGTGTTGAAGCAACCGAAGAAGTGAATGTTCCTGCTTTCTAGGATTTAGGTAGACTGAAACAATTCTTTTTTTATCATTTTCTTCTCATTTTGATTGCTTTTGGGATGTGTTTCAGGACTAAAACAGAGCCTCCAATATATTATTTGCCAACTAAACCATTGGATGAAGATGCAACCATACATGAGCAGCGAAAAGATCAAGTAAGTTCTCTCCCATCTTTGCTGGGGGACATTGAGAAAAGTGGAAAACAATTTATAAGGAAAACCAACTTTCTTCGCTAGTTTTTTGTGAGAAGCTACAGTTTCTGGGAAAAGGTTGCATGTTTTACTTTGGCTTTTGAATTGTCTTGATGCTATTATTACTTTTTCAAATTTTGGTCTTTTAGAGTGGCAGGGATAGTGTGTATCAGCGCTGTGCTACACTAGATGCACTCTGTTTCTGAAAGAATTCCCTGCAAAATCAATTGTTGAGGAAGATGGGCAGTTGTTTTTCATCCTAGTCATTGGAATTATCAACAATCATCTTCCAGACATTACTTTTTCACTCTTTTTGGGCGTTTCCTCTTCAAGGAGGAAATTTTATTTTTTAAGTTTTCCGGGAAATACTTGAACTGGAATCTGAAACTAGCACTCAACAAGTGACAAGAGTTGAGGGCAAGTGGACGACTTTGACAATAAAGTTAAAAAAAAAACATGATTTCATACGTAGAAAAAAAAGTGGAGTTTCAGTCAGGTTGTCTAATATTAGTTTTCTATTATTATGCTAATATTCCTGATAAATTTCTCTTTGCATTTGCATGGCAGGAATTTTTAGAATGGAAGACAGCTAGGAGAGAGGAACTGTCTGAATATCAGAAACAGATTGGAGAACAATATGTTGCCAATGTTGAAAAGGAGTTGGAGAGGTGGCAAAATGCAAGGAAAGCAAGGAAAGCAAATAACGACATGAACCTCCAAGAAACAATGGACAAAGAATTGGATACCCATAGACTTGAGCATGGTCCAAAGAAGAGAACGATACCTGGTGGAAACAATGAGGATGAGGAGGATGTGGAAGACATCAATGTTGGGGAGGATGATATGATGGATGATGTACTAGATGTTGATGATAATGGTAGGAGAGGAGATGAGACAGCCAAAGCAGAGCCCGACCACACTAGTCCACCCCCTGATAATGTTGATCAGCAATGATTGTACCCATTTTCGTAGGTCAATATTTGCTTAGATCTGTTTTGTTTTGTTTTGTTTTTCTCTATAGCTTTTTGCATGTTTCCTCCTTTTTATTTGTTCTTACCCTCCTTGCGAATTACAAAGTAGATTTTGAGATGCTTCAGTTATGCCAATTACCATTTATTTAAACAACAGCTGCAAGCTAGATATGTAGAAATTTATAGTAGGTTGCTATTCTCTATGTGCAAATTATCTAATATGAGCATTGAGGTTTGGTGTACTGGTTTTATGTTTTACTTAATTGTAAAATCTTTCATCTTTTGTCTTTATTGTGATTCTCACAATTCACAAATAGATGATTAATTATTATGATAATAACCATTAAGAAATGTCGTGAAGGATTAAGTCAAATTGCGACAATTTTTTGTCAATTTGGGATGAAAAAATGTCTAAACTGTCTCTAGACTTATAAAACATTTTCATAAGCGGGTATGTTTTAAGTTACGGTGATAGAAAATATTAATTAATATTAAATTTAATATTTGTTAATTATTTTTATGGATTAAGAGTTTGTGTAAATATGTTTTCAAGTTTGGTTGATAGAAAATATTAATTAATATTAAATTAGACGTTTGTAATTTTTTTTATGGATTAAGAGTTTGTGTACATTCATACAAAAGTGAGTCTTTTTCAAATGTAAATTAAAAACAATTTTGGGTACAAATGATTAATAAAAGTTTTTAGTATAAAAAAACATAGGGATTCAATTGTATAAGGTACATAGTTTAGGGGTTTCTTTGTTATTTAAGCTTTTTAAAATTTAGATCTTTCCATTTACAATAAAAGCCCATTATCACCGACCTAATTTAGCCCACAATTAAAACCCCGAAAACGGTATTCCAACAAGCCCATGCCCCAAAAAATGAAAAACCCGGAACCCGACCTCACAAAAATTTGGGCCCCAAATCCAAATTACGGCAACGATCCGAAACTTACTGGTGATCGTCGCCTTAAACCTTCCAATTAGTTAAACCCTTTTATTTCCTTCTCAGTTTCTTCAGAAAGTTTGAAAGCCGTTTTACTCTGCAAAAGTGGAGGAAAGGAAGGGAAAAAGCGATGGCCGTGGACAAAGATAAGCTTCAAGAAGATGCCTCCATTGTTCGTTTCTGTAAAATAATCCTTGGTTGGGACTATTTTCGCCTTCTTAAATTTTCCAATGTACGTCTCCCTCTGCTCTTCTCCATTTGGAATATCAATGGCTTTTCTATTTTTATATCTATTTTTTTGTGAATTTTAGTTCTTCTTTTCTGAAATTGGAATCAGAAAAATGGCAAAGATGTGGCGGCTTCGGGTTTTAAAGAAGTGAAGGCTACATACAAAGACGTTGATGATTACTTGGCTACTTTCGAGCCTCTTTTATTCGAGGAAGTCAAAGCTCAGATTGTTCAGAGAAAAGATGAAGAAGAAGGTAGGGTTTCTCTGTTTGGTTCGTGAGAAAATTTTGCCAACTCTCTCTCTCTCTCTCTCATGCGTCTGCATTAAGCATTGTAGTGACGGATTGGAAGCTGAGGCTCGTTATGGAGTGCAACGAGGCCGATGGATTTCATTTACCTGCAGTTACATATGAAGCGGATGAGGAAGAATCAATCTCACAGAATGATCTCTTGCTGCTTTCAAAAGAGGAGGTAATTAACGCTTTGTTTGGTTGTCATTGGTGCTTTTTTTTTTTTAGCTTTCTAGAAAGTTTGCTATGATGCTAATGCTAATGATAGATAATGAGAACATGACTGATTAAACAAATAAACAAATTACAAATATCTAACACCAATTCTAATATTATTATTCTATATAAAAGTAAAACAGGCATTTTTTTCTTCCAAGTAAATTTTCATAAGCAACAATCAAAAGGGACCTAAAATAATTCACTGTGTCATGGTTCCTTTATTATGCTATAATTGTATAGGCACCACATTTATTTGTACAATTCTATCATTTGTTTAATGTGTTGTTGGCTTATATTAATTCAGCTAGTTTAGTGTAGTAATGGCCGAAAATATAGTTCAGATCCTAGCCACGTTAGTTATATTCTTAATCATGATCTTTTTGGGTTATTTGGTAAAAAAGGAAAAATGTTGAGAGGGAAGAAATATGTTGGATTTTTTATTATGCTTTTGCTTCTTGCAGTTTAAAGAGGGCACTAAGAAACTCCCAACAACATATGCATTTGCATTGGTGGAGCATAGACAAAAGAATCAGCTTCGGCTCAGAATGTACTTGGCTGGGGAGTTCACACAAGTAAATCCTGATGTTGAAAAAAATTCTGAGAGGTTGATACGTATGCAAGCTCTTATCACTTCTTCTGGCACTGCACTCGAGAAACACTTGTTCAGTATAAAGGTAATCAGATATCTTCATGTTTCCTGCTTTGACCATGCATCAAATACATTTTATATATATATATAGATGGAGGTGCATGTGAATCCAATCTTTGCTGAGGCATTAATTAATGTAATATGTCTTGCAGATTTGTAGTTTATCAACTATTGCACGGGAATACATAGCTCTATGTTCAGTTGGTTCTCTCCCTTTCAAGGATTTAATATTGAAAGCTGCTGAAAGAGATTCTGGTTCCAAAGACCAAGCCTGGAAAATTTCTGGATCCCTTCATGAGTATTTTAAGGAGAATCTTAATAAATCTCAACAGGAAGCTATAGATGTGAGTCTCTAGTCAAATTATTAATGCTAGTTATTCATATGATGGCCATCCCTCACTCCATTTTTCTGATTAGACTGTGAAAATTTTAGCATAAGCAACTAATTGTTTGGATTCTTCCTTATTATTAGCCTACTCATAACCAAATAGTTATTTCATTCTCTCTGTTGCAGGCTGGTCTGTCTCGTAAAGCCTTTGTCCTGATACAGGTTCAAAACAGCATCTTGCTTGGTTTATTCTATTTGTGCGTTGGCTATTTTTTTTTTAATTCTAATATAAAAGAACTCTTCCTTTCTCTTTTAACACTTCCCCATGCCATTCCAATTTCTTAAATCATTTAATTCTTTTCTAAAATCTGTTATGAGTAAGCTATTCATTTTAAAGTAATGCAGTCACTCTAAATAAATTGAATAAATGATTTAGATGGATTTGAGAATAAGCAATCTGTCCATGCCCTATTGCCAAATGTGCACAGAATTGGTGCTTTTGATTGAAGAAAATAAGAGGTGAAGTTTCGATGTATAGGCTATCTGATGTCAGTGCTTCACATTGAATTGAGTTGTAGAAAAGAGACTGAAAATTTTGATGATTTAGCTGCACCAATTTTTTTGCATGCATTTTTTTTTTACTTTGAATTCGACACCTGGAAAATTCCTGCAATGAAATTGGGGGTTAAAGTCGACTTGTAATTTCATTTCTCCAGCTCAGTTGGAGAGGTATATTGTTTACTTTGTTGGTAAGCATTATTACTTTTTGTTATAGGCACCTAGATTGAGTATATAATAAGCTCCTTATTTTTTGTTTGCTGTCCTTGTACATTTTTTGTAGGGTCCACCTGGAACAGGAAAAACACAGACCATCCTTGGACTTCTTAGTGCTATTTTGCATGCAACTCCAGGAAGAGTGCACTCCAAGTATTAATTTTTCTAGCTTTCTTTGTTTTCTTAGATCTAGGGCAATGCTTCATATTTAAGAATAAACCTAAAATTGTATATATTCAATACTAATGTTTTTATCTGGCCATTGCAGGAGTGGCTTGCTTGAACTAAATCGTGGACCGGAACTACCCATTGAAGAAAAGTATGTACTGATTGTTAACTGAGGACTATCCATCTTGTTATGTCTCATGCAGTTCACAGTTGATCAGGGATGTCTTGAATTATTCTATTCTCTTCCATACACGTTTTCAGCTGCATTTTGCATGTAGAAATATTTTATGTTCTCCTCAAGTGGACATTGAATCTTAAAATGGTTATGCACCTGAAAATGCTAACCTCATATGTTCCTATAAGGAGAAGGAATATATTTTTCATTTTCTCAGAGGCATAATTTTAAATATTTTCCAGTTCCAGGTCAATATAAAAGGTCACGTCCAATGATGGTCTTAATTTTTGCTTTCAAGAGAAAACTTTCTAGTGTTTCTCAGCGTAAAATTTTATTATACAATTGAGTCTGACATGCCCATTTTGTGCTGACCTATTGAACTTTAATGCTTTTGCATTCTGTAGATACAAGCATTGGGGATGGGCTTCTCCATGGTTGACGGGTGCTAATCCCAGAGATATTATCATGCCTATTGATGGCAATGATGGTTTCTTTCCCACCACTGGGAATGAGTTGGTAGGCTTAAGTCTTGCTATTGGTTTGTTTCCCTGTGGCAAGTTGATCGATTATCATCAACTAACTTTAATTGCTGTGCAGAAACCAGAAGTAGTTAATTCCAGTCGGAAATATCGCATAAGGGTGCTAGTATGTGCACCATCAAACTCTGCTCTTGATGAGATTGTTTTTCGCCTTCTAAAAACTGGTATGACTGTTCTCACTTTCATGTACTTCTCTAGAGAAAAGAGTCAGTATAAATCATAATTCAAAGGCAGTGGTACTATTACACCATTTTTCAACATTCTTCAGTGATTCCTTTTGCTCTTCCATTATACTAGACTTAATCATCAAGTTTTACATGGTATGGTTATCAAGGACTACATTCATTAACAACTTAACTCAATATTTAACTTGATTTATGTTCCATCCCAACAAACTTGATTTAATATGTATATTTAATCTTTTGTGTGTATTAGATTCTTGAAAAAACATAAACGAAAAAGAGAGAGATTAAAGAAACTGGGTGTTCATTTGAAAAGAGCAAATGAAACCACTTTAGTAGGCTTGCTTCGGTAACAAATTAGTTTGTTTGAGTCTAGGTTTTGATATCATTGTATAACTGTGGAAGTGCTTGACTAGGTATTTGATGTTGTCAATTTTGTTTTTGTTTTTGTTTTCATTAATTGTTTTGGAGGGTAGGGATTATTGATTGTTTCAAAGTTGTCTGAAATGTTTTCAAGAGCATGTTCATATTATCAGAATATCATTTCTGATATAGTGTTACAATAAATTATTCCTTTTTTTTTACAGGTGTTCATGATGAAAATGTTCGCGCATATACCCCTAAGATTGTGCGCATTGGTCTTAAACCACACCATTCTGTTGAGGCAGTCTCCATGGATTACCTCGTATGTATCTAGTTTAACCTTCAGAACTTCATTATTATTGGTATGATGAGCACAATCACTCTGCATAAGTGTTAGATTCAAGTTCTTATGAGTTTCACTTTTCATCCTATATCTTATTAATCACAAGGCAAGCACTGTCAACCCCATCAAAACATAGGAATTTCTATCAATTATTCTAGCTGTCTTCATAAACCTTAAATGATATAATGCATTCACTAGCCAAAGGAAGAAGTATTTCTGAAAGGCGTCTGGATGACTATAATTCAATATTGATACCAGAAATTCCTTTGCAGGTCAATCAAAAGCGTGACTTGTCTGGTGATAAGCAGAAACAAGGGTCCACCGGAAGGGATTTGGACAGTATTCGTGCTGCAGTTTTAGATGAGGCTGTGATTGTAAGCAAATCTAACTTGTATTGTTTGTGAAGTCCAACATATGGTTATATTCACTGCATCTGTGTACTATCAACAGGTCTTCTCCACTCTCAGCTTCAGTGGTTCAGCAGTGCTTACTAAACTGAATTCTGGTTTTGATGTTGTTATAATAGATGAAGCTGCCCAAGCTGTAAGGGTCTAAAATCTCTTTTCTTCTTGTTGGTCATGATTGTTTGTCTTTATGTGAGTGTGATCAATAAGCTGTTTCACTTCGTCCTTAATCTGTTGTCTTTTAGTTTGTCAAATTTCAGAAGGAGCAGAACTACTAGATAGTTCTCAAGATTATGTTTAGCCAATGTTGGACATTGTTTATCTGTTCTTCAAAGGCATTGCAGGAACCTTCTCAACAAAAAAAAAAAAAACTTTTGCTAGGCAGTCACAACTCACAATTTTGTATCCCTAGGAATACATTTGCTAGTGATTTAGATGATGCAAGTCTTCCTCTTCCCCATTGTTCTGCCATCCTTATCTAGTTATATGTTGAACAGGTGGAACCTGCAACTCTTGTTCCCTTGGCCAGTGGATGCAAACAAGTATTTCTGGTATAATTGTGATGCATTTTCCCCCTACAGCTTTTTATTCTCTACTCTCATGGTTTAAAAATGTTGAATAATGATTGTTGTATTTCTCACAGATTGCTGTGAATATGGTAGTATTTCTTCATCTAGCAGTTCCTTGAGATGGAGAATTTCTATTTTCTTACAATTTTAAAGCGGTAGGACATAAGTATTAGGTAATTATAACCTGGAATTCATAAGTTATCATCATTTTATGTGAGTGCATTGAAAATTGATTAACTTAGAAAAAACGGGTATATCATTGAAATTATTAATAAGGTGGCAGAGTTAAGTGTTATAGTGTTGAAATGGAGATTACAGAATCATTAAAATGGTAGTGCTGGTGATAATGGCAATAACATGCCTTTAAAGATTGTGGCTGGAGATCTTTGGCAGGTGTAATGGTGAGATTAGATGATGCTGGTGATGGTGATGCTGCTGGCCATAGTAGTGGCCATGATAGTGATAATGGTGGTTAGATGGGAATATAAAATTGATTAAAAAAATGTATGTTTATGGAGAAAAGCCATGATATCTGAATGACAGATTCCATGTGAACTTTGCCTTGGAAGTTACATTTCTAGTTTGCACCCATGGGAATATGCAAAGTCCATAACTCCCCAAATAAGGAAAATTGACATTTGCAACTTTCAAATCTCATCTCATTGTGAAATTTCTTGTAAATATCTTCATTCTACAGTCTAAAAAACCATCAGGGCTCATGTGCCAACTGTTTGATATTTATATTATCTACCATTGCATTTGCTTGGGCAATGTTCTTAGTGCAGCTTATTAATGTACTAATTTTCCTTAGATAGGTGATCCAGTTCAATTACCAGCCACTGTAATTTCACCGGTTGCAGAGAAACTTGGGTAAAACACTAAATTTTGTGCTAAAGGTGACTATTTATCTTGTAGCCTCTCTCTCCCTCTCATACACATGTCTTAATCTTGAAGCTATGGCACGAGTCTGTTCAAGAGATTTCAGAGGGCTGGTTATCCTGTAAAGATGCTTAAGACCCAGTATAGAATGCATCCTAAGGTACGATGATAAATATCTACCGAAGTTACTTATCCAAAAATATATAAATATATACTGAAGCCTTAGAAGTTATGTTGTTAACTAATTATTATTGAGCTGTAATATTTTCTTCTAACAACCAAAACACTGGTGATGTTTCACTCCAAGGATGTCAATGAACATGTGGTATCCAATTTGGTGGAAAGAGATCCAGTTGAGCAGATTATAGATAATCGGATATGATGTGCTGAACTGGATCAATAATGTGGCAGCTTGAGATTATGCACTCTTTCTTCCAAGTTTATTAGTGTTTAGTAATGGTGTCTGCTCTTATTGATAGTGCTTCTTTTGCATCATATAGTTGTCTGTTTCAGATTCAAGAGTGTTACTTAATCAGGCGGCGAAGTAACCTCTTACAAGTTGCTTTCGTACCATGTGTCATCTTCACTTGCATAACCTATTATTACCAAGATTGATGAAACATATCACAGTTAATGCTCCTATTTATGAGGCTGCCAAAAGCATCCACTTGATAGTTCTTCTTTGAGTTGATCTAATCTATTTGTTGAACAGATAAGAAGCTTTCCTTCAAAGGAGTTCTATGATGAGGCACTAGAAGATGGATCAGATGTTGAAGACCAAACCACTCGGGACTGGCACAAATACCGCTGCTTTGGACCATTGTGCTTTTTTGATATATATGAAGGGAAAGAGTCGCAGCCCTCAGGAAGTGGGTCCTGGGTAAATATTGATGAGATTGAGTTTATTCTTGTCATGTATCATAAATTGATTACCATGTATCCAGAGCTCAAGTCAAGCTCTCAATTTGCAATTATAAGCCCTTACAGACATCAAGTCAAGCTTTTACAAGAGCGGTTTCAGGATACTTTTGGGGTGGAGTCCAAAAAAGTTGTGGATATTGGTACCATTGATGGCTTCCAGGTAATCTCCTTGCTCCCTTCTGTATAGAGCTGCTTTCATGCAATTATGTTTGGTTTTTCTTAGGCACTGTCAAGTAAATTTTTGATAATTTTACAGTGACAAGTGGATGTATGATTTGTAAAAGCTAAATTCTTGACGTGTGGTTCATTTTATCTTCATTTGCTCCTATGAATTCATTTGACATGTAACAATGTGAAAGTCCCCAAGAGCACACTTGACCAATTGCATTCATATCTTGAACTATTTCATCAGCCAGCATATATGTAATAGATGTAGTTATAAAATGTCGGTACTTCTTAAAAGCTTTGAAAATTGGTACTTAAGTTAATTGATAAGTTATTAGTTTACAATTATGCCTGGCTTGCCAGATCATGCAAGATGTTTTTGAAATTTATTGAAGTATATATCACTTTATGTGATTGTTGCTTAATTCTGGTTAATATCCTGCACAATAGATCTTAAGATTGATGCAATCTTTGCTTTTCCTTTCAGGGACGGGAAAAGGATTTTGTAATATTCTCTTGTGTTAGGGCAAGCAAAGATAGAGGCATAGGCTTTGTGTCTGATTTTCGGCGAATGAATGTCGGAATCACCCGAGCAAAGTCTTCTGTACTGGTACTATAATATACTAAGACTAGCCTGAGTCGCTCCTTTGGGTAAAAACATGTACTTCACCTATTTAGTTGTTTCTATAGGTAGTAGGTTCAGCATCAACATTGAGGCGTGATGAGCATTGGAGCAACCTGGTAGAAAGTGCCGAGAAGCGAGGATGTTTCTTTAAGGTGGAATTACTTTCAATGAATTATTTGAAAATTAATTAAAATGTTTTCAAATTATTGTTGTGCATGTCTGTGTCAGTATGTGGAATAGTTTCATATACTAGATTTTTAAAATCGAATACCCATGGGTTCCCTTTTTTTTATCTTAATGAATTCTCTTTCAGCCTCCAAAATTCATCACCATCTTATAAAAACACAAGCTAAGAAAATTCCTCATGCAGGCAGCAAAGCCCTATGCCTCATTCTTCAGTGATGGGTATCTGGAGTCTACGAAGGTTGTTGACAAGGATGCACAAATGGTGGATGCAAATAATGCCCCTGAAAACAACGCAGCCTACAATATGGCCGGAGATGCTGATCAAGGGCCAGTGGAAGACAATGACTATGGCGATGGAGATGGAGAATTCGAAGGGGGATTTGATGATGACTGAGCACAACTTTCATGAAGGTAAGCTTTGAATGCTGAGTTAACAGTGTAGCGATCGGCCTTCCATGTTCATCTAGTGATCAAATCCGAGACCATTATTAATTCATTGTCATATAGGCTATTATCTCAAGAAGAGTTGAGGACAAGATGATGAATTGGCTTTGGGCAATGGAATGTGCTCGAAACGGAAATACCTGGAAGGTATTCACTGTCTTCATGTGAATTTCTTTTAACCCAATTGTCTTTACTGTTTTCATTTACTCTAGAAGGCCCTTCGAATACCCCTGCAGGTTGGCAAGAGCCGTTCATTCCTTTGATACTCTCTTCAAATCCAATTGCTGGTTCGAAATTGATCGCTGTGATGGGGTGGTATGCCAGATTGTTGACGAGTTCACAAGCTTTTGTATATGAATCTTAAATGTTCAAAAGGTAGTATAAACCTGGAGATAATCCTCCACTAACTTATCACACATTCATGCCACTAAAACTACTCTCGATTTTGAATGAGACGAGACCTTTCCATCCTTTTTATGAGTTAAACTTAAATCATCATTCATTTGTGTTATACAATATGTTGACATGTCACATAATATAACATATTTTCATTTGAGGTTATTAAATCACATAATTTAAGTTTCGGCACGTAAAGCATGCATCAATCTGAGGAGTAGGTCAAGTCTTTTAAATCCAGCCCTGTCAAATGTACTACCTTTTTCCAGATTATGGTTGAGGAATTTATGGTTCCTGAGTCACCAACTAATAAAAACGGCGTATGAAGGAATGTAGTGCTCCATTATTTCGAAGAAAATAATTTTCAATAAAAAAAAGAAGAGAAAATGTAGAAATTGTACAACATTGGCAGAGCGTGATAAAATATCCTACCAACTACTTTCCTACAAAAATTGCGGCCTACAAAATCAAAACAAATATTATAAAGAGGTCCCTACAACTCGACTTTCCAATCAAAGCCTTAAATAATGTCTAACCATTTGTACTAAAATGAAGACTGACGATGAACGGAAAGGAGGCGTCCAGGGCTTTTTGTTTCAAAACCTAAAACCATAATTCTGCTGACGGTAAAGGCTTAGATGCTCAAGCGGATTTCTGGAATGGACCGTCGGATCTGAAACCTTGACCACGACCACGTCCCCTTCCCCTCCCACGTCCACGACCTGCCGATCAGTGATCAGGCATAATGTTGAATCGAATATTTATACTAACAAAAATACTGCAAACAAAAAAGAAAGGCATGCATTGAAATGCAAGAGAAACCTAAGCGCTAAATTCAAACATTGACACCCACGGGAAGAAGGTTTGTAATTTTGGGATGTTGTGACAACATTTTTCACTAGTCCTTTTACCGATATGCTCTATCTTCTTTAAAATGAATAGTCAATATACACTTGCAACTTAAAAGAACAATTATAGAAATCACTTAGAATGGACCGGATGTTTAACAATGTGCAATCAGGGATTGAGCATTGTTCTTAAAATAACTCAATCCACTGAAAGGACAAAATGAACAGAGGAAAAGTTGCCAAAGATAATCTTGAGAAAATGGATTGTTTCAATTTTATTTTTTAGAAGAAAAGAAAAGTGAGCATGGTTTGGTTTTGGGATAACGTAACATCACTAAAAGTAGTATTTAGTACAATAGAACGGCAAAATTAGAACATTGGAACCAAAGACTTACCACGACCCTGGCCAGGCAATGGTCCTGATGGACCATTACCATTGTAATATCCTGAGTCCCACTGCATATTTCCACCACCATACCCTCCTCTCCCACGTCCACGGAAACCACGTCCCCTCCCACGACCCCGACCTCTGCCTACATATCCTCGCCCACCATCCCATCCTCCATTCCTGTGCTCCATCACACCATTGACATTGCCTGCATAAGCAAAAATGTAATCATAGGTTCATACGTGTTCCTACATAATTTGAGATACAGTAAGAATCTTGATAACAAACGTTTCCATTAAATCATCATGCCCAGCATCATTACCATTTCATTCCAAAAAAGAAGGCATTAAATCCAAACATACATCCTACAACTACTCAGATATGGATAAAACCTAGCAACTATTATAACCAACAAACACAACACCAACCTTCCTGTCAAGATTGTTGCCTGCACTGTCCCTTTCACCATTCATCAACAAATGCAAATAATTGAATCTTAACCTTACTCAAATGATTTGAAATCATTCTGACCAGAGTCATGGGTCCTTTAACTTTATCACCAAGCCAAGCACACCATGTTCTGAAGATTATCTCCAGAACATGTTGAAAAAGCAAAATAACAAAGCAGAAACTGTGAATGGATTTTCAGATCTATATCATATCAGATTTATGAATGAAAATCTCTTTGCCCAAACACACCTTTAATGACTCAAATTTATGTGACAGTTATTTTATGTTATTACAGAAGCCATGGTGATTGCCTATTCCTCCATATTTTTCTTGGTCACTATGCCCATATCCTTTGCCTTGGATGTCAGGGGAGGTCTCTAATTTGCGTGAAGATGGGAGTATAAATATCCATTCAGGCCACACACAGCACAAAGCAGAAATGTGTAAACATCAATTTTACATTAATGCCTCACCTCCTTCATTGTCCTCAAACTCAGCCGATGGCTTCACTTGATCAGCTGGGATTGGTGGTTGGTATCTGCCATCAAACATGTTGCAGACCAATAGAGCAGAGCATGGTCAACACAATCATTAGTAAATCACAGGGTTCAGTGGGCAATATTATGCTGGGCATCGTAAACTCTATGCAGATAAGTAGTGGTTATTTACCCTATGGAAGATGAATCCAGCTCTTTCTTTGACAATGTAATTGTGATTATTGAAACATGGCGGGTGGTTTCTAGGCTGCACAAGCAAACCATACATCATAGTCAATGAAATGTTAGTCATAACAAGAAACTTACAGCATGGACTTCTAGAAAGAATAGGAAATCTATGTTCTTACGGAAGAAGGCCTTCTTCTAGTGGTTCCCATGTGTCGGTTATGTCTATTGATCCAGTTGATGTGTTCTGATGAAGACCGACAATCCTCCTCTGGAAGAAGTTAACATATTTTAGTACAACTCAAAGAAACGGCGATTACAAAGATAAGGCCAATCACATATACTAACAAAATCACCATTTCTGACTCCAAATTGGAAATATGAAAGAGACATATATACATTACTATTAACAAACTGCACATGTTAAGAATACATTATTAACAAATTGCACGACACAATTATCTAGTAGCAAAAGCAATAACAGACATGACTTGTCAAGAGACTAATACATAGCAACAAAATTAATAAAGTGAGACATTAACCACAAATAATCAAACAATTACCTTAATTAATTCAGCAATCATGACTGTCTTGTTGATAGCTCTGCCAGTGGCTTTAAGCACAATCTCATTGGCACCTTTCTCCTACAAAACAACATGAAACCAAAGCTTTTTCAACAGAATATTCCAAAAACACCGCTCGCTTCTTCCACAACAAATATTAGATAAACGCCTTACAAATTACTCAATACAATGCCAATATCCAACAGGAAAAGAGGAAACTTAAGAGAAAGGAAAGAGGAGAAAAACCTGAAGCAGAGTAATAGCGTAAGAAATGTAATTCCTCATTCTCCCTTGAGCTGTAATCCTCAGTTCATTCTCGTTTATCGGTGTCTCAGCCTTCGGCTTCTCCACCTTCTGGTACCGATCCATTTTTCTCTCTGCCAAGAGAAAAAACGCGCGTTCCAAATCTCAGTAACCAAACCGAACCGCCGTTTCGGAAACTATTCAACGAATTAAACTTAATCCAATAGCGAAATCGAGATCTAGGGTTAGCGAAAGAAGAAGAAGCAGCAGAAAGAGTATTACCTGGCGAAACTTGGGCGGTAAGGGATGGAGCTTTAGAGCTGGGAGAGCGATTCTGCAAAGAGAGGGCTAAAAAGTGGCTCTGTTTTGAGAAGCTATTTATTTGGGGGAGCTGTAACCCAAGGGGAGGTATTGGCGGGGTTAGGGTTTATGAGAAAGCTGGGTTCCAGTGTTGAAACATGAAACCCTCCTATCCTTCCCATTATCCACTCAATGCTTGACACGTCATCCACGTCCCTCATCCTCCTTGCCAATCAGTTTAAATCTCTGCAATCTCAACCGTTGTTTCAGTCACACTTGAATTATACCGCTCGATTCGCTCTTACAATGAATAAATGGTTGTTTAAAGGGTTTTTTAATATAAAAAAAATCTTTTTTTTATTCATAACTAACTTTAAAAAAAATAAAAATTTATATTTAATATTATTATTGATGTATAATATTTATACATTATTACTTGATTATTGAATCTCACCTCGTAAATACGTAAAATTAAAAATTCAATTTTTTTTAAATTATAAATATTTTATTTTTAAAAAAATTTATGTTCAAAATTTATTTATTATGGAAACAATAATAATATTTGATAGACAAAGCTCTCAAGTTTTACTAATGGCGCTGATGGAGAAGGAAAACTATAGTTGTGGAGGTGAAATAAGGTAAGAAACTTTTGAAAATTTTAATTTTCATTACTTTTAACAAATTAGGAAGAGTCTTTAAACCTTCTTTTTCTCTTAAAGATTTTGTTAATTAATTACTGGGTTTTCTTTCCACTTTATTAGTCCAAATTGACGATTTATTTTTAGCCTGATGGGTACTATAATTAGGTCATTACAAAAATTTAACAGTCATATGAAATCAATGGATTTTATAAATTTCCTTTTGTAGGTGTTTCCTTCAATCATTTGGATCGATCCTGTTAGTACGCTTTGATTAAAGAAATCAACATTACTAGTTGGAAACTTATAACTTCGGATAAATATTAAAATTTAAATTGCATTTATTACTATTGAATTAAACAAATATTTCCATAGTGCTATCATTTTTCTCTTAAAAGAAATCTAAAATTTATCACAGTAACTTTGTAGTATGTTTAATATGTTTAAAAATATTTTACACATATAGGTTAATCTCGAGTTTAAACTCAAACTTGATTTTAGTTTAATTACAATTAATAAAATTTAAATAACATGATTATTATTCAAAATTAAACTTAAATCAAGCTCAAGTTAAGCTTAAGATTTTTACCATAAGGCACTTGGCTGTTAGTCACTTTCCTATTCTAACGTTAAAGAAAAGAATTGATCATGAACAAATCTGTGTAACTCCCAAGCCTTTCAAAGTTGAAAGGATTCCATTGGAATCGCAGCAGTGACAATGGGTAATCAGGATTTAAGCAAATAGGTTTAAATTCTAACCAGAAATGTCTCCTTTTCTCCCTCCCATCCCAAGTGCTACCTCGCATTGGCAACTCACTACAGGGGGAACAGAAAGGAAATGTAAATAAAAGTAAACATTTTAGATCTCTTTCTCTTCAGTTTAAGTTCAAGTTTGATTCAAGAATAGAAAAAATCGCGCCACGTTTACAAGGAGGAATATGCTCACCAAATGCTGGATTGCGGAGGCACCACTCCGCAAAGAGAAAGAGAAAGAGAAAGAGAGAGAGAAAAGATTTTTTGCCAGTTGGACGAGGAACAGTAGCATACATGAGTGCACATGCAACTTTTTTACATGCAGGGTTAGAAAAAAAAATTTTCCTTCCAACTGAAGAAACCATTACAAAAATCAGCAAAATCTTGGGGGTGGGGGGGAGGAAAAATTGATTTCCCACTCAGAATCTTCTCATCATCTTGTCTTTGCCTTAGCTTTGCTTCTGTAATACTCCAACCATGTGAAGAGACTGTTCTTTCTTTCTTCCCCTGAATTCTGGCCTTCCCTTATGCTTTTCTTTTCTTTCTTTCTTTCTTTCTTTTTTTTTTTTTAATTCTATTCTTTCTCAATCCATTTGTAGACAGAGAATGGAACAATGAAAAGGGAATGAAAAGCCCTGAGTTACCAATATGAGTTAGGAGGGGGCCTCTGCTTAGACACTCAATCCATCAAATCCACACTGCTTGTAAGTAAGAGACTGTTTCCTGGGACTTATCACTATAGCACAATCAACCGACACCTGCCAATGCCAACGCCAACCCATTTTACTTGTTAATAATTTCAACAGAAAGAATCAAAAACAAAGAAAATGTCTGTTGGGAAAGCATTACCAATGTCAAAGTTTCACAGAAAAGGGAATCATGAAGTTCTTAATGCATGAGACATCACGTGACAATTATGATAGAGAGATTTAAGGTCAATGAACAATGGGTCCCTATAGTGAGATGGACACAAGCTAAAAAACATTTAAAATTATTATCAAGACTGCTTCATGGCTAAGAAACGATATTCACGGGGTCGTGTATGAGATGGCAAAGAAGATGCTAAAAAAAATTGTTTCCATGATCCCAGCTAATATCCTATTATCTCCCTTTTTACACTCAGAAAGGAAGCCTAGTTTGAGAGTTTCTCTTACGCTGCAAAAGCCTCAGCAATGGCCAATGGGTAAATTCCAGACGGGGGAAATTTGAAGAGGATTTGAGGTTAAAAATTTTGATCACATAATTGAAATAATTCATGGGTAGTGGTGGATCCCGCCATTGCATAGAGGGAACTAAGTGGTTCTGAAGGATAGCCCACCAGTGACCAAAAATCACATGGTGAGAAAGGAAGCAAGACCCTAATTTTTTTTTTCTCTAAACTTATCAAAGCAAATTTATGACATTTATTCTCCTCTGCAACATGCCAAACCCAACACCACCATGCTACAATAATACAATGCATACCTACTACTGCTCTCTCCCACTCTCTCTAATCACTCCGCAAGCAAAGAAAAATTCTCATATTCCAGAATGCCCATGTCCAAAAAGTCTTATAAATCATTGGATTGGGGTTGGTAAAATTTTAATACTAATTCACGGTAAAAATATTCACAGATTCTATTGTTAGTGTACAGAGACGGCCCGAATATGGGTCGAAGGGATTGCGTCAAAAAAAGCTAGCCGCACGATGGCTATACGCCATTGGTGCGTCTCGGACATGCGCGTGAAAAAGCAAAAGCATTAGCTTTAATCACCCATTTCTATACGTGCCGAAAAGACCGTATGGTAGACACAAACGTTGAAATGCATCAAAAATTAGGTACTACATTCCTGTAAAACGAAGAGCACCGATTAAGAAAAAGAAGAGAGTATCCAAGAGAAGACAAGGAAAACAACCCTTTCCCGAGTACTGGTAGATAATAGAACCTCATCGGCCCAAGTTAGCATGGACGACGAAAACAAAAGAGCGGTGCAAGTTAGTGAAAACAAACAAAGAAAAGGAAAGGCAGAGTGGGACAGCGAGTAGCGGGGCTGTGGCTAAAACCAGCCAGTGCCGACCGACCGACAGCGGGCACCACGTACGCCGCTCTCAAAGTTTAAAAAGATTAGTAACTTAAGGCTATAATTAGAAAGAAATGAAGAAATGGGAATCGTTAGGAAAAGAGGAGGACAATGCTGTAATTAGAAAGGGGGGAATGTGCTTATAAATTTTTAACCCCGAAAAGGGAAAGTAAAAAGTAAAGGGAAGAGGAGAATGGCGTGACCTGAACGCCAGGAGAATCGAAGTCCAAGACACGGATCTTAGCGCCAACATCACCCAAAACTCTAAGCTCAACGCGGTCATTAAGGGAAGCATCTCGGATTAAATCAGCTGCATCAGCTTGCATCAAGTTAGCTCGATCGACGGCGATGGTTGCCTCCACGTTTCTGGTACTGTGAGCTTCTTGGAAAAACCCAGGGACGGCAGCTTTTCCCAGAGGAATCCCACGGTACATAACGGTGAACCTAGACTCTCCGTACTTGATCCCTACCTTATTGGGATTCACCGCTGTGAAAAGCATGTGGATGGTTAAAGACAAAGAGGCGGTCGTTGGGGTAGTTGTGACTGCGGCGGCAGTGCCGTCGAAGGCCGAAGGATTGGATGTGGAGATGCCCATGTACTGTACCCCTACTTGTTGGAGATCGAACTGGGGCTTCTTGGGCTTAACCGCGAGGACGATTATGAGGACAACCGCGAGGACGAGAAGGGCCAAAAAAGAAAAGAGAAGGAAGAGGCAGCAACAACAGCCTTTGAACGAGGCCGAGGAAGAGGAAGAGCGAGGGTAGTAAGGGTGGTGGCGTTGGGGAGGAGGAGGAGGGGCTGTGAGGCCGCGGTGTTGGTGTTCGCCGTTGGCTGTCGGACGCATTTCTCTGGCGTGGGGTTGATGGTTTGGGTTCATATTCGATGGTGGCATTTGCCTTTTTCTTCCTCTAATTTTACAAGAAAATCTCCCTCTCTCTGCTTTTCTGGGGGGTAGTTTTCCTTGGAGCTACAGTTGCTTTCTTGCTTTTCGAAGGATAGACTAGAGATGGAGGTGGGGGGGAGTGGAAGAAGACTCGGAGGACGGTGCGTGACTTTGCTTCAGAGTTTGAGAGGGTAAAGAGGGAATAAACAAATAAATAATGCATAAATTAAGGAGACAAAATAAAATATGGGAATATGGGATGCTCCTTTTTATTCTTTCCTTGTCTTTCTGTGTCTTTATTCATGGTGAAAGTGGGAACCTTTCGGTATTTTTACTGTCCTTCCGGTGCGAAACTTTATGGTAAAAACTTAATAACTAAGCAAAGAGAATTACCTTTCAACGTAATTTCATATTGAGGAAAGAAAAATTCATGTCCAAGCTTTCTCTTTTTATTGATTTCTTTTTCTATTTATGTTTTCTTTTGAAATATTGATTCTTGATGCAATTAAGGAAAATCTTTTTTTCTTGAATTATTCCAGAGATAGGTGAGCAAAAATAATTACCAGTATCTTTTAATTTTGTCAACCAGTATATTATATATGAATTTTAAAAAAATAAATTATATATGCCTCAAATATATTTATTCTCCAAATATTCATTAATATATATTATATTTATATTTGATACGATGCTAACGTATGATACTTGTACACTATCATCTAAAATATTAGTTCATAAAGATATAGAGGTACGAGTATTTGTTTTTAAAATTTTTAAATTTATTTATTCAAAAAGTAATAACATTCTATTTATATAATTTTTTAATATTGATAATGCTTAAAAAATAAATTTATATATATTTCTCATTTAATTAAGCCATTGTTTCATCTTTGTAAAAAGCTCCTTAAACATGGGCAATATGAACTACCATTAGACGTACCTTTTTGTTTTCATTTTTTTATGGAGTGGGTGAGGGGTTAATATGGGAGGTAGTAGTCAAAATAAAAAAAAAATTTAAAATTTTTTAATTATTTATGTAAAAATTAAATAAATTATTATTTTTTATTATATTTAATCAAATATTTATATTTTTATTTTAAATTAAATAAAATTTATAATTAATAGTTAATTAACTACATATTAATTAAAATCTTTTTGGTTACTTTATATTTACGTATGAATAGAAAGAGTAAAAATGGCGTGTGACTACGTCATTATATCCATCGATGAACTCAAAGTGGCGATGGTCATCATCTCTCAGTTTTTAATTTTTTTATTATTATATGTATAAAATTAGATATATATATATTATATATAATATAATTATTTTTATATTTATCCTTTAACCACATCTCATATAAAATTTTAAATTCGCCATTAATCATATTACATCAATATATCATGTCATTATCTGTTATAACATTTTAACATCTTATGTTAAAATCACGTGACATGAATTTTTATAAAAATTTATTTAATTTAAAAATAAAAATATAAAATTTAATTAAATACAAAAAAATAAAAATTATTTAAATTTTATGAATAATTCAAAAAATTTCTAAAGATTATATAAAAAACAAATGATAATTGAACCTTTAAGAATATTTTTTTATATTATCACAGGCAGGATATGTATTTCTTATGGATTAAGCATGCAAGTCGAAAAGCTGCATCAATAATCATAAATAAAGCAAAACAACAACCCAAGTTAGATTAGACATCTCTGGCTAATTTTGACATCTCCGTTACTTTGTCCAAACCAATTCAAAATTAGTAAACGATATGGATATCTTCGAGGTCGTTTCGCATCAATATTATTCAATTGCCTTTACTTAAGAAAACAGATTGGAAAGCTAAGCCTGTGTTTCATATATAAAAGAAAAAGCTCTTTTATAACCAAAACTACCACTTAAAAAGGGTGAGGGAAAGGGGAAAAGAATGAAAAGGTTGACATCGCATTCACACACACAATTGCAATTTGTGTGCATGCATCCATGGATTTAACAATTTTTTTGAATAATGTCATAATTAAAATAATAATTAATAAATTAATAAATTTATTAATATCATTAATTATATAAAATTGTAATATAAATAATATAATTAATAAAAAAATTTGACACTTCAGTAATTAAGAGCAAGAGTGGAGGCGGATAAGCCCGAAAGCTAATTGTCATAATTAGGCTGTTTTTGCAGGTAATTTACACTAATGTATGGCCCAATGTGGTAAAGATGGGTTATGGTATGGAGCGATGGAAATAAGTTCGAAAATTTACGAGTTAATTATACTCTTTCAAAAGAGTACAAGTGGTGCACCTATGAATATACTATCACAAAACTACTAGAAATCCTAACATTGATCAGTATACATAAATGCCTTTGTGAGTTGTCTTCTTCCTATCAGTTACGTTGACAACACTCTTTATATATATGAGTTTTGACAACTTATTTTTAGGACTTTTGGTAAGTCTGCAAGACCATAAAACAATACTAATAAATATGTAAAATTAAGAATATAAATACTTTTTTCCCCAATAAATAATATCAATATATATATTTTATCTTCTTAATAAACCCTAAACCTTCAAATTTTGTATGGTCCCAGCCATAAGAACCCAGGCAAGGCGAGGTCCGATCGAACGAGTACGTGAACACTTTCCAGCCCAATTTTCGTTTCAGAGTTGGTAAGGCCAACGAATGTTGTATGGGCTTTATCCAATTGTCTCATGGATGGCCCAATTATCATTAAAAAGCGAAACCCGTGACCCGTCTTTTGTCCATAGAGGTTTTAGAATCATAGCAATCTCACTTGCTAAAATGAATTTATAAATAACCTATAATTCTATATAAAATTTCAAAGACAAAAGATAAAGGTTATTAAAATTAAAAAAGCCTATTATTCTCATCTCAAAAAATTAATTTAATAAGATATATAATGTTTATAAGTTTTTATAGATCATTTTATTTATTAGACGTGAGATTGAAACATCTGAAATACTAAAAATTCTCAAATCATAATTTTTCACGATAATTTCTGGTTTATATAAAATTAAATGATCCAAGTTAAATAAAACGACATTGTTTTACTAACTCTATTTTTTTTATTTTATTCATGATAAAGGCAAAACCGCCCACGTTTTTTTTTCTTCTTCTTTTTTCACGTTAATTCAAACATTTTGACTTTTGAAAAGCACAACTGCTCTCTTCCCCAAAAGGTAACAGAGACAGACCCATTTCTCTTTTTCGTGTTTATTCAAATGCCTAAAATCATGCTTGTTGTTGACGGAATCATAGCATTTCAAAATATTATATATTATATGAATAAAAAATAATTTTTATTAAATTTAATTAAATATTTATTTAAATTTAAAATAAGATTTGAAAACTCGTTTCAATATAGTAAATAAATGCACGACATAATTAAATAAATTATCATAATACAAAAAATATTTTAGATAAACTAAATATTATATTATTAAGCATACCTGTTAGTTCTCTAAGACTATAAAAGGAAATTTACAGGCTTATAGTACAAAAAAAAAAGGGAAAAAAGAGTTTATATTGGTTGCTATTTCCATTCAAAGATTGCTATCTCTTAACCAATGTAGCGTGAAAAGAGGTAAAAAAATTGAAGGAAAAATGTTGATAAAAAGAAAGACATAGGGTGAAACCGTACCTGTGAAGTAGGAAGCGGGCTGGGGCAAGCATCGCAGACAGTGACTACCCTGTAGATGCTTCGATTCGATTGTTTCGAGGCCAAACCGTATCGTCTCGGGACGGCAGAGTCCAAACTATAAAAACGGCAACTTTAACCTTTTTTTGCCATTTCTGATTACACACTCTCCCTTCCTGCAGCGCGTGTGCTCTACTCTGTTTCCACTTTTTCCAACCCCCATCCCCATTTACACGGGCCATCTCTGAAAAATGAAACCACCGCCCATAGTTTCGATGAGTGGTAGCAAAGTTTAAATGAAAATAAATAAACAAATAATTTATATTTAATATTTTTACTTTTATTTTTTTATATTAAAAAATTTTAAAGTTTTTACCATAATTTTTATAAAAGTCAAAGAGACGGAGAAAAAGGGTCAAAGAAAGGATTTAATATTGGGTGGCTTTTTGTCCAATTGCCGGAAGGGGTACCAAATTGCATGACATTGAAAGTTTTGCAGTTACAAATGTCAAATGCTTTCAATTGAAAATTAATTCTTTTCCGGGGATGTTGAAATTCAGAATATAGTAAACCCCAATCAATGTATTGGTAAATAGAAACAAAACTTCTATCCAAGATTAAATTAAATAATAATTTTGTACATTAAAATCAGTAAAAATGTGCAATTATTACATAATTATTTGGAAAGAGGTTAATCCTTACCATTACTTCACAATTATTTGAATACTAATTGAACGTAATCTTATTGCATTAATCAAGTTTATGTTTGGTACTCGTAAAAGTCACAACTTTTCAATTAATTTAATAGAAAATGTAAAACAAATACTCATTTGGTAAGTTTTTTTTAAGCATTTTTTAATGTTATAAATTTATTTTTCATAAAGAAAAAAAATTAAAGATCTATATTATAAGAGATTTCGTGAAAATTAAAGAGAGATAAAACAATATTTAATATGACTTAATAGTAATAAAAATATATTTTAAATTCAATTAGGGAAATGAGATTAGGTGAATATTCCAAACGTTTCGCATAGCTCGGAAACTGCCAGTGTACTTTTTAAGAATCTGGATAGCGATTGAACCAAATAAGTCCGTGTAAAAAACTAATAACCTAAATAAGTAAATGACAAAAATACCCCTACCTTTATCCGATTGTGCGTCTATAGCCGCGAGTACACGTTATCCATCTCGCAGTTTCCTCCCTGCTTCCTTGTTTTCTTTGCGCTTTCTCTCGCCCTCTCTCTGTCTGTCTCCTTGTTTGCATTTAAACTGTTGGCCAGCCTCTCTGCTCTTCCGCCGTAGCGTTTCGCTTCTCTAATAAATTTTCCCTCAGATTTCGAATTCTTCCTCACACTCTTCTTTTCCAACCAATCAGCGGAAAGCCAGTAGGGAAAAGAGAGAAAGAGAGGAAATAGTGAGCAAGAAAGTGCGAGAGAGAAAAAACCCTGAAATTTCGGGGGAGTCATGGCATCGTCTAAGGTGATAACGACCACGTCACAGACGAATCCTGATGTGCCATGTCAGCCATCTCTGTGCTCTTCGCTCTCCACTCTCCTCGCCGATCTTCAAAACCAACAAAGCAATCAAAGCCAATCCCAGAACGGTTCAATGAGCATGGACGATCTTTTGAAAAACATCTACTCGTCCCCACCACCGCCACCAACTAATTCCGAAGCGCACGCGCAGTTCCATGGCGCGTCCATCTCACGCGAAGGTAGTTTCTCGCTTCCGAAGGATGTGGCGAACAAGTCCGTCGACGAGGTGTGGAAGGAGATCGTGGCCGGCGGAGGCGATCAGAGACAGGGAGGTCCAACGGAAGGGATGACTTTGGAGGATTTTTTGACCAAAGCTGGGGCGGTTAGAGAAGAGGATGTTAGAGGAGTTGTTAATCAGGTGGGAGTTGGTGCAGGTGTTTATGCTGTCGACCCGGCCGTTATCAACGGTGGTGGAAATCAGTTTTCGACGTTTGGAAACAACGGCGGCGTTGATCATCAGAGATTGGTGGCGACTGCAGGTGGAGGCGCGAGAGGGAAACGACGCGCCGTTGAGGAACCGCCTTTGGATAAAGCGACGCAGCAGAAGCAGAGAAGGATGATCAAGAACAGAGAATCTGCTGCTAGGTCTAGAGAACGCAAACAGGTTAGCCTCTACTTTGCCAATTCTATTTTTGTTTCCCAGAAAATAAAGAGAAATGGTAGTTGCTTTTATCTCATTCAAGTCTTAATTGCTTTTTGTACTTCTTTTTAAACCTGTTTTCTGCAATTAAACTGTGAGGGTTTAGTTATGGTAACTTTCAAAGTTAGTTTTCCTTTCATAACATTTTTTTTTTCTTTGTATATCTCTTGCCTTCTTGATCTTTAGGCTTATACAGTTGAATTGGAATCTCTAGTGACACAATTGGAAGAAGAGCAGACCCGGTTGCTGAGAGAAGAGGTATATGGCCCCCCTGTATGATATGATTTTAAATTATATTGAAGAATTTTAGTTGCTGCCAAGTTTAATGAATCATGATTTTCTAAATGTTTGATCAAAATCAAAAATTTTCTTGAAATGAAGAAGGCACTTTGATGGAGCTAAAACTTTTTGTAAGTTCTAGCATCATTTTATACTTATGCTAGTAGTTGGTGAATTGTTGAAAACCAGAGTATAGACATGGAAGTAATTCTAAAATAAAGTAGTTGAATGCGGTATAGGGAAACCCAAATGGTGTATTTGCAATCATTGATGCTCTAAATGTTTAATTAAAATCAAAATTTTGTTGAAATGAAGAAGGCACTTTGATGGGGGCTAAATTTTTTTGCAACTTCTAGCATTATTTTAAACTTATGCTTGTAATTGGTGAATGATGAAACCGGAGCATAGACATGGAAGTAATTCTAAAATAGAGTAGTTGAATACAGTGTAGACGAACCAAAATGATGTATCTACAAGCTTCCTTCCTAGTATAATTTGCTGTTGAAATAACAGTGATTCCCCCCCCCCCCCCTTTTTCCATTTTCATTTTAGTTATGTTTTTAGTCCAATAGTAATTGATATTTTTCATCTTGAGGATGTATGAATCATCATTATGCTCTCCAGATTGATTTCTTTACCTACTTTGCAGGCTGAGCTGCAAAAGAAGAGGTTTAAGCAGGTACCTCTCTTTATTTTACCTTTTAATTCTATTCTGTTCTTCAAATTTAAGATATCTTCGCCTTATTTTTGTGAATTAGTTCTTAAATATCCTATCACTGATGCGGTGACCAATGTTGGGGGATATAAGTATTGGTTCACCCAATCTATATGTTTTATCTGTGGGTAAAAGAACAATTCAGCGAACATTGAATAAAACAATTCCTGAAGGTTTATAGGCTGCTAATTAATGCAATAAAGTGTAGTAAATGAATTACAGTCACTGTTTTAGAAGATGGAAAGAGCAAAAGATTTTCAACAACCTATATTATATCATGTATGCACACGATCGGTTTAGGTTAAATCCTCTTACTAAATACATCATCATGAAGTTTGGTTGCTTGGATTTTGTATGATGAAAAGCTACATCACTGTAAATGTTTATATACTATGTTTACAAAGTTTATTGCAATAATAACTAATCCAACAATCTGCTAATCACTAAAATCTAGTGATTGTGATCTTCGTTTGAAACATGACGATGTTAGTAGCAATTCTGACTCCTTTTTCTGGTTCATTTCAAATGCAGCTGATGGAGAACCTGATCCCTGTTGAGGAGAAGCGAAGACCACCTCGTGTTCTTAGGCGAGTGCATTCTATGCAATGGTAGATATGGCAGCTCCTTCATTTTATTTTTTGGTCAATGACAGGAAAAAACCTTGGGTTTGGTACTTGCCATTATTGAAGCTATAGAGTTAAAAAAAGAAAACAAGAAAAACTGCAAGAACCAATTGAAGTGGGCTATCTTCTGAGAAGGGAAAGCAAAGATGAAACAGAAGAATACAACTGTGTGGGGATTATCTTTTGGGATCAGTTGGGACTTTCTTTTGCGAAGGAAGTCCAATGCGGTTGAGGTCTGGAAGGATCCCGTTACCGTTGAAGATGGATGGCAAACGCTTTTGGATTTTGCTTAGGTATTGTTGTAAATAAAAATGAACCCATGTGTATAAAGTACCTTTTACCTTGAATCCCTGTTGGAAGGGGGAAGTTGGTAGGCCTGAGCTTATCTAATACAAATTCTGATTATAAAAATTCATATGATATTTGAGTTAAAGCAGCAATGTTCTGACAGCATCAAGGCTGACACCTTCCACCTCTACCATCTTAACAATCATCACTGCCACTGTTAAATTTGGCAGCAAAGCAACCACTGATTCCACCATTGGAGTTTCATGGTTAATCTGCATCAATGGGAAGCAAAAAGGGTTCATTTCGATTGGCAATTTCCTTCAACGTTGCATTCCCTTGTCCTCTATTTATCAGAAATTTGCTAATTTTGCTTAGGTATTATAGATCAAAAACGTCAAGGAGAGTAGCAAGCAAACCGATTGACCATTCATGAATTAACGAGGAAGAACAAACAGAAGTGAAGAAAGTTTAGAGTTTACTATGTTGCACGCCGCCATTCAGGTGGCACCCAAAGATAAAAATTAGTTTACAACAATACAACAGTATCAATTTTCCAGCCTACTGATGATCACCCTAAAGGGAAGAAATGGCAAAAGAGAAGATAATGAAGATGAGAACAAGAGAAAAAAGAAAGAAGTTAAAGATTGTCATTAATCTTTTATGTGTTTTGCTGGCCACAATCATCCGTTTTTGTTCATTCTATTCACAAGCCAATTTGGTGTCAAAGCTGCTCAGGCAGATTGCAAAAGCCTGAAATGCAGATAGGGGATAACGGTAATCCATGGTGAACATATCTTTGCCGACCTTGCCAAACTGTAGGATTATCTTATCGATGTCAGGTGGGGCTGGCTGAGATGGAGTGGGTGCACCAGCAGCTGGCTGCGTGGCAGCAATCAACTGAAAGTTCTTCACGGATGCCACGGTTACCCTGCCACGGAAATTCAGGCACCAACACTGTAACTGCTCGTGCCATCTAGGGGGCTTGTTTTTGAGGATCAAGGGTTTCATTTTCCCGTCCTCCTCATCATCATGAGACACACCAATCTCCGAAAATCGAGAGCTGCTGAACTCAACAGAATGGTCAAGAGACTTTGAAAAGGAGATGCTCCGGAATGAGTCCTCCAAAGGGTGGCGTAGAAGCTCAGGCTGGCCAGGGACAGAACCACCCACATCAAGAGCTGAGGCAGGGATAGAATGCATGATGCAGTGCATTCTTCGTGGCCCCCGGGTACCAAGAACATTTAGTTCGTAAGTAATCTGAGCTATGTTGTAGCTGCCAGTAGGGACTTTAGGGGAAACTTTCTTGGAGTAAAATCTTCGACTTGTTCGGCCTGGTGGAGGAACATGAGCAGAGGTACAGGCTGGCTGGGTGTCATATATTATGAATTTTGTGCCAAGGAAGTTTGACCTGGAACAAGAAACAGAACTAGTTTCAAATATATATTCCATAATCATGAAAACTTGTGCAAGTTATGAAGGATCTTTCCAAAAGCTAGCGTCCGATAACAAAGACAGTAACAGATAAGGATGGGTTTAATTTCCAAGTTCATCCTGTGAAAGGTTTTCCATTTACACAATAGAAGAAAATTTACCGAGCTCTACAGTAAAAAATTTTAATTGGTTTATAAAGCAGTGGTATTCCTCTGAACAGAAATGAAGTATCCATATTAAAATGTCACAATTTCCATTTCACATTCATACCTCAGCTTTCCAATGTAACTGCTGCTTGATCTTGAAATATTGTCAGCATTCATAGAAATGATATACTCTGTAGAAGTAGTCCTGCGGGTCCTTTTTGCAGAAAGAAGGAATTTCCCATTTTCAACTAGCAATGCTGCAAGAAAAAAATGATAAGACAATTGTGGTTAGATTAGCAGGAACAAAAATGAAAAAAGCAAAAACCAAAAGAAGGCACTTAAATGTCTGCAGTGTGATGGACAAAGAATGCCTGTCCACTATTTACTGTGGAGCCAGGAAGGAAGCTAATTTGTTATCCTCACTAGGAAATTGACTAATGAGTATCTGAAACGGATTACAACTGCTAGGTCTTGTAAGTGAGTGACAACAGTGCTTCTCTTTATATTGAGAAAGCTCTCTCTATCAGCCAAATGACAGAGTGAATACACTCATTATCAGGGATTGTCTCACAGCCCACAAGAGTAGCGTGAACATGTGTATTGCTCTTGCTCACCTCTTTATTCTAGTATGTTGCATATCATTAACCATATTTCAGAACTCTTTTTGACACTTTGGAAACTTTTATACCAATGACCACAATGCTAATACATTTAAAATGCATATATGCTGCAAATTTAGCTCTAAATCTATAACTTGTGAACCAGCAATCAAGTATAATTGTATATTAAATAAATTGCCACATAAAAACATTAATGATTCAGAACCAAATAGAAGAATTCTGTTTTGCAAGGCATAGTCACATTCTTCCATTTCAATGGTTGTTTTAAATGAAATACTGCAGATTATATCTCACATTCAAGAGTAAGTCTGACAAGTGTCATTGACACAGACACAGCGCATGTATTTCAGCATTTCGCATACAAATACACACAACAAATTAAAATTATACAGAATTATATATAACATGCAATCCCTCGTGTCAACATATGGTATACCAAAATAAGATCAATAATTCAATGACATCTACATTTAACAAAGGCAACTCCATTCAACAAACGGTTGGAGAGAATCATGCTTACCAGGGCTAAGACACAGAAAGAGATGATACGTTAATTTAGATTTATCCCTTTTGATGAAACACTGAATGGTTCCATCGCGTGGCCCAGGCTGAAAAGGAAAAGTCAAACAAGACAGTTAAGAGTGGCCATCTTGAGTTCTCAATGTAGTAAGAACTGATAACACGTTTCAGCATAATCTCTAAATAAATGCAAATATACAAAATCACAGTCAACTCAAATCAGAAAATAAATGATCCATGTTCAATGAACCAAAGATCCTACCTGCTTCAGAGACACAGGGAAAGTAAGCTTCCCACAGAATTCAGGACTCTTCACTATTTCTTTGCAGATGACTCTCCATGATCGGCAAACTGATGCACAAGCAACAACATTCTTTCGAGCAGGCCACGTATTCTCACTCTCTTCCAACCTCTTAATCACATCAATAAGCAGCTCTGGAGGGAGATTCGCCCAACGGCTGTTCTGAACTACAAGAGGCTCATCATGCAATTCATGTAAAGAACCATGAGATTTTCCTCTGTGATGCCCTGTCAGTCTAACATCAAAGCTCCGTCTAGACAAGCTCCCAAAACTATCTCTCACATCACGAACTATGCTACGGAACGACATTTTTCAAGCAGATAGCAAAGTCAGCTCAATTATAATATCTCTTCTGAAGCCTTCTGATAATAATACTCCGCCGATGATGTGCCAGCGGCTGCCCACAGAAGAAACAACTTAGTACCCGACACAATTCTACTAGTTAAGAACGAAAGAGAAGGGGAAAAGGAAGCAGAAAGGATACCAACGAGAAAAGGAGAAAAAAAGAGACAACCACTAAGGGCAAGCTTCACATGGAACCCCAGCAATCTAAATAGCTAAAACTTTAATCATATAACAAGTACCCATTTTTCCTAAACCAGATAATGTAAAGAACCCGCTCAGTCTATTAACTTGGTTTATCCACCACAAACATGACAGAAATAACATCGCTTCATAAGCATTTAAGAAGAACATATATATTCCCTGTTCCACAGAAAAAAGTGTGCAAAGATCTCCTGCTTTAAGAATTCCGGAGACAGTCTTCACAGGAGAGTTTTTCAAGTTTTCCTTCATAACCCTCTCTCTCACTCTAACACCGAGCATTTTAAGAAGAAAACTAGAAAGGAAAAGAAATGGCGAAGGAATTGTTTTATATTTTAGTAAAAAAGCAGGCATCTGGAGAAATAAAGAAGGAACGTTACTGCTAGGCATCTTGGAAACTTGATTAAGCTACAACTTCCCATCTAAATCAAGCAAGCAGTAAATAATCTAAGCATTGTTGCTAAGTCAAAGTATGTATTTGAAGAAGGAAGATAGCTACTTCCATCATTAAACCAAAATTTTCTCCATAAATAACCACGATTTAGCTAAAATCATAGAATAATCCCACCCCGAACGAGCAATCTACCTACCATAAATTACACCCCACAAAAAAAAAAAAAGAAGAACAATTTACCTTCCAAGAATCAAGGCCTTAAATCTCAGGGCTGAATCTAATCAAAACACCATAGCTGTAGCCTCAAAACACACCAAAGATCTGCACCAAAGAAAGAACAAATATTTGCAAACAAACCCAGATTATTATTCAAAATCTTATCCCTCTCTAAACAAAAAAGAACAAAAAAAAGAAAAGGGGTACGTTGAACTGGGTTTACAGCATGAAATGAAATCTTAAAAAAGTACGTTGAGATCCGTTTTCATGTACCTGAAACATGCAGCGAATCCAAAGACAAGATCAAAAACAAAAAACCCAGACAGCTTTTTCACATAACAGAACCAGAAAAAAAAAAAAAGATGGTGGGTAGGGGATCAACGTCAGAACTGTTCCAAGTAGAACAGTCTTCTCTTTCTTTTTCTTCTTTTTTTTTTAGAAGTCTTCTTCCTTGTGCCTACTCTCTAATCTAATCCGGACTCCACACCCACATTAAATTCAGCTCACGGGCTACCGAGCCAAAAAATAAAAAACCAAAAAGGCAACTCTACAAGTTTCTTTTTGCTTTCTTGATTTTTTTTTTATTTAGTTCTTTGGGGTCGATGTGAATATTTTTCTTTAAATAAAATGAAAAACAATTTTATATTGGGTTCATGAGGCAAAAGCTACAGAGCTAAAAAGCAGGCTCCAACCAACGACTAAATGCCATGTTTGACTTTGCCGTTTGCATTATCTGACTGAGGGAAACGCCATAGATTTTTTTTTTTCTTTCTTTCTTTACTTTCTTAGGAACCAAACAAACCAAAATTAACTCTGAATTTAACGTCTATCTCATTTTGTTTTTTTTGTTGGTTTTCTCGCACTTTAAATTGAGCTTTACCCATATTTATTGAAAATTGATTGAACATTATAAAAATTAGCAACCTTGTGTATGTGATCTTAGTCCTTTTCAATCCATTTACACTACTTAATGACAAATAAATTACCATTGATGAATACCAAAACTTGCAAAATCACTGATCATAAATGTTTCTTTACCTCATTATGACATCTAAACCTATCTTTCTTGGATTTAACAACATGACCACGATGAAAAGAGCTTACATTTAATACAAATACAGTATTTATATATTATCATTTGATCGTAAATTATCTCTCAAAATAAAAATACATAAAAAAACAGAAAAAATAATAAAATATTTTTGTTTTTGTTGAATTTAAAGCTTGATAATAAAACAAAGAAAAAGAACAAGCAGGGCCCACCACAACAGAGACCAGACAGCATACACACAAACAAATTAAGGGGCATAAGCAGTTTGGTGAAATCAAACCCCTCTTCCTAAAGCATGCAGCCGTGTAGGTGACCAAAGAAAATATGTTTTGAATATGGAAATAAACTGGTCAGAAAAAAAAAACATAATAAATTGCTTCATGTAAATCAACTTCTTCGATTTCTGCAAAAAGAAAAGAACATAACTCCTTACCATGATAATGACACAAAATTAAGTTTAGAACACTATAATTTTGTATTTTAAACAAATTAAATTCATTAAACTTCCAATATAATTTGTTTAATTAATAATATTATTAAGTTAGTTTATATCGTATGAAATTATTTAACAAAAAAATAATTATGTTATGAGATGTAACAGTGTAATAAAATATTTATATTTGTATTAAAAATATTAACTTCATTTGTCATTCAATTGTTAATATCGTAAATACCGTCACTAATACAACATGACGACATGGATTATTAATAATAATTACAATTATATAAATATTTATTTATTTTCATCAAATTTAATAAATAGGAAAAAAAGTTAAAAAAGAGTAAAGGGAAAAAATCAAGTTTTTCAAGTGTTTTTTTTTTGGCTGACTTTGGCGCCCCTCACGGTGTGATCCCACGAACCTTTCAAGAAAGTGAAACTAACTTTATAAATAAATAGAATAATAATAAAAATAAGAATAAAGGGAATTAAAATAAAGAAGGGGAAAAAATAATGGGGAGAAGAATAGGGTGTTTGTGGATGTATGGTATTACACTACAGCGGGATTTGACTAGATCCGGACTCTGTCACGCCTTTTCAACGCTTTTACCTTAATAGCGTCAATCGCCATCGATGGAGCATCAGTTGGTTGTGATTGGTTTTTGACTTTGATGATTGTGGGGACCCCTTTACTCTCCCGTTCTCTGTAGGGTTCTGGTGGACGCAAATTATGGCAAAGCCACGCTGCCATCATTAAGCCTATTTATATTGTGAAATTACCACAACGCCCTCACTAACTTGTTTTTATCATTTAAAAATCCATGTGGTTAATGTAGTTTTTTTTTTTAATTTTTTATGAAATAAATGCAAACAAATCTATTTTGTAAATTTGATATAATTTTTTCTGATAATAAAATTCACTTACTTTATTACAAGATTCAAATATAAAATTTTTTAAAAGCACAAAGACTTATATTTTAATCAACCAAATAAATAAATAATCCTTCCTCAAAATTGTATTGAATTTTCTATTGAAATTTGAAATTTAATAAATTGTGATGAATATGATCATTTACTAATTGGTTTATAAGTAGTGTAATAGTCTAATTTTCCAAATTGATAGAATTACTTTACGAATTTATGAAGTAATATTCTGTAATGAAATAATAATATTTAAATATTACATATTATCAACATATCTTATTTTCAATTTTATCTCGTATGCTTTAAAATATCCATACAATAAATTAAAAGAGTTAATTTTTATTTCCTTGTGGGTACATAATCTAACTTGATTTCTTCCATGGAAGCATTATGCTTTATTCAATGGCATCAAGTCGATAAAGATCAAAATACATGTTGATTCGATGCACTCTCGATGCCCCCTTATGTTCCAAGAGCTAACCCAAGTTCCCTTCTAGCTTGGAATCTGCATAAACATGATAACAAAGCAAAATTAAGTATTCTCTTTACTTTATTTTATCGAAACAAATGATTCCTATTAAACATTTACGATTCTCATTCGAGAGTGATGATATTCAAATATTATATCTCAAGATGAGTATTAATTGATTCAAATCAAAATAATAAATTAAAATCGATTAATTCAAATCAAATTTTTTATTTTAATATTAATCGATTAAGAAGAACAGTCTATTCGATTAGTATAGTCGATTTTTTCAATATTCAAATTTTACAATTAAAACTGATGGAAAAACAGACCATTATTAATATATTTAAAATATACCTAAAAAATCTTATATTCAAATTGAAATAATTAACCGAATCAATTTTGATTTTTTTTTTTTATAGTTCGATTTGGACAAATTTGGGCTATTAGAGCCTACTTAATTAATTGGGCTGAACACACTAAATAGAAAAAGAGTGATGGGGACAAGAGCCCAAACAAGACATCCTAGAAGTGGGCAACCTAGACATGTTCCAAGCAGACAAAACTCAAAAAATATGAAGATAAGGCTAAGTAAAGTGAGATCGACAGACGGCTTACCTGGACCGCACTTTATCTGGCACTTTCGTTCACAACGCTGCATAAGCCTCGCTGCATCGAACAAAAGAAAGAACAAAAACCATAAATAATTTTTTTTAAAAAAAATCCCGATTGAAAAGAAAACACAAGCCATGGAAACCAGGCTACATAAGGCTTGTTGCAGAACTTACTGTTGCTCTGTACGCAGCCAGTGGAACAAGCGTCATAGCAGTCAACCTGTGGCTCGACGTTTTCCATTTGTGAAGTGATGATGCAGAAAATAAGGACTGCAACTATCATCTTCTTCTTCATCATCACCGTTTTTTTCTTTCCGTGCTTTGTTTTTCTTTTCCTTGTGATCAGGATATTGAGGAAGGAATGCTTGTTTCAATCTTGGGGTTGTTTTTATTTATAGAAGCGACAGATTGAAATTTACCCATTAAATTGCATTGAACTACTTATCTGCCATGTGAGTGATAGCGGCCAAGCCCCACACGGGCCTTCCCAAGCGGTGGCAGCCGCCTACTTTGAATTTCCTAATACAGTAACAGCTCCAACAAATGTTGGCTCTTGCATAGGAAAACGATATTTAAAGATAAAATTACTTACAATGGCATAAGGATTTCTGTAATGAATCAAAAATTGCCAAAATTGATGTAGTTTGACTGAACCAATTATTGATTGTCAACCACGAACTCTAACAAGTTCATTCAAGGTTCTTGTGTTTCTGTCTGCTAGCTTCTCCTTTTATCTTTCCGTCACCTTCATATTTCCTTTCCACTAGGTGAAACCTTGGCGGGTCTACACGTTGTTTTGATTGTTATTAGATCTGTTGCCATTTGGAGAGTTGACAGTGATCTCGGTGGATTCATCACCTGGGGGGGATCTTGTTGATGGCCCTTCTTTGCTTGACGCTGCTACCTTCTCCATCTCCTTGCCTTTACCCCAAAGCACAACATACAGCCCCAGCACTATTAGCACTGCTCCCATTATACTGTAATGCAGGAGAATATGTTAATGATTTGTAACTCTCAATTTGAAATAAGTTCAGTGCTCTGATTGGTACCTTCCCAGATACAGCTTTGCTCCTAAAAACAAAGTCTCCACCGAAGCAACTAAAACAACCATTAGAGGGTTGAAAATAGATCCATAGAGAGGGCCTTTGATGCGGACACACCAACAGACCATAACACATGTCAATCCAGACACTACAATTCCCTACAAAAAGAAACAAACACCATTAAGTTAGCACCTTAGCTATAATGGGTGAAAGATTTTTTTATCACTACTGTAACACTCTCTCTCGTGTGTTGGGACAACAGATTTATCATAGCAATAAGAAAGACATCGACGAGAGACCCTTGTTATATTTATATGCTTAAGAGTAACGCACCGCATAAGCAACAGTGAGAAGCCTAATATTCCATCCTAGTTTCCACTGGCTCCAATCTCTTTCTGTGCAAAGTGCATAAACAATTGATTGTATTGCTCCCATTACACACATCAAAGCTGTAGTCGAGTAAGGGCATGGGTATTTTTTACTCATCTTAGCCTACATCACAAATGCAGATCTTTTAAAGATAAGTGTGACAATTACAATCTAAATTTGTTTGTGAAGTTGAGTTGAAATAAATACCTGAACGATCAACCACAAAGTGTAAGTGATGCAGCTGGTAAAAGCCAGCAAGGCGCCCCACAGAGTATGGGCAGAAGCTGAATGGATGAAGCCCCATGGCCTCCATGATGCACAAGGTCAATTTGAGTTGACCACATCTTGATCTGTACTCCTTTGTAAAATGTGAGAAGCATTGCCCCTCCTATTCCTATTAATGTCCCAAGGACTTTTGCCTTTCCTGCCATTGTTCCAAAAGCTAGCTTTTCCATTCTGTGATAAAATTGATCGTGCCAAACATGTATACGGTGATTAATTTATGATTCCATGTAAGAAAAAAGACATTGGGAGAGTGAAAGATGCAAAGTGCATACCTAAGAGAAACAGCAAATATGAAGGTTGTGACTGGAATGAGATTGGTCATGGCAGAAACAAATGTTGCAGATGTTAGAGCTAGGCTTGCTATGTACAAATTCTGCGATAGTGCTCCCCTGCAATAAAGGAGAAGACGGGTCTAGACACATACATTTCTTTCTTCACATACAGCATATATACTAGGAAAACTTACTTTATTAAAGCCTTGGAGAAGTTGGTGATCTAACAAATACTAGTAGATAGATTAAAGATGACTTGCTTTAGGAAAAAGAGAACAAGAGATGTAAAATAAGCTGCAAATGAGTAACTACAAGGGTCATTGCAAAGGGATTCAATTAATTCAGGTGATCCAGAAGAGTCACATATATGGAAAACAAACTTACCCAAATAACCCACAAAGAAATGCTTGGAAGAGTATGGCCCAAGTCAGTGTTGGCCTCTTCCTGTGTGTGAGAGAAGAATTCAAAACATTATAAATCAAGGATTAGTGCATATGTATATCGGGGTTTTTTTCATAAAATATTAATACATTATATTTGATACATTGTCAACATGTAGAATCCATACATTATTAGCAAACCAAAATTTATCATTTTATTCCGATAAAAAGAAACTTATCATATTGTTAAGATGTAAAAACTTAATTAGTTAATTAATTCCTTTTACAAACTTAATTAATTACCCGTCCTGTCTCATATTTATTTGTTTTGTTTTGATTTTTTTTGTCAAACTAATTCTATTTTAGCTGCATCTTTCAAAATATCACTTGGGATTTAAAAAATTTTAAATTCGAGTTTAATAATATGTCAAAACATGGTTTAAATTTTAAAAGAATACCAGTCAAAGTAAAATTGTTTTCACAGAGAGGTCAATCTGAACCAACAAATTAGGGAGTGAGAAATATCATTATCTGCAACCGAAAGATATAACAATTAAGCCTTAACTAAACTTTCTTTCCTTTTATAAGCTAAATTAAAAACCCTTTCTTGCTAAATCTGATTGCTTCCAAAAAAGAAATGCTAGCTTTGATTCTATATATGTAAACACCAAATGAAGACAGATGCATTTATAATATGTTTAACCTTCTTTTCTTTTTCAAATCTTTCGGATTTAGATCGATTATTTTACTTACGACACGCTAACATGACAAGAAGTTAAACGAGTTTAATTCGTATTTCGTATCTTAAACATTTTTTTTCTTATCAAATCAGTTAAACTTTTGATAAATGGCAAATCACGTCCAAACAGTGACTCATCTATCTATACAATGGGAAGAGAATATCCAAAAGAAAAGGAAAAGAAAATCCCAAATAACATGAAGAAGCATGAGAGAAAAGGAACCATCCCAAGGAAAACAAAGTAGTACTGCTCTAAATTGTGAAGACATTTTGGTGAAGCTTTCATGTAGCATGAGAGAGATTCATAGACAAGAACAGCAGAAGAAAAAATAAAATAAAATAAAATCCCTTTTGTGCTCCATGCATGACAAACCTTAAAGGAAGGAAAAAGAGGCAAAGAGAACCAAACCTTTCAACAAGGAGAGCAAGAGGAACCATGGCAGGAACTGCAAAGACGAATCTATAGGCAGTGAGAATCCTCAAGCTCATGCCATCATTTGCTGCCAACTTATACAACAGATTCATTCCAGCGAATGTGGTTTGAACCACCACCATCACCATTGCAGGCTTTAACCCTTGTAAAATCGTGCTCACCTTCCCCATTTTCTTTCTTAAAACAAAAGAAGGGAAACCCCAAGGTTTTTTTAGAAGCTTCTCCCCTGTCGTTTTCTATTGCTTCTGTTCCTTGGCTGTGCACTGCAAATTCCCAAACCCCAGATAAGTAGAATCTATTTTGTAAGCTGTAAATCAATGTGAATCATACTGATTAAATGGCCTGTTTTTTTTTGTTTTTGTTTTGTTAAGCTAAATAGCCTGTTGGTGTGTAAGTTGTAACGTGTTGCGATGCTAATTATGACGTGACCCATTACGTTAAAACATGATTAACACGTGCTCAGTTTCCACTAATTATATCATGTTACTTTATGTTACTTGTTTAACCTTTGGTTCCCCTCAAGGCCCAAAGCCTGAATCTTGAAATAAAGTAAATATTCTATCAGACTTGTTAGCAAGTGTGTGTCAATTTAATTTACTATACACTATAGCATTTGCACTTATTTAATTTGTTTGTTAAGAAATCGGCAAAACTCGAACTCTAAAAAATTAATTCGTTCGTTGATGGATTGACAAAAATCAAACTCTTTTGATTTTGTTTTTATTTAATGACCCATTTGAAAGGTCCTTCTTCTCCTCTTATGGTCACATTTGGATTTGGACATATAACTTTCCTTCCACTTCTTAATGAAAATCTTCATTGCCTTTGGGAAAAAATCAAAATACTAGGTCCCAAAGTGGATTCTAACGTGTAGAATTGTAGGTCGTGCTATATATGAGGTTTTTTTTTCTTAGCTTGATCCCATGCCATTGCTTCCATTTTCAAGTTTAACTTGATGCATTGGAACAAGTAATGCTAAAGTTGTAAACCAAATTTATCCAATCATTGTTTACATTGAATAAAGCTAATGGAATACAACGGGGAAAAAAAAAACCTCTAACAAAAGCATTTTCTTCTTTCTCTACCAAACTAGCTCTATGTTCTTGTTGTTCTTCATTCTCTTTTCTTATTTCCTATATCCTATTCCTTTGGTGAATCTTTACTAGCAATAACATTATTGTTATTGGAAGTGTTATCAGCTGAAGAAGTGACAATGATCTCGATGGGTTCATTTTGAGGGGAGCCTGCTGAGGGGACTAACTGATTCATCTTCTTCATCTCCTCGCCTTTACCCCACAGCACCACATACAGCCCCAACACAATTAGCACCGCTCCTATTATGCTGTAATTAGGAGAAAACAAAAATGTCCAATTAGTTTAATTACTAATTGCTTTACAAATTCAATTTCTTATTGCTTCTTTGCTTTCTTTCTTTGTTAAACCATAAAGTCTTCAATTGTCTAACTTTGGGTTTTGTTTTAATTTGGAAAAGTTATGTTCACAGGTTCCAAATAAGTACTTACCTTCCAAGATAGAGCTTTTCTTCAAGAAACAATGAGCCTGCAAAGGCTACCAAGACGAGCATCAAAGGGTTAAAAACAGATGCATAAAGCGGACCTCTCATGCGCACACACCAAGAGATCAAGCTAAAGATCAAACCAGATGCTAATATTCCCTGCAAAAAAACCAAGTGCCATCACCAACAATGAAAGAAAGCTTTTGCAAATTTAGCCATGTTAAGCTAAGTATCCAACTGATGTTGTAGTTTCAACATTTACAGCAACATACCCCGTAGGCAACAGTGAGAAGCCTGATATTCCAACCTAATTTCCACTGACTCATATCTTTTTCCGTGCAAAGTGCAAAGACCACGGCTTGGATGGCTCCCATTACGCATATCAATGCCGTGCTTGAGTAATAACATGGGTATTTCTCACTCATCTTAGCCTATCAAACAAACAGAAAGATTAAATTCTTCATTATTGAAAGATTTAATAACTTTTTGGGAAATGTAAGCATGACAAATATATACAAAATCTGTTGCAAAAATTAAATTTACCTGAATGTTCAACCACAGGGCGTAAGCGACACAGCTGCCGAGAGCCAGCAAAGCGCCCAATAGCTGATGGGCAGAGCCTGCATGTGATGAAGCCCCGTGGCGCCCATGACGTAGAAGGTCAAGATGGTTCGATCCCATATTAATTTGGAATCCTTTGTAAAACGTGAGCAGCATTGCCCCACCGATTCCAATCACTGTTCCCAACACCTTTGCCTTCCCTGCCATTGTTCCAAAAGCTAGCTTTTCCAATCTGCCATAAAAAGATATATTGGACCCCCCATGAAAATTTTCAGACCATTGGTTGACATGTGCAAAAGAGGCACAGCAACTACTATTTTTTGTGTTTTAAGTTAAAATTGGACGAGTTAAACAAGGATAGATATATACCCAATAGTGATGGCCATGATGAAAGTTATGGCTGGAATGAGATTAGTCATGGCAGAAACAAATGTTGCAGATGTTAAGGTCAGGCTTTCTATGTACAAATTTTGAGATAGTGAGCCCCTGCATGATGCAAAATAAAGACAAAATCTTTACATCTTGCAAGAAAAAAAAAGCGATATTTTCAATAAATTAACCACTTTTTTGGATTTGTTTTGCTTGTGGAGTATAATTTCTTCTTAATGACTGAAATTTGGGAATAAAGAGAGAGAGAGAGAGAGAGAGAGTAGGGAAACAGGAGGAAGTGGGTTTATGGAAAAAGAGCACGAGTTTCATTCAATGCAAATTAAAAGGATTCTGGAACTCAGGTTCGGTTGAATCTAGCTGGCTTTTTGTTTAGTACGTGGCAGCTGGCAACAAAAGGGGCCTGAGAGATGGAAACATTATTCACTTGTTAATCAAAACTGGTAACTAACAAACTTACCCGAGTAACCCACAGAAGAATGCTTGAATCAGTACAGTGCATGTCAGTTTCGGCCTCTTCCTGCGCCAACAAATATTACAAAAAGCAACAGGGTTAATTACCATATTCCTTCAGGCAAAAAAGAAACCTTGAAATCTTTCATTTCAAAGTGCAAAAAGCTTCACGTTTTGATGATTTATTGTCTCTCATAACTTCCAATGAAGCAAAAACATTGTGAAGAACCATCTGATTGAAACTAGAAATCCTAATAACATGAAAAGGCTGAACAGTGGCTAATTAAAGATACTACCTGAATAAGTAATACTAAAAGAAAACATGGAGGAAAGACAAAAGAAAAAAATGGAACCGAGTGACATATTTTCCGACTGCCTTTTTGCCATAAATGACAGGAGAAGAGAAGCATCATCCATGGATTGATGATATATATATATATATATATATATACGCATACTATTGTAATCATGAATGTTGAGAAGGAAAGGAAATTAAAACAAGAAACGCAAAGAATGAACAAAAAAGAAAGAAAGAAAGAAAGAAAGCAAACCTTTCAAGAATGAGAGCAAGAGGGATCATGACAGCCGTGGCAAATATGAACCTATAAGCAACGATAATCCTCAAGCTCATTCCATCATTTGCAGCCAATTTATACAGCACATTAACCCCAGCAAACACAACCTGAACCACCACCATCAACATTGCAGGCTTTAATACATGCAAAATGTTAACAATCTGCCCCATCATTTTGTTTTTTTGTTAATGATCACCAAAGACCAAAAACTGAGGTAGAAAGATATCCTGTATTTGAAAGCTTTTGTTTTGTCGTTTGCTTCTGTTTCTCCGCTGAACACAGCAATTCACAAACCCCAGAGATCAGATGGTAAGTAGCTAGCTAGCTAGGTTGTGCTTGGTTACAAGAAAAATGGGAGCCGAGCCCTTGCTATTTATAAGCTGTAAATGTTCAGTGTATCAGTGTTATCATACTCTCTTTCTTTCTCTCTTCCTCTCTTGCTTCGATAAGCGAGAGGCTGCGGTGTTTATCCACGTCACCATGTACGTAACGCCTCTGCACGTGCTCAGTTTCCCACTTCAAACGTAAGCCTTAATTTGCCTTTGCTTTTATCTTTGGAACCCCTTTGGCCTTTTTGCCAAGACTCACACTTTCTTTTTTTTAGTCAAGCTTGGATAATTACAAAGCCAATATACTTCCCCCACACGTGGAGGGAGGTATGCACACGTGTGAGGAGCATTCTTCTTCGTGTTTATAACACGCGGATGGTGCATGTTGTGGCAGTTCTCATGGTTCACCCACGTTAGTGGGTGCGTAGTCTGCTTTGACACTTCCTTCCAAGCTGCAAACCCTGAGAATCAAGGGCAAAAAAATGGAAAATGATGGGTGTGTTTGATACCAGAGAAAATGAAGGAAAAAGGGTGATGGAAAATTAAAGTTCTACTGGTAAATACTATATGTTTCATTATGATTATAAGCCTAATTAATTCACACTATATTCACATTCTTTATAATATATCACGTGCATTAAATATTAACTAATGTTTATCATGATTAATTAATGTTTGATTATTAATTGTAAAGATAAGTTTAAGAGCTACCCGTGAAAGGTGTTGGATTTTTTTTTATGGCCTTGTTTTTGTTAAAAATATGGGATTACCAATGAAGCAAAACCTTTACTAAAGAGGATTGTAATAAAGTTGTGGAAGGCTGCTTTTAGTGGAGACATTAGCTTTTGTTTGCTTTTTCCACGATGAAGGAGAAATTAAAATTTGATTTTGATGCTTTGTTTTTTCTATTTTGAAGCATAAAATCTTAAAATTAGAAAAAAAAAGAAATAAAAATTTTATATTTTATTCCATACTTAATATTTTATTCATAATTTTATGTCACGTGTTTAGTTTTATATTACCTACTAAAAGTCATAACTTCTTATAAGCAAATATGCATGGGAAGGATTCTTTGTTCTTCTATGTACTGTTCTACTTCTCTACCGTCGTATAGTAATTTTTATAATAAAAATTGAGTAATGGAAAGTTTAAAAGCACGTGATATGAAATTATAAAAAAAAAATTAGTAATTTTGTTTGTTGAAATCAGCCAAAAATACAAAAGGGTTTCCAACAGAGTTCCAGATAAACACTCATCAAAAGATTTCTGCAAGTTGAAAAAAATGTGCCTTGGAGGAAACACAAAACTTTTTGATATTGTATTACTATTGGTAAGCAATGGTAGCCTTTTACAGGAGCAGTCAACAGCAACTTTCCTTTTGATGGCTCTAGATTTTCGACGAAATTAGGTAAAAGTGAATTAACAAGACATTGCTTTTCGCACTACCCCACCTCGCGTGTTTCATCTCTCTTTCCCTTATATTTTTAGTCATGAAATTAATGGATTAATTTGGCACCCAATAACTAAATGAGAAGCTTAATCTCTCTAAAGTAATGTCCTACATAAGTCATTATCATCGACAGTGTATTCAAATACATGTCCACGATTTATTCATGCTCTATAAGCTTAAAGTTAATGAGTTTCATAACCGCAGAAAGGAATCCTATGATTGGATAATTCTATTCTAAATCAATAGACATGAAAGCTGTAATAGTCTATTGGTTGTCAACCTGAGTACAAATTGTACAGAGACAAAACCAAAAGAATGGATCTGAATCTATGAGCGAAAAACTTAGGTAAAAAGGGTATTTTACATTATTAGACTTTGATTTTTTTCAAGTTTTGTTTCATTTACATAATTCGAATTTTTTTCATTTACGATCTTTTTGAGTATGTTTCAAATTCGTTCATGACATTGGTGATTGTATGACGATTTTCATTCGAAATTTAACAGCTTATCAATGGATGAATAAATTTTAAACAAATTCAAAAAAAATATGAATAAAAAAATTGAATATTTTACATCATGAATAAAAAAAATGAAATATTATTAACAAAGTAACAACGAAGCTTTGGAGAGTCTTCTGCAACAACTACTCCAAAATCTGTGTAACTTCTAGCTACTACTGGTAAAAGGAAGTTGGCCTCATGAAAAGGACATTTTGCTCAAGGCTGAATGGTAATATTATGGGGAAATGCTTCTGCTCTTTCCTTGTTCTCCATTTGATCAACTTCTTGTGTTCCTTCAGATTCATTAGTTGTTGGTACTAATCGAGTATTCTGCTTCATCTCTCTGGCTTTGCCCCACAGCACCACATAAAGTCCACACACAATCAGCATTCCTCCTAGTATACTGTGATTTATAGAAACAGTCAAATTAAAAGACCATCATCATGTAAGAGAAAGGTGATTATATATAATTATTGCATAGCATAGTATAGGATACTTACAACATATTGATCTTTAAATGATTTGTATAATTATTGCAAATGTACAAATCTGTACTCGAGAGTACAATGACAAAACGTACAAAATATGAAATGATACCTTCCCAAGTGCAGCTTTTCATCCAGTATAAGAGATCCTGCTATGGCAACAAATACAAGCCCCAAAGGATTGAAAATAGAGGCATACAGGGGACCTCTCAAGCGAATGCCCCAAGAGACCAAGAAGACCATCAAAGCAGAGCCCATGATTCCCTGCAACAAAGTAGTTCAATAATTCACAATGATGTTCGACAACCAGAAAAGGATGCTCGGCTTTTTCCAAAATAGAGAATCAACTGATAAATTAGTATACTGAAGTTGATGCATCCATTAACATACCGCGAAAGCTACACTTAAAAGCCTAATATTCCAGCCTAGTTTCCATTGACTCCAATCTCTTTCTGTGCAAAGGGCAACTATAGTACCCTGTATTGATCCCATTATGCACATTAAAGCAGTGCTTGAATTAAGATAAGGGAATCTCGCGTTCATCTTAGCCTGACAAAGTTCAAAGAACGAAAAGAATATGTAAATTTTATAAACTTCTAATCTGGGAACTTTATGAAATTACAAATTTACTTTGAAAAATCACCTGAATGATCAACCACAAAGCGAATGAAATGCAACTCAAAAGGCCCAAGAATGCACCCAGAATGAATCTGCCAGGATCATTTGATGAAGGTCCAGGGCTTCCTGTCGATTGCTGATGATGGTGCAAAAGGTTTACATGTGTAGACCAGATGTTGATTTCTACCCCTTTGTAAAATGTGAAGACCATTGCTCCGCCTATTCCTAGTAATGTCCCCAACACCTTTGCCTTCCCAGCGACTGTTCCTAGCCCCAGTTTCTCCAACCTGTGATGAAATTCGAACCACAGAAACTTTGAATCAGTGTATGTAACATGAAAGTAGCAATGGTAAAAGCCTCTACTATCAATCCATGATAGATTGTAAATAATTTTCGTGATGACTATTGGCTAAGAATGTAAGATGCCTACTTAAACAAAATGGCCAAAATAAAAGTAATGGCTGGAGCCAGGTTGATCATGGCAGAAACAAATGTTGCAGATGTATACACCAAGCTTTGCAGGTACAAGTTTTGACCTAGTGCTCCCCTGCCCAATTTGAACTAAAGATGTTAAGAAACAGTTGTTTCATTTAATGTTAGGAGTCTCAAAAGGAATATTCATAGATTTAACTTACCCAAATAACCCACAAAGGAATGCATAAAATAGTACCATTCCATTGATTTCTCCCAAGCTTTTCCTATAAAGAAAAAACAAATTCAAGATTTATTATACTAAATTCCTGATGAGAGGATCAAATGCAATAAATGTAGACATGTTTACACAAACAAAAGAAAGAAAGATTAATTAATTCTATCGACCTTTCAAGAATAAGAGCAAGAGGAACCATGACGGCTGTGGCAAATATGAATCTGTAAGCGATGATAATCCTCAAGTTCATCCCATCATTCGCTGCAAATTTATACATGACATTAACCCCAGCAAACATTACCTGACTCACCACCATTAACATTGGAGGCTTTAACCCATGAATAATATTCCCAATCTTCCCCATTGTATTAAACCAAAAAAGAAAAAGAAAAAGAAAGCAAAAGGGAAGCGAGAATATGAAGACCCTTTTGCCTTCTTGATTTCTTGCTTCCCTTAAATCTCTCTCAAAGGGAAAAAAAAATTATCAGCGGAGATTGCTTGTGTTTCTCTTTGTTTTGTTTTGTTTTGTTTTCTTGTTACTGAAAGCTTAAAGGAACAGGGTTTACAACTGGCTTTCTAATTCCCAAGACTCCGAACGAAGAACGACTCCTGGGTGTAGGAGATTTGAATGAACTGACTCTATACATATATAGAGAGAGAGACAGGGAGGCGTTTGAAACGGAAAATGTAAATAGACACGTAACCTTTTACGGAGGTATCATTTTCCTGCAAAGATATACGTATTAGTTTTAATATCCTTTTGTTAGACGTGACAGATACCAAATATTTCATTATTTTTTGGGGACAAAATTAATTTTTTTGGCTAAAAAGAAATAAATGGACAAAAAATCTGATTGAAAAGAAAAGGAAAAACATTAATTGTTGCTCTCATGTTAAAAGAATTTAGGCAACAATTTATAAAATTAATTTTTTATAAAAATATAAATTTCCATTTGTATTCAAGATCTTGTTGGTGAAATTAAAATTTGATTTGTATGCGTTTTTTTTCCTTTTTTGAAGGATAAATTCATAATGTTAAAAAAAAGCAGAACAATTTTTTTTTCTCGTTCCATGTTCTGCTTGGTGGTTTTTTTTTTAAATTTATAATTTTGTATTGGACCTTTAGTTTTATACTATATCAATTAAAATGATACTTTCAAACCTTTAAATACTAAACCCTGAACTATAATATCAAAGTTTAAAGACATGATATAAAATAATAAAAAAAATTGAGACAGATGATTTTTATTTGAAAAAATAAAGATAATTGATAACTGTATTTTAGTTTTTTTTTTTATAATTGAAGAAAAGAGGATTAAAATTTTACTCTTTATGCAGAAAAATTATGTACTAATTGATAAGCTAAATGCTTGAATATAATAATTAACTTTATTTTGGTTGAAACCAGTCAAAATACGATAACTTTCAAACAAAGTGTTAGAGATGAGCACTCAAAACCCATCAAAGAATTTTGCAAGTTAGAAAAATATTTGCCTTAGGAACACACAACGACGTGCTTACAAAATAATTTTTAAAAATAATGTATTTTTGAAAATAATTCTTTTTATAATTTTAATTATATTTAGTTAAGAGAAAAGATTTTTGAATAAAATTATCTTTATTGAAATTTCTTCATATTCAAGTGTAAAAAAAAAATTGTTACACGTTATGTTAAAAAAAAAATTATTGCAAGCTATGTTGAAAAAATATTATTATTACATGCTATGTTGAAAAATAAAAATTGTTGTATTATATTGAAAAAAAATTATTACATGTCATGTTGAAAAAATTTTATTACTACATGTTATATTCAAAAAAATTTTACTATACATCATTTTGAAAGAAAAAAAATATATTACACACCATAGTTAAAAAAATTTTACCATCCTCTATGTTAAAAAAAAAAGTTGTTATACACACCATGTTAAAAAAATTATTGTATGCCGTATTCAAAAAATTTTGCTACATGTCATTTTGGAAAGAATATTATTACAAGCAATGCTATATTTAATAAATTTGTTACATGTCAAATGCATTAGAGTTGTTATATACAGGTATGATGTTTAACAACGTTGGATTGTATTTAAATTTACAAATTTCACTTATAACTTCAACCTATTACTTTGAGGTTCTATGAATGTAAATGAATAAATCAATGAACATACATTAATGTCATTTATTTCAATAAATTTGTTACACATTAAGTGCAGTAGAATTGTTACAAGCAAGCATAACGTGTAACAACTCTGAGCAATGTTCTAATTTACAAATTTCACTTATAACTTCACTCTATCAATTTTGAAATTATGTGAATATAAACTAATAAATCTAAAAATATATATTGTTATTATTTCTGTTATTTGATTTATAGATCGACAACAATATAACAAGATGGTGAGAGATAAATAAAAAGATAGCGATAGTAGTAAAATTAGAAATATAGATGGTTAGAAAGAGTTGAATAGTAAGAGAGACAAACAACATTTAATTTATCTAAATGATAAAAGACAAAAATGGAGAGCATTTAATTTGTTTGAAATGATTTAAAGAATATTTTTGTTAAATGTGATACAAACCCTTACCTTGTTTGTTTCATTTCTTTTCCCACATTTCAGTCATATAATTAATGGATTTGCTAAATGGTAACGTGAGGAACTGCTTGACATGTGATGGACTTTGATACTGGGACAGGATTTATTCGAACCATACCAACACCACGCAGCAATAACATGCAACAACTCCACTTGGAGCCAGAAATCAAGCGCCTCACCAATCTTCTACACAAACCAGAAAGCAACAACACCATACCAAACCATACCCATCAGCTCTTTATGGGGGCAAGCAGGCCATCGCAGGCGTATGACATCGCCACTTTTTTCTTGAACGGTGACAGATACCTAAAAGGTAACCTGCCGTCGTCGGCATTGCAGAGCAAGCGTACCAGAATACAGAAACCAAAGATAATGTGCTTTGTCGTGGGTGCCATTGTTTGCTTAATACAATGGGGAAGATTGGGAATCTTATTCATGGGTTAAAGTTTCCAAATGTTCATGGTGCTGGGTCAGATATTGTTTGCAGGGGTTAATGTCAAGTATAAATTGGCAGCAAATGATGGCATGAGCTTGAAGATTGTCGTCGTTTACAGATTAACGTTTGCTACCGTCATCATGGTTCCTCTTGCTTTGATTCTCGAAAGGTCGATGATTAATCTTTCCTCAAGAAAATGCTTCTTGAATTCTTTTTATTGCATTTTATTTTCTCATCAGGAATTTGGTATAATAAATCTAGAATTTGGTTTTTCCTGACATGGAGAGTTTGACAAATATCAATGGAACGGTGCTATTTTATGCGTTCCTTCGTGATTGTTAGTTACTCGAATGGTACTAATCCAAAAAGGAATGCATTCCCAAGCTCAAATTCAAGATTTGTTATAATTCCTGATGAGAGGATCAAATTCAATAAAAAGGATTCAAGAAACATTACTAAGGGAAGAGTGATCTATCGATGAGAGCAAGAGGAACCATGACCACGGCGGCAAAGGTTAATCTGTAAACCATGACAATGCTCAAGTTGATCCCATCATTTGCTGCCAATTTATACATGACATTAATCACAGCAACATTATCTGACTCAGCACCATTAACATAAGAGGCTGTAACCCATGAATAAGATTCACAATCCTCCCTCATTGTTTCAAACAAACAATGGCACCCACGACAAAGCAGCCAGTATCTTGAATCAAAAACGTATAAAAGAGGTAAAAATAAAAAAAAGATGAAGACCTTTTAACGTTCTTGATTTCTTGCTTCTCCTATGATTCTCTAACAGCTCTAACAGGGATAAAACAACAGAGGAGATTGATGATGGTGAGGTTAAAGGGGTACCCAAGACTCCGAACGAAGAGCCAGTCTTGGCTTGTGTGGGAGATGTGAAAGAACTCAATATATATATAGAGAGGGAGAGAGGCCTATTGAAAGGAAATGTAAATGGTCACGTAAAGTGCGTCATATACAAATTCCCCACCGCTTTTATGCCTATATTTTTGTTTAGTATATTCTTAAAGGAGAATTAACGGTTGACGGTTGGTTGGTCACACGTATCCTCACCCTTTAAACTTTGGTAGGCATAGGAATCATGTTAGGTCCATTACTCCTTCCAAGGTTTACCATTTAATATTATCAAACTAGCATTAAATCCCACTAAAACTTCTGTCCTCAACTGCCAGAGACTTCAACAATTGATACCATGCACATGCATGCAATCACCCAACACCCATGCAAATCACTTGGCCTTAAATTCCATTCAACTAGGCAGACAGGGCACCCCTTATAGAAACGATGATTTCCAAACGTATGTGCCTTGCAGGAAACACAAAACTTTTGGTAGTCTATACTAATGGTAAGCAAGGTAGCTTTTCACAGGAGCAATAAAAAGAAAACATTTCCCAAGCTCTCCTTGTAGTGGAAAAAGAAAATTCAAGATCTATTATTATCAGAGGATAAATTGCAATAAAAAGAATTGAAGAAGCATGCATCTACCAAGGAAAGATTAACACCTTTCGAGAATCAAAGCCAGAGGGATCATGAAGATGCCAGAAGCAGAACTTAATCTATAAACTATAATGATCTTCAGTTCATGCCATCATTGGCAGCAAACTTGTACATTGCATTTACCCCGGCAAACAAGACAAACAGAAAAAAAATGGTGATATAGGCGTCAACTAAATCTAACACGAATCCTACAACTCAGAAATCATCCCATTCAACCATACATGCAGAAAATCCAAAACAACCAGCATGGAACTCAAAATGATACAATTTTGATGGAGTTAAAGAAACAGAGCAATCATCAATCTGTTTTGCAAGACTCCTAACACACAGGATTAATCACCCAACATGAATATAGCACCCTACCCTTATAACCATCAGATAGAACCCAGGTGAACTTACATTTTCAGTTTAGCCCCATAACCCGACTCACTGCTACGAACACCATCCCACATACAATTCCCCAACCCATTTCATTACAATTGCATCCATCAATCCCCCATTAAACTACACCCATCCTACAAATAATTCATTGCGATCCACCCCTTGCTTTGTTAAATAGTCAACACATTGATTTGCCTCCCACAATAAGTCCATCTCTATTGGAATGTCTCCTACAGTAAACACCCATACCATCTGTTTGCCTTAACACTGCACCCCTGCACTGCCTAAATCCATATGCCCACAGCTCCTCCCTAGCATTAATTCCCTCCATTACTCCTCCTTCCACAGTTTACTATAGCCATTAGCATTCAATATTATCAAACTAGCATTAAATCCCACTAAAACTTCTCTCCTCAACTCAACAATTATTACCTTGTAGTACTTCCATGCAATCACCCAACACCCGTGCAAGTCACCTAGCCTTATATTGCATACAATTATTACCACCAATTATTTTCAGAACCTGCTACAAACTATAAAAATTGCCATCTCCCTGTCATAATAACCTTACTTATATCATGTACTGTAATTTTACTTTGAGTCTGTCTGATTTAATTATGTGTTTTTGTGTTTCTTTCAACGACATTAATTTATTGAGAATAAGAACAACTTAATGAAAGAAAAAGAGAGATCAAAACCAAGCGTGGAAGCCCCTGGTTGAATTACATATGCAGTTAAGATCGAACAGGGCACTCCCTATAGAAACAAAATATCATCCTACAATAATACTTAGTAGAATTTTACAATTAAGCTCACAATCAGAGCTCATTTCCCCATAGAATGAATTTAACAAGAATTCTTCTTGGTACTGCAATGTTGTTACTGAGATTCCTTTGCTTCTGTCTTCTTTTCCTTCTCTTCCTCGCTCTCCGCTGGGGCAGCTGGTGCCTCTGTTTTTGGTTCTTCTTTCTTTGGCTCTACCTTGGGTTCTTCCTCCTTAGCCTCTGCCTTTTGTTCTTCTTTCTTTGGTTCTGCCTCTGGTTCTTCCTTTTGGGCCTCTACCTTTGTTTCTTCTTGTTTTGATTCCTCTGGCTTTGGCTCTGCAGGAAGTTCTACCTGGGGCTGCTGGGCCTCGGTTGGTTCCTTGTCTGCCTCAGTCTTTTCAGGCTGTCCATACATTACAAAGAATAGGTAAGTTAGGTAAGCATTTCAACCATGAAAACAACATAAAGAAAAGATATAACAGTCAACAGGATAATGATTCAATTACCTCATCAAGCAAAGAACCAAGAGATTGTTGTTTGCTTTCATCAGCTTCATTTTCCTTTTTTTCGACCATCAGTTCCTCAGGGGTGTGCTCAGCCTGAACAGACTCCTCCTTGGCTGGTTCCGGAAGTGGGGCAGAGGCCTCATCCCTCATTGCCTTTGGCACACTAGCGCAGGCACCCATGTCTGATCAAATCTCCAAAAATTAACTCCAAAGAGGAAGGAAACCTTTCTCTCTTATGAGAAAGGGTTCGAAGAAGAAACAAAGAAGGAAATGGAGCCTTTCTTGTGATGAGAATCATTTGCCTTCTGGGGAGCTTAAATAGGGATCTGTTGTTTCCATTTTTTTGGTTTTGACCATTTGTTATTCAATGGTGCAGAAAGGTTCAAGGCAGGCAGTGGCTGACAATCTAGCATAGTTTTAACTTGTTTTTTGTTTCTTAAATCTTAAAATAGAGAGTTGAAATTCGAAAAGTTTGGGTTTTTTAGGATCCCTTTTTCACTTAATTTAGTAAAAACTCGTTTCACGTAATTAAGAGCACACAAACCAAGTTAAACCAACATAAAATTAGAATAAGAACGAACAGCTTGACAGATTACAGATCAACCGTACCATAGGATTGATCATGGGCCATGTTATCAAGTTAAAGCCTGCTCAGACCATGTTTCACTCCTTGGTGCGCTGGTGGCAATGACTGTCTGGAGCTTGTGATCACAATTAGTCAGAAATATTAAAACCCCTTCAAAGGATAATAAGGAAGGTGATTAAAGAGAAAATGCTTATTTTGGATCAGCATCTTAGTGATTTATAATATTGACAAATATGGAGTTTTTCAATCTTCAGAATGTGATTAAAGGTAATCAGGTAACATCAAGAAAATCCAAAGGCAATAGAATTACGCAAAGATAACATAGACATGCATCGGTTAGATAGAAGGGAAAACTTATACTTGTGAGAGAGAGGGCGCGAGAATCTTTGAAACTATTGCAAACAGCAGTCAAGGATAGAAAAAGAAATTGTTTGATGGATACAGATTAGCAGAGAAATAAAGAAACAGATATACCCAGATTCATGTGCTAATTAATTAATCAGCTTAATCCCTTTTAAGATCCATACTTCTCTGCTTAAGTTGCATTGCTATGCACTCATTCCCAAGTTTCAGACACTTGTTTTCCATTCTCATCTTGTCCACCTCCATGTCCTGTTTCAGGCTGTTACACTGCCACTTGAACCGCTGCTTCTCTAACTTAAGCATCTCGGATTTTAGCTGTAATTTTTGCATCTCTAGTTGATACATGCGATATGCCATCTGTTGATTCTGTGATCTATCTGCCTCATTGCCTTCAGGGCAACAAAGATTCTGATGAGTGAAATTATAAAGTGGTTGAGCATCTGAAATTTGGTTGCAATCCCACGGTTTCAAAGGATTCCCAAGGCCTGCAACTTTGTTTTCATTTGTTTGCTTCAACCACATTGCAGAGACTGCAGAAAACCCAGAATTTGTCCCATTGTACTCAGCTAAATCACCTTGAGCATCTAAAGGTTGGTTAGAATCCAATGGCTTTGAAGTATTCCCAAAACCAGCAATTTCATTTTCATTAGTCAGTCTCAACCTTGCTGAGAACACTGGAATCCCAGAAGTTGCCCCACTATCCTCAGCTGCATCACCTTCAGCAAGGACTCCAGCTTTTTGATCAGTACCATAAAGCTCAGGCTGGCTCAAGTCATGAAGCTCATTCTCGTTTTCATTCTTCAGAATTAACAGCAAAGACTGCAACAAATCTGGATCATGAGGTAGATACAATCGATTGCCATTGTGATAGGAGCACATCTCTTCAAAAAACAAATGTTTTGAAGTCAAAATTTTTCTTACGTCTTCTTTCCCCTTCTCAGATAAATCTATTACGTCCAAAAGCTTTGGGTTCTCAACAACCTTGCAAGAAGTGCCTCTCCCCAGTAAATCATTCAGTCTCCTATATGTTTTGTTCAAATTATTAAACTTATCCTCACATTGTTGAGGAGATACATGGTAACCCCTCTCAACCATAACCTTTGAAACACACTTCCATTTTCCTAGTTTCCTCAAAAGAGAAGACATTTTTCTCTGACTACCCACACAATCAGTGGAAGGATCCTCCCCAATGTAAGAAAGAATAGTGATCAAAAGCTTCACCATTTTTCCAGTCCATTTCATGCGCTGCCAGGGGGAACCATCCTCACTCTTACCAACTTCATTGTGCTCAAGTGTGCCTTGTTCAGCATAATTTGTCACATCATCCTCAATAACCATGTTTTCATGTCCCTCATTCTCAACTAAACCAGAAGCAGAAGGAAGTTCGAGCATGCATGGCTTTTGTTCATGAGAAGGCTTCATTGATCCTTGCAGGTCTTGACAACCATAGGCCCATCCGTGCAGCACCTTACCACCTGGTGACCGTTGACCTTCCATTTTTTGTCATGCAAATATGCGATAAACTATTTGGATCAAATCCTTGAAAATATGTAAATATAATTCAGTTGCTCATATACTTTATCAATACCATCGGAGCATAGATGAAGAGTTCGGCAGACACAAACAGTTAAATCAATCTCACTTTGGCACAAGGCTAAACAGTCCCATAACTAATGTTATTCCCTGAATGCCAATAACTAGAATTAGATATTTAGACAGCCAAAATCCATGAAATATCTAGGATTTATTTGAACGAACCACACTCAAATGCATGAAAGCAGATCCAAATGAGAGCCTATATATTGCATATCCCGTTTCAAATTAATAAATTCAAAACAGAAATTTAAGAGGGTGAAAGCAAATGTATAGTCAGAGCTTTATCAAACAAACTCAAATAGTCAAAGGGGACTTATCTGCTGCATACACCCAGAAGCCATTTCCTCCATCAGACAATGGCTCCCTCTTTACAAACGGAGATGTGGAAGCAACAGCACCAGATCTAATTCAGATTTAAAGGGCCCTTGGTGCAATTGGGGACAGCTTGGGAATTGGGGAAAACTGACATCGATAAAAATGAAACGCCTGAAAGGCAGCTTGGGCACATCTGGCTTTGGTTTTAACATAAGTGCAGGTACCATGTTTAGGTGCCATTTGTCAATTCATTAATCCTCACTACAGGTAACATACAAAACACAGCTCACTACAGATATGCATTCAAAACTTATAATTACAGCCTGAATTGATGGAACAAAATAACATAATGCATCATTCAGCAAAACATGAGGCAATCTTGGCAATCTTAAATAATCAAAACAGAAATTTATAAGCTGGTAAACTTTTCATTACACTAGGCTTGAAATAGGATTCCAAGAAGTATTCCTGATCATAATATGTACTCAGTATTAGACCCTGCTTATTTTCTTGTGCTTAAGTTCAAATGCCAAACATTCATTCTCAAACTTCATACACTGATTTTCCAGCCTCATCTTGTCCAAATCCCTGTCATTGTACCAATTGACCCTTCGCCACTCAGACCATTGCTTCTCCAACTCAAGCTTTTGGACCTGAATATGCAACTTCTGCTCTTTCAACTGAAGTAAGCGAAATGCCATCTACTGGTCCTGCAACCCATCTGACTTGCTGTCGTTAGGGTAAACATGAATAATATCAATTCGGTCATCTTGTTTTGGATTGCCAACAATCACATCTTTCATTACATTCATTTGATTTGACCTCTTCAAGGATAGCTCCAAAAACCTGGGGGTTCCCCCATTATCTTCTGTTTCCTCAATTTGATCATCAGCTCCAGCACCCTGCTGTCCTTTGTCAAAGTCATCATCACTTTTGTTCTGCCTTGATTGATTAGGCTTCTTGTTGTCTCTACATCTAAGAGGTAAATGCAAGGAGCGTTGCACCTCTGGATCATGAGGGAGATGCAGTCTATTCCCCTTATGATATGAGCACATCTCCTCATTAAACAGATTCTTTGAGCTCAAAATTTTCTTCACCTCCTCCTTTGCCTTACCAGATACATACTTCGTGTCCATGAGCTCCGAGTTCTCTGCAACCTTCCATGAAGTACCTCTCCCAAGAAAATCATGCATCTCTTATATCTTTTATTCAAATCATTGAACTTGTCCTCGCATTGCTGAGGTGATACATGATAACCCCTTTTGACCATGACTTTAGAAAAACATTTCCAATTTCCTATCCTCTGCAACATAAACTGTTTTCTTCTAATGCCACCCAGACAATCAGAAGAAGCACCCTCTTCAACATATGAAACCACATTGATTAAAAGCTTAACCATTTGTTCAGTTCATTTTATACGCTGCCACAAGGACTCCCTTTTCTCCTTATGAACATCAAAATATCCATCACCGCATTCTTCATCAAACTTCATCCTATTATCATCACTTGTCGACTTCTTCACTCTCTCATAAGGTTTTCCAATTTCTTTCACATTTTGTAACCTAAAAGAAGAAACATCTTGAAATTGGGAACCTCGCTGGTGAAGTTGTGGTTTTGAGCATTGATGAAACTGCAATGACCCTTGTGAATCTAAAAATGCAAATGCCTGACCACCCAGAATCACATTACCATCTGATGTAGGACTTCCTTCCATTTTTGCCACACAGAAGAAAAAATGAAATCTTTTTAAACCAAAGGCACGCAATACCACTCTGCTTCTTGAATGCAGCTTACAAGTAAAACGAAATGGCCTTTGAAACTAGAGAACTACAAAAAGGCAACGCTGCTAATCTTAATTAGTTAACTACAACAGAACCTTCGAACGGATATATCAATTAAAGCGAAACCCAGAACCCAGATTCAGAAAATCTAAAACAATTAAACACCCTGATTGCATGCAATATCCAATAATGTAGAAATCAAATGTAAATCCATTTTAAAGCTATTAACAAACACTTTTTTGGGATTCTTCTTATATGGGAAAGTAAGTTCTTAAAAGTAGAAGCAAACAAGAGACTTATCTGGCACAAAAAGCAAAGACCCGTTTCGCCAACTCTCTTCACAGAGTTGCGAAGTTGCGTTGCGCCAAGACATGGAAGCAGTTCGACTGAACTCAAACGACAACTTGGCCACGAGTCGGTCGGGCTTATGTTTAAGGCCTAAGCTCGGCTGAGCTTGAAAGGTCGTTGGACTGTTGCTAAGTCCAAGACTAAAATACATTGCTGAGGCTTCCCAATGTCAGCCCACTTCACAAATTCATTTTCTTTTCCTTTTTTTTTCTTCTTTTAAATATTTTAATACTTTAAATATGTTTATCAATTAAAATTAAGTAAAAGTATATTATTTATTAATAAAATTATATCAATAGATCAAACTCAAACTTAAAAATTCATGTTTAAATCCAAATTCACTTATAATAAGTAGGGATGAGAATGGGTATACTTTAATCGAGAACATACTTCTACCGATTTGATTATGTAAGATATAGATATTTTGAATTTGGAAAATATTCGGATGGTGTTCGGTTAGCACTTCTTGTATACTTAATATGCAAATTCATTAATGGATATGTATTTATTTATTTTTTGATTATTTAAGATATTTTTTGAAATATTTAAAAATTTTGTTATATAAATTTAAATTTTAATATTTATTTACTTTTAATAAGATATTTAAATGGATTTGATAACTAATTAGTAGTGAATAAGGTTTTAGGGTTTAACTTCGAGATCAGATAATAAATTTAAAAAATAATTGAGTCAATGAGTTTAAATATCTACTTATTAATAAATTTAAAATAAGATATCTCAAAATTACCATACACTTTAGTCTTTGACAATCTTAAAAATAAGTTCAAAAGAATTGAAAGGATAGCAAAATAATTGAACACCTCTGGTAAATCTAGTATGTTTATTGTATATACTAATTTGAGTTTAATTTAAAAGGAAAAGGCTTACAATAACAAAATTAATATTATCTTATTTAAAAAAATAAAAAACAAAAACCCTTCGTTCAGCAGGGACACTCCATTTAGCGACGCCACCGACTTCTTTTATTTCCTTTCCATCTCTTTCCTCGACAAAACCCTATTATATTCTTTTGTTCTTTCATTTTTCCCGTCGCTAAATCTCGGAAGACCGTCGCCGAGCACCGTGTCAGTTGATTGATCAAATGTCGGGTTAAGAAGCATATCTGGAAGAGAAAATCTGCTTCTTTGATCATGGATCCGGTAATGGAGAAAACCAACCAACATCAACCGGAAGAGAAGCGGGAAACGCCTTTACCGCTTCAACGAAACGCCAACAACTTGAAACCAGTCCCGAAGCGTTTCGTCAAGAACCAAATCCCTGACTCGATCCTCAACGACGCCTCCCTGAACGCCGCCATTTCCCTTCTTCCTTCCAACTACAATTTCGAAATCCATAAATGCGTGTGGCGCGTCCGTTCTACGGGCGCCAAGCGAGTCGCCCTTCAGTTTCCCGAAGGGCTCCTTATGTACTCCCTTGTTATCTCCGATATCCTTACCTCTTTCGCTGACGTCACTCACTGCTTTATCCTCGGCGACGTCACTTACGGTGCATGCTGCGTCGACGACCTCTCCGCCACTGCCCTTGGTGCCGATTTGTTAATCCATTATGGTCACAGCTGCTTAGTCCCAATCGATTCCACGAAAATCCCTTGCCTTTACGTCTTCGTCGAGATTAAAATCAACGTCGATGGTCTAATTAACACAATCGAACACAACCTCACTTCTTCCAGGGAATCCGTTGTCCTTGCTGGTACGATTCAGTTTTCCTCGGTGATTAGATCGGCGAAGCCAGAGCTAGAAAAACGAGGGTTTAGGGTTTTAATTCCTCAGTCAAAACCTTTATCCGCCGGTGAAGTTTTAGGTTGCACCGCCCCCAAAATTGGTACCATGGCAAATGCTAATGAAACCGTGGCAGTTTTCGTGGCAGACGGGAGGTTTCATTTGGAGGCGTTTATGATAGCGAATCCAGGGATCAAGGCTTTTCGATACGATCCTTATTTAGGGAAGTTGTTTTTGGAGGAATATGATCATAAGGGGATGAGGGAAACGCGAAGGAGAGCCATAGAGAAGGCCAAAAGAGCCAAGAGTTGGGGGATTGTGTTGGGGACATTGGGGAGGCAAGGCAATCCTAGGGTTTTAGAGAGGTTTGAAGGGAAAATGAGGGAGAGAGGATTTGATTATACTATTATTTTGATGTCGGAAATTAGTCCTACGCGGATTGCTTTGTTTGAGGATGCTGTGGATGCTTGGATTCAAATTGCTTGTCCTAGGCTCTCTATTGATTGGGGTGATGCGTTTGTAAAACCTTTGTTGACTACATTTGAGGCAGAGATTGCGCTTGGGGAGATATCCGGGTGGTGGGAGAGAGATGGTTGTGGTTCTTGTGGAAATGGGTTGCATCGTGGGGAGAGTAAATCATGTTGTGGTTACAGGGGAAGAGAGGATTTTCATGGGGATTATCCGATGGATTATTATGCACAGGATGGTGGAGAATGGAATTCCTCTTATGTGAAGAAGTCGGCTCGTCCGGTGAGGAGAAATATTGTACCTCCCTCCGGTAATGGTGCTGTTCTTTAGCTGCTTGGGGAGGGACAATTGAAACTCTGTATTCATGTGAGCATGTCTAACTTATGTCATTTCTATCATCTAATTGATAGGAGTTTTCAACATAGATGTTTTTGGAATACCTCTTTTTGTTTTTCATGTTTCCATTGTAAAGTAGAAGATCATAGAATGTGCTATAGGTGCTATATGGCCAGAAATTAATACAGCTTGAAGATCACTCGGAGTTAAAAGGGTTGCTGATATTGTTGTTTCTGTTTCTATAAGTTGTATCAATGGAAAGAAGTTTTGCACTACCAAATTGGGGTTTATGTTTCTGTTTCTATAAGTTGCATCAATGGAAAGAAGTTTTGCACTACCAAATTGGGGCTTATGTTTTCAGATAGATGGTTTAAATGTGTGTATGGAGTATTCCATTTTAGACCAAATTCTTTGGTATATCTTTCAATATTTACTGGATAGACAATCTTTATTGTTTTTATTTCTTGCTACTTACATCACTTGATGAGGATGACTTAAAATTGCGAAAGAAGATTTGTACCAGAAGAATGAAGAAGTTCAGATTAGTGAATTTAATCCCAGAATCAAACTTGTTACGGTTTTGAGGTGATGGGCCTTTTGAAAATGGTTATATAGCTTGTGATTTGAATGTATTCAAACTAGTTTAATGAGAAAAATGCCTTTTGATATGAGCATTTATTGATGTTAAAATTGATACTTCGATGACATAATTATAGAGCCACCGGATGTTAGCTTATAGGAACTAGACCATTAATGCGCAGGGGAGTGAGGGAACTGGTGTGCTAGTTATTTTCTTATTATGCTGCCATGCTAGTCAGGGAGTGAATTTTGATTTGGGACAGCAATTTAAAGAAGGTTATTAGTAATGATAAATAAGGAGAGAAATCTGGGAAAATTTGTGCATCAGTTGTTGGTGTCAAATGGCGAAAAGCTAAATGAAGTCAATGAAACTTAAGCACCGCCTGAGAAATAGCAGAAAAGAGGGAGAGAAACACAGCAAGGTTTAGGTTTAAGAGATAAGGTTCTTGGTGCTCCCCTTCGTTTTCCTGATCTCTTTTTTTGTCGTATAAAGATCACATCATTTGTCCAGGATAACTGTTTGCTGTTATATTATCTATCATCGAAAGAATCCGAAATTCGATCGTGACTGCTTCTTACTTCGTAATTTACATTAAATCTAGATCAGGAACGTAAAGTTTCACACGACACATTTGCTGATGACCATGATTTATGCTACAATAAATGGTATTATTCTTCTTGATCAGAAAAGTGGTACTATCATTCTTGTACAAAGAAAACTTATTATATGTTAGCATCACATCACATGTTACGCATTATTTTCCTCAGCAGCAGCATAGAGTGCTTTAATTTCTTCAACATCATCGTAACTGCCAAGAAAAACTGGAGAACGCTCATGTATCTTCTTTGGAACCAAGTCAAGTGCCTGCATAAAAGTTAACAAAATAAGAGGATTTTGGGGGGTGTACGAGATCAAATAGTGAGTAAATTTCTCTGCTCTGCTCAAACAGAAGGAAACTTGTTGATACCCGCTGCTTGCTGGTGAAAGCCTGACCTCCTGCTTGCTCCATCAGGTATGACATTGGGAACACCTCGTAGAGAACACTGTATTATCGGGTATCAAATATCAGTCTGTTAATTCATATGGAAAACCAAAATTGCAAAGCTTGTGAAACAATGTACCGTAGCTTCCCGTTGGGACTTTTCTTATCTGCAGGGTATAAAAAGATACCACCATAAAGCAACGTGCGGTGGACATCTGCAACCATGCTGCAAGGCAATAGGATTATTGGAAGGTAGCGTTTTGGGAACAGAATGAGATAACAAGTGGGAAAAAGAATGTGATTCTGACAGGTAAATACCTTCCAACGTATCTAAGGGACTTTGGTGGCGAACCATCCGTAGGGAACTTGCATTTTTCCACAAACTTTGTGGTTTGCTCATCCCAGTTTTTGGCATTTCCTTCATTCACTGAGTAAATCTTTCCTTTCTTAGGTATCTGCTCCAAAAATAGACAGGATTAACTTTTAACCTTGGATATGTAATTGGGATTAGTCCAAAATGCTTAGGCAACTCCCTAATTCTTTCCTTGCAAGCAAAGAATTAAGTTTTAAAGGAAAGAGTTATGGGTGCATTAGAAGAATCAAACCCAGCTTTTACAAAATTTAAGTTTGATCAAACAAGTAACTGCTTGTACCTTGATATGTGGATGAGTTAAAATGAACTCCCCGAGAGATGGATCAAGTGTGAATCCATTGACGCCACTCCCCGTACTCAGCACTAGCTGCAATTTCAGATACAGAAACACTTGCGTGGGTGTTTACTGAACAATATAGGGATGATGAGAAATGAAAAGCAGAAACATTTCAAATGTAAAGCTGAAATGCCGAGAATGGTGACTGATTGTTCCTACCGTGCAGGAACTTCCGTACATACAGTAGCCAGCCGCCAACAGATTTGTTCCAGGTTGCAGTACATCATCAAGGGTTGGGTTATCTTTATCTTTCACCAAGTATATACCAAAAATCTGTTTACACGAGGAAACATTGAGGTTAGCATTTGACTGAAACCAGTCTATGGAGTCCAAGCAGAGGGAGTAGAGGGCTGAAGGGCATACAGTTCCAATGGAAACACCGCAGTCAATGTTCGAGGATCCATCCAAAGGGTCAAAAACAACAATGTATCTGAATGATCAACAGAAAGAGTTTTGGCCCAAAATGTCAGTCTGGCGTTTATAACTGTATTTAGTTCAAAAATGTAAATTTAAGGAACAGAGAACTTCTGCAGAAACCTTCCACGCTTTGATGGCTCCACAAATGTGGCCTCTTCGTCCTCCTCAGAAACAAGGATGCACTAAGAAAAAGGAAGATAGGTTAATGAAAACTGTCAGATGTAGTTGATCTTTCTGTTCCTACTAATTTATTCAATTGGAAGATGGCTTCAAAGGACTAACTGTTCGGCCGCTGCTAATCAACGCCTTGACAAACACTTCATTCGAAAGCACGTCCAACTTCTTCTGTTCTTCACCCTGAATCAGGAGGAACTGAATTTATCAGAATCTGATAAAGGGTACACATGGATTTGTGGATAGGAAAGCCATGAGCCTGGGGCTTCTCACCCAGAACCCATACCTGAACATTGGTCTCTCCGGCAAGTCCAATGAGTTTTGCAAGACCTGCCTGTAACCATGGAACAAACGCATTGTAAAATTCCTACGCTAAGCTATAAGTAACCAAAAGAATCAGGCAGTCATTCGGAATCTGATATCAGGCCACAAAACACCAAATCCGATCATGTCTATTCACCTAAGCTTTTCCTGTTAAGAAAACCAAAGTTTAAATTTCTTAAAGAATCACAACAAAAGATAAGTGTAAAGACCTTGCTAACAGCAGAGCAGACGAATTTGCAGCCAAGAACAATGTGACTGAGCAAAATGGTGAAGTCGCCACGAGATTCAGGGTACTTGGATTGCTCATTCAGGACATGGCGAGTGATGGTCATCAAATCAGTTCTATGAGCATCAGCAGCATGATCCATGACGCCCTTTATCAATAACAAAAACTCACAAAAATCTTCTCTCGATTGGTTTAACCTTTCTCCTGGCGATCAAAATAAGCACCCAAAAGAAACAAGGTAACTTAGGACAGCAAAGAATCCCTCTGTTTTTTCCTGTTTTGCTTGGTAAGAAAGAGAAAGTGGGAGAATAAAAATACAGTATTCCACGTTTTAAGGATTACAAGTTGGATTGGGATGATACTTTAGAATATAACCAACGCGGGGTTGAGTGAAAGTCAATGAAGGGTTGGATTGACACGTCAGGATGCCTTATGTGGCTGTGAGTCACAAAGAGTGAAGACCCAGCTCATGCCCTTTGCAGTCTAATGCCGCTGCTGATGCCATGAGTCCTTGGCTTCTAATCAACAATGGCGGGTCTTTGGGTTATCTATTACTGATTATGGATTATGGGTTGCAAAATCAAATAATTAAAAATTAAATTAAATTAAATTAAATTATCAAATTTTGAGTACATGTACAGTTAAACTGCCCAACTAAATGGAACCATGGTGCATGCATAATTAGACAAGTTGCCGTACATCTGTCTCAGATGCATCCCAATGCTTGGTTGCCGCAAGGTTCTTGGATGATGATAGCTTTCTTTCACAGGAAAGGCTAGCTGATGATGGATACTCAAATATTTTATCTTCTGATGGAAAATTAATAGTGTATTTGGAATCCAAATGAAGGCCAGGCAAATAATCTTTGGAGCTTTTCAAGCTGATCATTGCATGATGTGAACTTGAAGCTGATCCAGCACTCTATCCATCAGTCTATGCTGCAGATGCTGGTGGAACAGTTTGGTGTTTGGTGGACGGGTGGGTCATGCCTCATCTGGTGGAATCAAACATTGATGGTCACAGAATAATTGACAGCGAACGAACTGGGGATTATGAGAACTCGAAGTGAAGAAGACGATAATGGAAGCAGTAAACTTTCATTCCCGTGCATCAAAATAGCCGTAGAGTTCCTCGGAGAATGAGAAATACTTCTAATCATATCAAAAAGTTACAATAATAAAATCTCTAAACTTGTCTTTCAATCACATTTTGAGATAGACTAACTAGCCAGATGATGGGATCACAGTAACCTGAATCGTGGGCTACTGATATCTACTATATTTTAATAGAATTAACTATCTATTTTATCAATAAATAAGATAGTTTCTGTCATAGAAACCTTCAATGAGGCATTGGAGACTTCAATGATTATCATAGAAAGGTCCGTTTTTGTCGTTTATCCCTATGACAGTAGCACCCTGGTGAAGAATAAATAGAAGCACTAAGCATAGAACAATAGACCATCTATCACCAAATTCTCGAAATGCATGCTCCAGCTGTGATTGGTAATGCTCTGGTGATTCTTCTGATATTAAGCTTCTGCAACTCAGTTCGTACGGATAATGTCCATGTAAGCGTCAAGAACAGGTTAGGCAATGGGAAAAACTTAACCTTGCATTGCCAATCAAAAGATACTGATCTTGGGGAGCAAAATGTTATCGATGGGGGCGAATTCGGATGGGACTTCTCTGTCAATGTTTGGGGGAGCACGTTGTTTTACTGTGACATGGGGTGGGATGCTGTGCAGGAGTACCATTTCGATGCGTATTCCTTCGAAAGGGACTTCGCCCGTTGTGAGACGCAGTGTTCTTGGCTGGTGTCGGGTGAAGGCATGTATGGATTGAATGGAGAAACCGGGTTCTGGGAATTTGCTTACGACTGGCCAAGTTGATGAGTACTTGATCACATCTCGAACATGGAGGTTGGTGAACAATTCAAAAGAATAATTAATACATGTTCGTTCTCAAGGATACAAACCTCTTGTGGCTATGTAATTCTCTCTCTCTCTCTCTCTCTCTCTCAAGTGACAAGCTATATATCAAAGCTATATTGGAGTTGAAGGGTTATACATTACAGGCAAAAAGGTGACTGAAAAGACTTTATTCAAGTACCAAAATTTGCAACGGATGCAGAAAAACACCATGTCCAACGAATTGGGGAACTTAAGCAAATTACCTTAGAAACATAAATAATCCATCCAACGATCCACAACTAATTATTCTATAACTTGTATGACTATTATGCAATCCTGGTCCTTGAAGTTAAGCCTGTAACATGGTAAAAGGGACTTGAGGCCTAACGTTCTGTTATCTGCATGACGTGGTCAAGTAATCAAAAACGCAAAAGAAGAGATGAACAGAAGATGTAGATTGCACATAAACCAATAACCATGGACGTTCACTGCAAACTGACATAAGAATTACTTTTACTTCAATGGAACTAAAACAACAAAGACCCAAAAATCCCCAAAATAGGAGAAAAAAGACATAAAATTTGCATCCTGTTCTAACAAAAAAGCACCTAAAAAATTTTTGGCCTAATAGAAAAATAATAAGACCAAAGCAACTACCAAGTTCAACACAAGCCACTCATTGCCAATAATAATTTGGCATCTAAAATCTGAAATCCCAATGCGAAAGCGCACTCAAAGCATCAACTATACCAGCATCTTTCCTCCATTGATAACCCAGAGCGTCAGAAGTCAACCAAAATGAACTCACATACGACACATGTCTGAATAATGTAGACTTCAAGATCGTCCAACTCTTCCTCCAAATCAGAAGCACTTTCGGTGAACAATGGCTGGACCTGATTCATCATACTCACCCTTGGAAATCCACATCTGCAGCATAGAATAGAAAATAAGCAATTAAACAGAAACTCAACTATGTTCCAACTCCAGAACACCTTTTCAAAAGAGCCACACTTAGATAACCAGAAGTAATAGCACAAAAGTTACCTGCTGGAAGGTGCTAAGAGACGCTAAAATGGATCCTCCAATCCAGACGCTGTATTTTCTCTCGGGAGGTGCAACCACCTTGATCTTCATGCTGCTTGGGGCAAGAGCAGTAATTTCCTTGCTCATCCTATCAGCAATACCAGGGAACATGGTTGATCCACCACTAAGCACAATGTTTCCGTACAGATCCTTCCTGATATCAACATCACACTTCATGATTGAGTTGTAAGTAGTTTCATGAATTCCAGCAGCTTCCATTCCAATCAGAGATGGCTGGAAGAGTACTTCAGGGCAACGGAACCTCTCTGCTCCAATCGTGATCACTTGCCCATCAGGTAATTCGTAACTCTTTTCAATAGCAGAGCTGCTCTTGGCAGTCTCCAATTCTTGTTCATAATCAAGAGCAACATAAGCAAGCTTTTCTTTCATGTCACGAACAATTTCCCGTTCTGCAGTTGTCGTGAAAGAGTACCCTCTCTCAGTTAAGATTTTCATCAAGGAATCTGTAAGATCACGACCAGCAAGGTCTAACCGAAGGATAGCATGGGGGAGAGCATAGCCTTCATAAATCGGCACCGTATGGCTCACACCATCACCAGAATCCAAGACAATACCTATTCACATAGATTAGAATTGAGTTACTACTGGATAAAAGGAAAACAAACAAAACAAATTCTTCATTCCAATTTACACTTTTGCAATACTACATACAAAATGGAAATATGGCCCAAATAGAGCAACACTATGTGACTGTACAGATAAAGTTATTTCAGAGTCACTAGAATACAACCAAGATCAGCAATCCAAGCTATAAATGAATACCTGTTGTACGACCACTGGCATAAAGTGAAAGAACGGCCTGAATAGCAACATACATAGCAGGCACATTGAATGTTTCAAACATAATCTGGGTCATCTTCTCCCTGTTAGCCTTAGGGTTGAGTGGTGCTTCCGTAAGAAGTACTGGATGTTCTTCAGGGGCAACACGAAGCTCATTGTAGAAAGTATGGTGCCAAATCTTCTCCATGTCATCCCAGTTGCTGACAATGCCATGTTCGATAGGGTACTTTAAGGTAAGGATACCTCTCTTTGACTGGGCTTCATCACCTACATAAGCATCCTTTTGACCCATGCCAACCATTACACCTGTGTGGCGTGGGCGACCAACAATACTAGGGAACACTGCCCTAGGGGCATCATCACCAGCAAAACCAGCCTGCAAATACAAGGATAAAGCAGCCATCAGCATTTGTGTAGTTGGAACAAATAGCTAGCAAACCCAAGCCATCTAACTTTTAATAATAGCATCAAAGGCAGTATCAACCCAGTAGATGACTGAAATAGAATCATTATCAAATTATCATTATGAAAATTGTCTTTGTAAAAAATTGGATTTCAATGTATATAGTTACATACGGAGAAAATGTATTAAAACTATAAGAATCAGAAAGATAATTTACTAACCTTGACCATTCCAGTTCCATTGTCACAGACAAGAGGTTGAATATCCTCATCCGCCATCTCGTTTCAACCTGAACAAGGAAAGTGATTATGGTTAGAAGAAAAAGGTTTTCTGAGAAACCAAACTTCTTTGTTTGGTTTGACCCTTTTTGAGATCAATCTACTATAAAAACTAGTATCAAACTCAATAAGAAATTCATCACATCGTTAACTGCATCACATCAAATATGAATCATTCATTGGAGTATTTAACTCCTTCCATGTTATAACTTTGGTTCTGGAGAAGGAAAGCAAGGACGGGGGAAGCCTGTATGTCATCTGCATAAGGCACGACCAAAATCCAGCTCATGTTCTGGATCATTATAATTGTTCATTATTTTTACTCTTCATGGCATAACCATTCCTAAAAGCATAAAGCGCCAATAAAATACGAACCAGCCATCAAACATGAACTATTGGTGAAAACAGTAGACAAGAACTCAAATTTCTGATGATATGATGCATTAAAGAAAGCATAAAATCGAAGCCTACACAAGAATTAAACATATATTACACCATAATCTACTAATGAGCGTATTACCAAAATCTAAAGAATCTGACGTTCTCAAGCAAACACCAAATAAACTTTGTCAAGATCTAGATGAATAGGAAATGGATATCATCTTAAGATATGATGAATCCACAATAAATTTATAATTTTGCAAGCATAAAAATTGTAATAAGAAAGCCTAGCAGACATCACAACAATAGATTCATTAAGCCAAAACTTCAGGCAGATCTAAATCACAAAATACAAATAAAGTTGACAACTTGACAGCCAGTAGTCGATCAGAAAGACAAGAAGAAGGGATATGCTTAAGTACCCAGAAATGTTTGGACATAAATAAGCAAAGATAACAAAGTTATAGATCAAAAACAATCAAAAAACAGATAAACCCATACCTTGTTTTAGCAAAAACAGCTAAGCTTCTCTGTACTTTTCGAAATTAGAGAAGATAATAAATTTTCTTTGACAGAGAAGCTGAACACAAAGAGAAGAGGAATGTTAGTTGCGGCTTTTATATATAGCAGAAATGAGAGTGAAATGCAAATGAAATTCAACCCAAATTCAATTTAGCCCTGTTTGGCTACTGAGAAAAAAAATAAAATAAAATAAAAAATTCTAAAAGGTTTTCGGCATGGAAAAGAAACGAAAGGAGATGACTTGGAAAAAAGGAATCTTCTTACACCCGCAGTGTTTTGCTGGATTTGGGAATCCAAACAAAAGCGTTACGTAGCCGTCCAAATAGAGTGTCCTTAGATGGTAGTCAGGTGATGATGTGGACATTCGGTAGGCTTGTGGGGTGGACGCCACGTCAGTAGGGCGGCTAAATGTAGGCGGGGGGCGGTGGGTTGGAGTCGCGCCCGATGCCGACCATGTCTTGCTATGTCTGCTTGAACATGGGTTGGCTATGGCCCCCACGTGTCCACCTTTTTTCGCATTATAACTACAACTTGGCTAGGCTATATTTCAATTTTTCGTTGCTTTTAAATCTTGTCTAACAAAATTTAAAGATTTTATTTATATTTTAATTGCTTAGAAAAAAAAGACATTTGAATGAACAAATCAACATGTTGAATGAAGCCATAAATTCAATGGCAATGGAACTACTAATTCAACATGACATATTAAGTGATGTTGGAAAAATGAGGATTTGATTTCAATCATTTTGATTTTTAATATTTGGATAAAAATTTATTGAAATAAATGAATAATTGATTAATATTGACATAAAAAAATCAAATTAAATTAATGAAATGCAATGATTATTTCAGTTTGCTCCATCCTTGCTAACAAGATCTCGTGTAACAAAAATGAGTGATAATTTGACTATAACTTATAGACAAGTAAATGCATAATGTTTGAAAAAATTTTGAAATGATTTTAAGAAATTTAATAAATTTGTATTTTTTATTATATTTAATTAAGTTTATTTATTTTTATTTTTGATTAAATAAATTTTTATAATTAATAATTAATTAATTATCATTAATCAAATATCATTTATCATTTTATATTCACGTGACAATAACATAAAAAGTAAAAATACCATATAGTCATCATTATGTCACATTAACAAATTAGCATATCATATTAATACTATGTGATATATAATGATAAATAATATTTTAATTAAAAATAAATAAATAAATATTATTTATAAAAGTTTATTTGATTTTAAATAAAAGGACTTTGTTAAACATAATAAAATAATAAAATCTTGTTTGAATTTTTTTTAGTAGTGAAAGAACTTTTTTAAATATTATATTTTTGTGAATATTATTAATGACCGAAAATGTAATAAATTTTGAAAAATAAAACATTTTTCAAAATATTTGAAAAATATTATCAAAGGTATGAAAAATTTGTAGTAACAATTTGTTCAGAAAAAAAAGAGAGAGAATTCATTGATTTTTGGTATTGTTAATGTCAAACATGGTTTAGCGCAACAGAATTGTACACAACGTATTTCTTTTTCAGGTGAGGAAAATATATAATTAATTAATTAATTAATGGTGGGATAGAGAGAGACAGAGTCTAATCTTGTTTTAGCTAACCAATTATGTCTAAGCAGCCCAAAGACCAAAGCGGCTAACCAAATTTGATTTTGGAAAAATTGAAAACTACAACTATTGAAAAATACTAATTGTTTTCTATCAAGGAAATATTACTATTGCTTCAAAAGTCCAAACAAAAACTTCAGCATTTTGACTCGTTCAATCTCAAAATTTTGAAAACCGAATTAATCGGATTACAAAAAATGAATTAATGGAAATATATTATAAAAATTAAAATAATTAAAATCGAATGCTATTACTCGTTCGATTGGTTATAAGTATATTTTTATCAATTCTTTGAACAATTTTCAACAATATTTAAAAAATAAATAAATAAAATAACTCATCTCCACACTTTAATTAAAATAAATTAAACCATTAAAGATATTATCATTATTATTATTAAAATATATTACTAATGATCCATTAATCAATCAATTCGGTCGTAAAAATTTTAGATACTGAAAACTGACTATAAAAACTAACAAAAAAAAAGATAATCTTAATTGATCGAAGATTGAAATTAAAATAATTAAATTGAATTAATCAAATTCAATTGGTTGAGTCAATTATTTTGGTTTCAATAGAATTCTCATAAACCCTACTAATGAGAAAAGATTTGTACGTTTCTTGTTAAAACAACTCCATGTTCTTAACATGATATTACTAAAATTACAAGGTTTTTTGGCTAAAAATGACCATACTAATATACTCCAGATATTAATCAATATATTAAATAAAAATTCACAATTAGTTAAGAGCATATTAATGTGTCGATGTGATTTGCAAGAAACTCAGCCGACCCAGTGGGCCGAGTCCTTTTAAGCGTTTATTAGGTGTCGTTTTGGTTTATTCTTTTATAAGTCCATTTTCAGCCCAAGGGCTAGCAAGTCTTGCGGACAATTTTTCTTGATCCAATATTCTTAAGAGAAGCCCAAAGCTTCTGGCCCAAACTAGGCACATGGTGCGTAATACGCTCCTCGTGTATTTTAAGCACCAAATGAAGCTCACTTTTATACTCGCATTTTCCACAGAGAAAGGGCCTAGCCGTAGCTGAGATTTTGTGCTTCCCGTCTAAGGTACTCTGGAATTTTCCTTTGATTTCATTTTATTTTTCTTTTAATAGGTTATGTTATTTGATGTGGATGGATCAAATGATGTTTTTATTAACTGATCTCCTATTTTTCCTTGAATTGTTTTTCTTGATCTGTAAATCTAGGGTTTTGGGTTAAATAGATTTCATCTTTCCATTATTTTGTTCAAAATGAGAAATTTCACCTCTGTGGTTTGTTTTTTTCAATTTCAATACTCGTTTTAGGGTTTAGGAAATTTTACTGGATAATTATTATTATTTTATTTTGTTTGCTGTTGCTGACTTTCAGCTTTTTAGATGTTGACTTTGTAATTTATGTGTGCTACTAGTCAGGTGACCTCCAAAGCTTTTCGGTGCTCAGTTATCGACTTCGTTTGATATGTAAGCTTAGTTTCTTTCTCATGTATTTTCCTTGTTAAATATGTATGTTATATCTTGTTTGATCATGTGCTTGTTAGTGGACTAAGTTTGGCGGTATACCTTGTTTGAGTTGTTTCAAATACATGTTCATGATCACGTGGTGAGTTAAAAACTTTTCGTGTCCTACAAAGTTTTGTTAGACATTCATCTTTATTGGTTTCTTGAACTGTCCTGGCCGTTCTCTGGTATTGGGAAAGATAACAAGCCTGGGGATGAAAGTTTTATGGTGCATTCGTAATTATAGATTTGTGGTTCATGTAGGTGGTGGCATTCTGATGAAATGATTTCATATGATATCAAATTGGAATTAACTAAGCAATTCCTTTATCAATCTAACCAATTGCATAAACAGCGGGCAGTGCATAGGATAAGGAGGGCTCCTGAAAAAACTGGGAAAAAAAAAGGAAAAGAAATGACTTACAGTGCTCAAACATCAAAATAGTTATTTTTATCATCTAATATTGGTAGATATTAAAGTTAATTAATAGGAAATAACAGATATATTTTGAAAATAGTAGTTGTGTATAGTTATTTCAATTTTCTTCTTTTTGGTTGTAGTTGATAGTTGCTTCCCAATTACAATTTTTAATCTGTAAAACAAGTGATGTTATTTTCCCCCCAAATTTCCTTCTGCCATTCAATATCATGCCTATAACTCATTTATTTATTTTTTAAAAATATTTTAGGGCGGACGAGGATCCTGTTGATCAAAAGAAGTATCTTGAAGAGGCTTGCAAGCCTAAGTGTGTGAAACCGTTGCTTGCATACCAGGTTTGTAATAAACCTCTTGTTTTAAGAAATTCAGCAAGGTTACTGAATTTTTTTACCATTCTTTCAATTACATTAGCTTGACAATTGTTGTTAGAATCATAAACTCATGTGGCATTGTTTTTTTTCTTAATTAATGGAATTTTCACTGGGGATTGCTGATTTGCTCTGTTCCTGTTGTCTTACTTTCTCTCTTTTTTTGGATGGTTTATTTCCTGTTTTTACTTTAGTGTGTTTGTGAGGGGTGTGCGTAGCCATTTTTGTCTCTTAATTACTTATTCAAAGAATCACTAGTCCAAATTGTTTCCATAGGATTATATGTGTTTTGAGTTTCTTGTAGAACCCTGTGGTATAATATGTATTTCAGTTTGGCCACTAAAGTTTTATTTATGAATCTTGAAGTGAAACCTAAATTCTATTGCTAACTCCGCTGATGCCAACAAACTTTGCCTCCAATACCATCTTATTTGCGACTTTGCACCTGGACATCATTTCTGCAGCTCCTGAAAAGGCTATGCTCTTTGCAGAAAATTGACATATTCACCCATAAAAAGAAAAAGGAAAATCTGCATTCCAATCTTTTTCTTCTCTATTTTCTTGAAATTTTGTAGCTATCAGGACAAATACTTCATGAAAGGAAGATTAAAGGAAGAAGAATATACCTTGTCAATAGCTGATGAGTCTATGAATTGATTTATCAAAGGAAGATAGAATGCTTTATTGAAGAATATATGTCTTTGAAACCCCAGTATGACCTCATGAAAAAGGTTCAGGCCAGAACTATATAAGTGAATTCTTATGCTTTTTGACCCCATATTGTGGGGTGGATCTCGAATGATATGAAAGATCTCCCTCCTAACTGTACATGTGACTTTCATTGAATACGGTGTTTTCTTCTGTTAAGAGCAAAATCTAGGTACAACATGTATTGCTTCATGAAAATGATTGGTCTTACTAACGTATATATTCACTCTCAAAGGGGTTTGCAAGTGTTTGACTGAACCTTGATCTACTTTTCTTCAAATTTATTAATGGTTCTAAAATGCTCAAATCTTTAATAGGACATCATGTCGTCTTGTGAAAATTCTGTTTCTTGTCCTAAATATTGGGTATTTTTATTGAAGTCGTCCTTCTACTACCATTAGGATTTTGCGGCAGCTTATAATTTAAGTTACTGCTTTCCTACAGGAATGTGTTAAGAGAATTCAAGGTGATGAAAGTGGGCACAAGCATTGCACTGGTCAATATTTTGATTATTGGTCCTGTGTTGATAAATGTGTAAGTATTTTTCTTTGTTTAGCCTCTTTTTATTTTAGACTCATTTTGATTATATTATGTGTTTTGCTCTGATACCAACATGGTGGAATGCAGGTTGCACCAAAGTTATTCACGGAACTGAAATAACTGGGGGATGACAATGTTTTGTTACATTAGCATTCATGTCTTTGCTGTTTTGAGTTCGAAAGCCAGTGATTGTTTGGAAAAAACTAGTTCATGATGTACGGTAATCTTGAAACGCCTGCATCTGCATGGCTAATCTGAGAACTGTTAGAAATTTTTTGTGTTTCTGTGGAAACAGTTTGGTCATTGCCAATAAAATACGATCCTTGAATACATGCATGTTGGCTTACAGGTTGTGGAGTGTGCCATAACAGATTTGACTGCAAATAATTTGAATACAAATTGAGTTGATGTTAACACACAGCATAGACAGTCATTTAGCTGTTTTAAGAAAGAGTTCGACACTCTTTCGATTCAACAATGGATTGCAAAATCCAAACAAAGTCACCAAAGCCAAAGAGAACTCAATCGTAACAGACAGGCTCAGCATATGCAAATTTATTGCTCATCTGGAAGCCATCCTGTTTTAACTCTTTTCTCATTATGTACGTCTTTATGTAATTAGATATTATGTCTTAACAATTTTTTTTATTCACAATGACACGAAGATGTGATATATATGACATAATATTTTTAAAAACATTGAATTATTTAAAAAAATTTAAATCATTTTTTATTTTTATTATGTTTATTAAATTTTTATATTTTTATTTTGAATTAAATAAGGTTTTATAATAAAAGATTAATTAATTTTTATATTTTTATTTTGAATATATAATATTTCTTGATAAATTTTAATATATGATATTAGTGTTACATGTCTTATGATAAGCATGCTTATATAGTACAACAACATAATGTGATGTGAGCATAAAATTAAAGGATAATCAATACGTCAATACAGCACGAGCGTAAAACTAAACAAATAGTTAAGTTAATACGTGAGCATAGGTATGATAATAAGATGAATGACGAAAGTGGCACAGACAAGGGAAAGGAAATCTTTAATTTTAGTAACAAACCAAGGGAAAAATTAACTGAAAAGAACAAACAATATCTTTGCTTGTCAAAGAAAAATTCACAATAAAATATTAGAAGTTTCTTTGACAATCCAACCCCTTTCCAAGTGTGAACGCATTAGATTCCTGATTTTTGTCATATGCCACCTGGCAAGTGAGTGGCTGTCAACATCAGTTTCACAGTGAAAATGCACTTTATAAAGAAGGGCGTGTGCCCTCCACACTCCACCATATCCAATTCACTATTTTCTTAAATCCTCATACACTTTCTTTTTGGCTTCCCTTTCTCTATGCCATGCCAACCTTTGAAGAGATCAGACCCTGCCCAAGCTTCAACAACAATATTGAAGCAGCAGCAACTAATCAAGAGCACGAAGTCGAGGTTATTGATTATGCCAAAAGGGCACAGTGGCTTCGAGCTGCTGTTTTAGGAGCCAATGACGGCTTGCTCTCCACAGCATCATTGATGATGGGAGTTGGAGCTGTGCGTAAAGACTCCAAGACCATGATCCTGACAGGGGTCGCTGGCTTGGTTGCTGGTGCTTGCAGCATGGCCATCGGTGAGTTTGTGTCAGTTTACTCACAATACGACATTGAATTGTCTCAGATGAAGAGAGACAAAATGACAAACAACAATGGTTTGGCTGATCATGACAAGAAAAGTTTGCCTAATCCCTTGCAAGCTGCTGCTGCATCTGCGGTTGCTTTTGCTATTGGGGCTGTCATACCGTTGCTTGGTGCTGCGTTTATAAGGGACTATATGGTGAGGTTAACGGTGGTGCTGGTGGCTGTGACCTTAGCCCTGATGGGGTTTGGTGCGTTAGGAGCACTGCTGGGTGGTGCACCCATGCTCAAGTCATCATTAAGGGTCCTGATGGGAGGATGGCTCGCCATGGGAATAACTTTCGGGCTAACCAAATTGATTGCTCGTTCTGGACTCTAATCATGCTTGTATATTTAATAGCTCTCCCTACATGATCTTTTTCCTTTTGCCTTTCACTTTTATCCTTCATATCTATCCATGGATTCAGCAGCTTCTTTTCTTTCCTTTATATATCAGTTGGATTTATGGAACCATATTCTCCAAACCCAATATCGATTATATGCATCTAGAGGAACAAATTGAGTATTGATGAATTTGCCTGTTTACCTGTCAAAGATCATACTAAAATTAACAGTTAGCAAGCAATGAACACCACCAAAGGTGATCCGTGAATGATTGAAAAACCAAACATATAGTTGGTTTTGTGCTTTCATTCCACCAAATGATAGACACAACTTGATTACAAGGAGAAAAAAACATTTAAGGTGGGCTAATGGAACTTGTTTTCCCAATCTCCTGGCTGCAAACGAGGGGTCCCCTAGTAAAGATCCTCGGATATTGAAAATTTTGTTTGTCACTGGCAGCAATGCAAGCCCCACAGGAATGGCTAATTGATCTGATTCATTATAAATCTATCTACTAATGTTTAATAATGAATAAAAATTCTCTATCCTATTTGGTGTTCGGTTCTATTTTTGTTATAATTTTATATTACGTATTTAATCTTATGTGACATGGTTGAATTAGAATTAGATTAAAACGAACATTGCGCAAATTGATTTGAAGTTTTGTTTGTGTCTTTAACTATTGGAAGAAGAAAAGCAAGCTGTCCCACCCCTTTTTTTATATGGATAGTAATAGTTTATTAAGTGGTGAAGGTTGAATATAGACAAAAAATTAGATGCCATTACTATAATTAATTACCACTACTAGTTTGATTAATTATATATAATTTGATTACTTTTGCCTTGTTTGAATTTTTCAACGTTTTCTAGTATGGATCAACACATGGTATGAGAATTCGATTTACTCCAGTTAGGTAAAGTTTGATTATATTTAAAGTAGAAAGGAAGAACTGGGTTGTTGGCCAGTGGCTTGTTGTCAAAATTTTATATTGAACCAGTTTTTGGCATGAACAACAAGTTTTGTTTTTTCAAGATAATTACTAATATTTTCTGCTTTATATTGTACTATAATAGGATCAATTGGTTTCTTTTTGGATCACTTATCAGGAAATTAAATTCCGGAACTTGAATTTCCTTTGGGTTATTTACTGATTTCTTTTGCAGAAAGCATCTAATGAAAAAGGAATTGTAGAATCAATGAAGGTAAAGAAAGGTTTAAAATAAAGAAAGAAATAGAATAAAGGGAAAAAGAGTATGTGGGGAATCCCAACCTTTTTCAATTATTAGGTCATTGCTTATTCTTCCGGTAAAAGCAAAAGTTCAGAAACATAAATAAAATCAGGATGGAAAAGAACCAGCAAATTCATTATCAGTGTAATTGATGTAACCCAAAGTACAGATCATGGCTAATGAAGGATTATCTTGATAAACTTGAACAAATGAGGAATCCAACATGACCCAATTTCATGTCAAGTTTTGGGGTCGAGAATCGAGAATGAAAATGAAACAGCCTATTAGCCATTAGTTATCACAGAATAAATGGGATTTGATATGGAAAAATTGAGAGACTTCTATTTGTTTGTTGTTATCAGGTAGGTATTACATGTGCCTACTTCTTTTGTAGTATTTGGCATTGATCATCTTTTTAAAGGTGTTTGATGTGAATCGAGTTTAAGTCAAGCATATTTTGATAACATTTTGTTATGAGGCCATTATCATATTTTCAAGAAACTAACTTAATATATGTGCAGTATCTAATTATGAATTTTTCAAGATTTTCTTACTTATTCGATGAGAGAATCTAATCTCTTGTCTATTTTTTTTTGAAACATTTATATAGTATATTTTAAATTACAGATCTTGTTTAAAGAAAGATTACCTTGAAAGATTTAAGCAAATGAAGAATCCAAAACGACCCAATTTCATGTTAAGTTTTTTGTGAAGAATAGAGAATGGAATGAAATAGTATATTAACCATTATCCCATAATCAATATGATTTGATACGATAAAAATCTAGAGATTTCTTTCGTTGTTAATAGGTAAATATTTGATAAGTGATAAAATTTGATTTGACTCAACCCACTTGATAATACACTAAAATATTCTAACTCGAAATTTTAGTGACTCAATATCTGATTTAAACTAATTTTAAATTCAAAATGACTTAACATTTATGATAATACGAATCCGATAATTTAGTAAAATATCATAGTTACAAAATATAAATTATATTAGTAATATAACTAATATGATCAAGAGAGAACTTGATATGCATAATCAATATTTTCAATAAACCTTTTATTACTAATGTGTAGTTAATGTAAAAATTAGAGATAAGTTAATAGGTTTTTTATAATTTACAAAAAACAAATATGTGTTCATATAAACTTATTAATCAAAATTTATTTTCATTAGTTTCTGAAGTCTTAACATTTTCAAAGATTGGGCTGGGCTGAGCCCGTGTCTTGGTCCATGCCCAATTTTAAACGCTGCGTTTTGCAAAAAGAGACAAAAGGCGGTGACCCAAAATACATAATCTCTCGTTAAAGGCAAGGAAGTATAAAAATTATTATTAAACAACAGAATTTGGGATTTTTATATATAAAAAAAAGATGGAAATGCTATGTCCAGTTACAGTGCCTTTAGTTTCCGTTTATTTTATTCAAGCTGCTGCCAGATCAGCCTATCAGAAATTTTGACTTTCCCATTTTAGCCTGATGGAGAGGGAGAGGGAGAGGGAGTGGGAGAGCGAGAGAGAGATGACGAGCGACCGTTCCCGGCGTTTAGATCTACGCCGATTCGTCTCCCTGATCTAATGCCGTCCCTTTCTTTCATTGCTGGGCAATCAGATCTGGAGGTGATTAGAGTTGGTCCAGTACCCTAGGTCCTATTCAATGCCAGACGCTAGATCCGTTACCGATCTTGGGCCCGATCACCGGATCATGGTGCAATTTAACTCTCTCGAGTTAAGATCTGACGCCGATCTGGAAAATCGTACCCTATCGTGACCGGATCTGGCATGGTAATTATCTGAGGGCTTAGTCGGTGCTGGCTCCGTAGTGCCAGATCTTGCAATGTCCGATGTAGATCTGGTCCAGCGGTGCTAGATCGGAGGCAGGAAAAGCAAGAATGACCCCAAAACCATCAGAGATACTCATCTTTCCTTCACCACTTCCAAGGGCATAATGGGAAAGTCAGAAATGTGTATAGCTGACCTGGCGGATGAGTAGATAAAGGTGCCAGGAATAAACGTTGGCTTTTTCCGCCGGTAAAGGAAACGGAGAGTGGAAATAGACATTTTCTTGGAAAAAATAAAATATTGACAAATATCCACATTAATTTCGCTTGTCGTTAGTCAATTAGTTCTATTAATATAGGCCGAACGCACATACATTTCTTCCTTTAATGGCAGCTTCCAACCTCGCTATCGTTCCTTGACGCCTTTACAAAAATTACGCTATCTTTTGTCCAAGGTTTTTTCAACTAACCAAGACCCAACTCCACAGCCACTTCACTACTCGTTCTCGTCGACTAAAAATGAAGTTTCCTCCATGTTTTCTCGCTACTGTTTCTCTTTTGCAGGCAAGAATCTGTTCGTTTATCCTATTTCATGAAGAGAATCTGTTTTCTGAACGTTTTTATTGAATTGAACGGTTTGTTTTTCTGGTTTCGATACCATGTTCATGGAAATGGCATTTCTTGGTTCTCTTTTAAGTGAATTATTTTTGTTGTTATTGTTACAATGCTTAGTTTTGTTGCGAGGAGTTGATAACCTTAGCTTTGCGGGTTCTACTTGCGATTGCAATTTGTCATTGCTGTTTCAGGTTTCTTTGTTTATTAGTAATCTGATTATTGTTGGGTTAGAGGCGGAACTCTGAAGGATTGCCAAACACGGGCAAAATGGAACTGAAACGTTGTGGACTTGCGTTTGACTTTTTGAATATAGGATTTTGCATAAAAATTAGTACCTATTTATGTGTTGAAACTATGACATTCTATATAACGGGTCGAAACGGGTATAGAACCTTATGAGTACTGAGTTTGAAGCTCTTAATGTTCTACTCGGTTTGTGTCAATTAAACTGTTCCTTTTTTAGCAGGTGATTCTATTGTCAGTACTGTGCGCAGAGAAGACTGATTCTGGTGGCCTTTCAGCTTCTTATCTTGCTGCAGGGTAAGGGGTTTTCTGTCTCAAAGCTTAATGTGTGTTAAGTATTACTGGTCTTATCAATAATGTACAAATATGTGTTGGGTATGATTCTCAGTTTTTTACTGCACATTTTTTGTCTGCTGATTTGATTTGCACGTTGATCTAGCCTATCAAGGTCTTGCAACTGCAAAGAGCTGAACTGACTGCCACCTTTTTTTATGCCTTGCTTGTCACAAAGTGTAGTTTTATGCCTCACACTCTTTTGTTTGAATAACAACCCTTGTGGTCCGCTGGTCAGGGAAAGGCATTCGAAAGAATATTGTGCAATGTATGATATATGTGGACAACGCAGTGATGGGAAAGTTCTGAATTGTCCTTATGGTACTCCATCTGTGAAGGTGAGCAACTTCATGCTTGTCATATGGCATTTTTATTGCTATATTTTCTCCTTTTTTTTTCTCTTCAAGTGTGAATTTCTGATACTTGCTGTTTTTCTGTTTTTTGTAATATTTCTTGTAACTTTATTTTATGCTTTTTCAGCCTGATGAGCTGTTTTCTGCCAAAATTCAAAGCTTGTGTCCGTCAATAAGTGGTAATGTTTGTTGCACAGAGGATCAATTTGACACATTGCGGGCACAGGTTCAACAGGTAAGATTTCTGATTTTTATTATCGTTTTGACATGTCTGCACACATTCAAGTTCACAATCAAATGTATACCACAATTAATCAGTGTAAATTTTTTCCACTTACAATTATTATCTTCCCCATGAAGCGATGAGCTGATAAACTATACTTTCTAATCCGGATGTTGCCATCCCAGGGCAAGAGTTTAAGTTTTGCTTTGATATTATCTGCTGTGTTATGTATCTATTAATGCTACTTGTATCCCACTTACTGCAACGTCTGCTATTTGTTGCAGGCAATTCCTTTCCTTGTTGGTTGTCCAGCATGCTTAAGGAACTTCTTAAATCTTTTCTGTGAGCTTTCATGCTCTCCAAATCAAAGTCTCTTCATCAATGTGACTTCTGTTTCAGAGGTCAGGACTGGTTTATGATGGCCATACCTTGCTTTTTGTGTTTAACCTTCCTCCTCATTTCTCTATCTCTCCCATGCTTTAAATCTAATAATTTTCCTCAAGTGGTTGGATTGATTAAAACATTTAAGATATTTCCCACTTTATATGTCCAATCTTGTTTGACTGATTCCCTTTTTTTTTTATTAATATGTTAGGTTAACGGAAACTTGACAGTGGACGGCATCGACTTTTACGTATCTGATGCTTTTGGAGAAGGGCTGTATGACTCCTGTAAGGAGGTAAAGTTTGGGACCATGAATACACGGGCCATTGAATTCATAGGTGCTGGGGCAACAAACTTTAAAGGTGAATTTAAGGTTTATACATGAATGGAATTCTTGTATTGCCTGAACAATTTGCCAAATACTATCTCTGGTTTCTGTTAGCAAAGTATCTTTCCTTTCTTTTTGATTTGATTTGAGTATCTTTCTTTTCTTTGAAACACTGAAATGGACATTGAAAGCCAAAGCGATTAGGATGTAGGGTGAAGTATGTAGAAAGTTAAAAAGAAAATGTTATTTCTTTTGAATGTTTGGAGGAAAAAGCTCTGAAGAAAAAAAGTTTATGGGTTTTCCTCTTCGGGCTTTGCTTTTATTTGTTTTGGGAACTTTTGGGATGAAAGAGAGTAAAGGATGGGTAGGTCTCTTTCATTTCCTGCAGTAATATCAGCATCTTCAACCTGAAGTTAGAATTTTATGTTCAGACCAACTTTTATACTGTGCAAACAATGGATAGTTTTTGAGGTTGCATGACCTGGCCAATGGGTTTCCCAATCTTCTTTCTACCACCTGCTTAAACTCATAAAACTCATGGTTCTGATCATTTCAAAGAATTTGGCTGCTGGAAAGCAGAAAGTGTGCACTTTTTTTTTTTGGCTTATGAAACTAGTTAATTATGAATGAGGTTACTTCCTTCAACATTAAGGCCCTGCCAAATCCCATATAGAATATTTTCTCTCTCCTACTTATGACTTTTCACTTTTTCTCAATACGATGATGCCTTTTGTTAATATGTTGATTTTTTTTCCAGAGTGGTTTGCGTTTATTGGTCAGAAAGCTCCTCCTGGATTTCCTGGTTCACCTTATGCTATTGATTTCAAGTCCAGTGTTCCTGACTTATCGGGAATGGAGCTTATGAATGTTTCTGCTTATTCATGTGGGGACACCTCACTGGGATGCTCTTGTGGTGATTGCCCTTCATCACCTCAATGCTCCAATTCTGAACCTCCTTCACCACCGAAAAAAGATCAATGCTCAATAAGTATTGGGCCTGTTAAGGTTTAAACGATGACCTTTTCTTTAATTAAAGTTATTAGCTTGTATAATTGTCTACGTGACTCAGTGGTAGTGCGTAACACTTAATTTTCTTGGCTGAATCAGTTTGATAATTTCCATTTGAGAAAAATTTAGTGCATATATGTTTTGTATGTGTGGTGATATTGACTGTTACTTGCAGGTAAAATGTATCGAATTTGCATTAGCTATAGCATATATTGTATTGGTTTTTGGACTTCTTGGATGGGCATTGTTTCATCGGCCAAGAGAAAGAAGAGATGTATCTGACAGGGAACCATTGCTGAAGTCCATGGATGAAGGTGAAGTGAATTCTGCTGACATGCAGCATGATGAGAACCTTGCTCTGAAGGTAAATAATGGTTGTTTCTTTACTTATTAGATATTTATACGTGGTTGGTGTGGACATTCTCATAGTATGATGGCGTTTGAGTGCTTTAAAGATCATTAAGATCAATTTTTTTGATCCTAGAGTTGTGATAGGTTCTCCTTCTGGCTGTTGTAGTCAGTGTTCTTGTATTCTTCTCATTCTTTTAATTGATGAAAATTAATAATATGTCAGCTAACTTTGCAGATTGTTCCCCCCTTCACCTTGAACTTCTTCCTCTTTTTCATTTTAATATCTTTATTCCTGTCAGTTACGAGTAGAATTCTGTTTTCACGTTCTCATCTACTTTGAGATTGTAATATGATATTATTTTGTGTTGGCATATCTGATATTTGGCTGTTTCTTGTCACAGCTTAGCTTTATTCCCGTGTAAAATTAATATTCTCTGATATTGACATTATGCAGCAGTTAAAGCTTGCAAACCTTCATTGAGGATCTAACAGTTATCATCTCTCCACAAATCCAATTCCTAATAACTTGGCTGTGGTTTTCTGAATTCTTGTTGCACCTTTAATCCTTGTCTATGATTTTTTGTTTTATCAGGTGCCGGGTAATTTGTAATCATCTCTTTGTAGATTTTATTGGTATTCTTTGGGCTTCTATATTGTCACTCTCAGGGCACTTCTCAGTTCAGTTAACCATATTCACTCTGATTTTGGTTGCATAAAACTCATGTTAGCTCAGTTAATCATGACTTGATGCCTGATCTGTTTGATAACTGGTTGTCTAAGTATCAGAATTCTGTGAGCATTTGGTATTCGTAGAGGAGATGATTGCCATTGTTGAATCATGATGGGTATGTAAATACAGAATTGTAGGGAGATGTCACTGTAGGCTGCAGGAAATTTTCTTTGTTAATGCAAAGATATTGCTTTAGCTTTATAATGTTGGCCTTCTATTTCAACTTTTCCATTTTATGGAAATGATTTTCTAGGTTTTGTTTTCCTTTTATTTGTTTATTTATTCAGCTTGCTGTACGTCCTCTTAAAAAACAACTAAATCACCATTTAGGTAGACTTTTGAGGTTTGGTGTTATGTGTGACTCTTTATTTTGAAATCAGGGACGTGAGGTGGCTCTGCAATTGACAAATGGGGCCCAACTTTCCGTTATTCAAGGATATATGTCGAGATTTTACAGGTAAAAACATCTAGATAATTTGATAATTTATAAGCACACACATATATTATATAAGTAAATATATAACATGTTGCTAAATGGTTTATTATGCTATGTCCAGGAGTTATGGAACATGGGTTACTAGAAATCCTACTCTTGTGCTGTGTTCATCATTGGCAGTTGTTATTGTGCTTTGTTTTGGTCTCATTCGTTTTGAAGTGGAGACTCGGCCAGAGAAGGTATCATATTTCATCTTTATGACTTTTAAGACCATGCTAGAGATTGCTTGTGAGTTACCATCAATGTGTTAGTTCTACCCTTGTTTATTGTTCTTTTCTTCTTCTCTCTTTCTAGTCCAGATTTTTTTTTTTTTTTGTGTGGGGGGTGGGTTTTAGGAGGTATTAGGTATAACAACATTTGTTAGTAATCAGGCCATTTTATTTTTCACTTTCGCTAGCAAAAATTTCTTTGCTGCATTATATCTTTTCTTCTTTTCGTTCTTTGGGCTTCTGTATACTCTCTATATGAAGGCCATCTTAGGCACTTTTCATTTTTCTTCTCAATTTCTTATGTATATCCTAAAACAGAGAAAAAGAAAAACTTTTGGCTGTATTTTCTTCTCCTTTCTAAAGAATTGGACAAAAAGTTGTTTGGAAGTTCTTGTATCTCTTTGGTACCTGACTGCCCTTGGATATGCTGTGAGGATGTGTATTGTCTGTGATCATACTTACTGTTTGCTTTATGCCATTACTCTTTTACATATTGGTCAAGGCTTGACTGATGTAATCATATAGTTGTGGGTAGGCCATGGGAGTAAGGCAGCAGAAGAGAAACAGTTTTTTGACAGTCACCTTGCGCCCTTCTACAGAATTGAACAGGTTCTTTTCATTGTTTTACTTTCTTTATGTGTGAAGTGATCTGTTTTTTCCATAGTCAATCCGCACCCTGCTACCCCCACTCCCCTCTTGGCAAAATGAAGAGAAGAGAAACTCTTTCTTGCCTTCTGTGCTCTATCTGTTCATTTTGAAATTTTATCTAGATTGTTTTAGAAAGTTACAATTAGAATGTATAGGTGACAATAATTGTGACACTTACAGGTTGACTGTCCTAAAATGAATTCAGCATAAACATCATCTTTTTATGTTTGGCTATTAGATGCTTATCAGCTTAATTAATGTCAAAATGAAAACAAAAAAAATCTGAGTGGAGGTGCCTGGAAAGCCAAGCATATAAAAAATCAATGTATATTCTCAGGGATTTTTGTCATCATATAACTATAGAAGCTGTGAGGTAGCTGCTATATAGTTAGTTACTTGCAGATTGAACATCATTACAGAAAGCATAACTTTTAATTTCATTATCTTAACAATTATGTTTAAGCTGATCTAAATAAAATTTTTTTTCAACAATTGGCTTGATTGAGAGGTTTCTCTATGCCAAAATGTTGAAGTTTGAGTGGGAGGATGAATATCTTTTTTCTTGACGACTGACATGAATTCTCTATCTCCCTGTCTGTCTGTCTTTACTGTGTGCCTGTCTCTCTCAATTTAATGGAATTGAGACATGACCTAATTTATATGAAAGCAATGACATTTTTCTTGACACTTTATTTTTCAGCTTATATTAGCAACTTTACCTGATAAAACGCATCGGAAACTACCCAGTATAGTTACAGAGGATAACATCCAATTGCTCTTTGAAATTCAAGAGAAGGTACATTGAGCTTGTTGCTACTTTTCCGAGGTCATTGATAAGTGAAAGCTGATTTGACGTATATCTAACTTGAACTATGTCATCAAGTGTTTTTCCTGGTTGCCCTATCTTTACCAAGTATTCTTTGGTTGTTCTTGTTGCACATGGACAGGTTGATAGAATTCGTGCAAATTATTCTGGTTCGACAGTGTCCCTGACTGATATTTGCTTGAATCCTCTTGGCCAAGCTTGTGCTACTCAGAGTGTTCTACAGGTTTTCTTGCATTTATATTTGCGAGTCTCAGGGTTCAAGATATATGTGATGCTCTTGAAATTAAGCAAATAGATCTGAGTTACCTTTTTCATTTACCAAGCATTAACATTTTTTTTTTTTTTTGTTCCTTGACCCCTATGAATAGTATTTCAAGATGGACCGGGAAAACTATGACTACTATGGAGGAGTTACACATGCTGAGTATTGTTTTCAGGTATATTCTTTTGCTGCTTGACATATTTGTATATATGTGTGGGCATGTGCATGTGTTCTTGTGTTTATGTTTCTATTGTCGTCATGATGTCAATTGGTCTGAGGTTTTTGCCTTGGTTGAGGTAGGCTTAGGCATTGCTTGGGTTAAAATGATAAAAGCTCTTGTCATGATTATGAAGGCTTTTCATTTTGCCCATTGATATAGGACATGCAAGTGGAAAAATAGGAACATTTGAGGCCCACCATAACTAGCCACTCACATATGAAATGTCTGTTATAAGTTCCTTTTTTCATAGTTGATTTTCTTTGAAGGTTAGGAATGCTGATGCTTGTTACTGTTGTGTTATATTTATGATGATTCTCACTGGGGTGTCTAACACGTCTTTGATTTTGTCCCCTGCTCGTGCCCACTTTCAGCATTACACTTCTTCTGACACTTGTTTGAGCGCATTTGAGGCTCCACTTGATCCTAGCACTGCATTGGGAGGATTTTCTGGGAACAATTATTCCGAGGTAAATTTTTAATCTTTTTTCTATCATTTTTGAGTATATACTTATTCTTCAATAATCTTTCAATTTCAGGCTTCTGCATTCGTTGTGACCTACCCAGTTAATAATGCAATTGATGAAGCAGGCAATGGGAATGGGAAGGCTGTGGCTTGGGAAAAAGCTTTTATTCAGTTAGTGAAGGTACAATTCGTTTTTTACATTCTCTTTCTTTTATGTGGATATTCTAGATTCTCTTGATTATTTGTAAATTTAGCATCTGTGCATCAGGTGTGGTAGCATAAAAGATAGTTGTATGCATAAGACAGGAGGAACTGCTAATAATGTTGCAGTCCAAGAAGATTATCTCTTACTTACTCTTGGATCGTTGTATGGACATGACAGGAGGAATTGCTACCAATGGTTCAGTCCAGAAATCTTACTCTTTCGTTTTCATCTGAAAGCTCAATTGAGGAAGAACTGAAAAGAGAGAGCACTGCTGATATTATAACAATTGTCGTTAGTAACTGGAAACTCGCTCTTTTCTCATCAGTCAACTTGTTGAAAATGATTCTAGTTATTTCTAACTTTGTTTATTTTTAGATTTAACATAGGTTTTTTTAATTGCTTTTGCTCTAAATTTAATTTCGTTCCAGGTAAGCTATCTTGTAATGTTTGCGTACATATCTGTTACATTGGGAGATGCACCTCATCTCTCTACATTCTATATATCATCCAAGGTATATTCTTTTTACCTTGCTTTAAATTTTTTTAACTAGTTCTTTATATTTAATTTGATATACCCATCATCTCTGTATGGTTTATTAGCTCCTTCTATGCCACTGCTACTTATATACCTATTTCAATTTTCATTATGATCTCATTGTTTAAATTGATGTTAACATATGGGCAGTTTTTCCAATGTGTTGTGACATATTATGCTTGTTGGTAACAGCGTCTGTACTAAATTCCATTTCTTGATCTGTATCTTCAAATTTGCATGTCGGGTTTTGTGATGCCAATGGAAGACAGGGTGGCTTCGTTCGCTGCTCTCTATGTTGTTAACTCTTGTGGTGAGACTGTTTCAGGTATTATCGGAATATTGGAGAGAGAATCTTTCAGGGTATAAGGAGACGCCTTGATGGTTGGAGCTTGAGACTTTTACTTTCACTTGGAAGTCTCAAGTTCAAATCTTGGGGTGGGGAGAGTAGGGTCCATGGAATGGAGAGAGCTACATCCATTTGTAGCTCAAGCCCATTGGGCTACCATATGTATTAAAAAAAGGCACATACCTTTTTTTGACCTTTCTGTGCCACTTAAATGCTCTGGCTTTCCTAGATTCATGTATGCATTTTATCATGGGCACATGCACCAACAGAGACACAAATATGCTCATACATACCATTGTATATTTCTTGTCTATGTCGTGTTCATGTGACATTGATTTCTTGTTATTTGCTGTCTTCTGTTGAAATTGAATAAATTCCTATGTATTTGGAATTATTATAAGCTTATGTAACTCAGCTTTACATCTAATGTTTTGCAGGTTTTGCTTGGTCTTTCAGGAGTTCTTCTTGTCATGCTTTCTGTTCTTGGATCTGTTGGGGTTTTCAGCGCTTTTGGAGTTAAATCTACATTGATCATAATGGAAGTGATCCCTTTTCTGGTTTTGGCTGTAAGTTCTCAATCCCATGTTTTAATGGTGTTGCTGTGTTAACGTATTCCTATGGGAGGATCTGCATCCTAGAATGATAACAAGTAATCCTGACTCCTGAGTTGTTCTATCCCTGTTCCCCCTCTTCCTGGTTGACAGCTATGTTACCAACTTTACAACTTTGGACTCTCTTACATTCTGGCTTATTAATTTAAAGCAAAGGTTTCCAGTCATGTACATGTGTAGAACTGTTTATTCCTTTATTTGGATCTGGAATATGCTTGAATCTCCACACATTGAGAAACTGAAACTTTTGTTCTTATGATGGCTTCGTTCTGAATTTGCTGGTTCATGATTGAGGGGGCTGGTATGTGCTTCTGCTAATGTACTTAAGAAAACCACAACTATAAGAGGGTATTCCTATAAATACATTCCTTGTCATAGTCGGATATCTGTGTCCTTAGTTTTTATATTTTCGTCCTTAATATGCAGCACAAATTCATTACATGTGAAATTATACAGCCACCCAGACATATTCATTATGATTTTTAGTTCTCAAATTTCCTTTCTTCTTCTTCTTCTTCTTCTTCTTCTTTTAAGGATTTGACAGTGATGATTACTCATTTTTAGTTTGTTTATTTCTTTCATTTAGCTCTCTTCTATTTCTATTCTTTTTAATCAGGTTGGAGTGGATAACATGTGTATACTAGTTCATGCTGTAAAACGGCAACCATTGGAGTTGCCTTTAGAGGAACGAATCAGTAATGCACTGGTTGAAGTTGGTCCATCCATAACGCTAGCTAGTTTGTCTGAGATTCTTGCATTTGCAGTTGGAGGTTTCATTCCTATGCCAGCATGCCGTGTCTTTTCCCTGTTTGCAGGTCTAAGAATTTGCTCCTACGTCCATTGTCTTTAAATTGTCAAATCCTCTCTTCTTCGACCTTAATCTCTCTGCCTCTCTCTTTTTTCTTTTGGTAGCTTTGGCTGTTCTGCTGGACTTCCTTCTACAAGTTACAGCTTTTGTTTCACTGATAGTTTTCGACTGTCTGAGAGCTGAGGATAACAGGGTTGACTGTTTTCCATGCATAAAAGTTCCTTCATCTGCTGCAGAGTCTGGTGAAGGTTGTGTTTATGAATTTATTGTTTTGTTTGCTTTGTATTTGTAGTACAGTGCTAAAAGTTTTATGTGAACATTCTTTCCTCCCTGTAACCTAGCATTTATACTGATCAATCATTTTGATCAATTCAGGCATGAACTCTAGACAGCCTGGACTTTTGGCTAGATATATGCAAGTAAGATATTTGAAATTATAAGCACTGTACCATATATAAGGTGCTATTTATGTTCTTTTTCTTTTGGTGAAAGGATACGTTCTGCTCATTGGTTTAAAGTTGGGTTAATCATGTTCTCTTGATGGATGTTAGCATGAAATTTATTATTGGATGGTCATGGCAATCTTCTATGGCATATTATGTGTGTTTGTATTAACTTAATACAAAATTATGATATTGTAGGAAATACATGCACCCCTTCTTGGATTTTGGGGAGTCAAACTGGTTGTAATTGCTGTCTTTGTTGCTTTTGCTTTGGCAAGCATTGTAAGTTGCTTGTGTTTTTATGTCAACTAATTTTCTCTAATTGATTTTTTCATTATATAAATATTTTTCTACTTGTTTTTTAGGCCCTTTCCACAAGGATTGAGTCTGGTTTGGAGCAACAAATTGTTCTTCCTCGGGACTCATATCTTCAGGTTTAAGCCATCTGGTTGATATTTCCATTTTTTGTTCTGGAATTTTGTATCTTTTTTCTTGTCAATCCTTTCTTACCGTCCAATATATATTTGCATCAGGGATACTTTACCGATATCTCAAAATTTCTCAGAATTGGACCACCATTATATTTTGTTGTTAAGGATTACAACTACAGGTATCAATCTGAATATTATGTCATTCTTCATTTTCTTAGTTTGATACCTAACTTTCCCCCTCTACTAAGTTCCTCTTTAAGTCTGGTATGTTATTTTCAAACTAGTGAAGCTATAATAGTGTATTTGAGAATTGAAGAATGATATTGCCTAAAACAGTGCGCACAATATAGGCATGATTTATCCTTGCTCTGACATGATCTGTATTTTTGGTTTCATTCTCAATCCATTTTGACACATTTATCAAGTTTGACATGGCTATTTAGTCTGATGTTGAATGGGCTTTCCACTCAGCTTGGAATCAAGACATACAAATAAGTTATGCTCCATCAGCCAGTGTGATTCTAACTCTCTTTTGAATGAGGTAATGCATTGGCAAGTAGTTTTAATTGTAATATTAAATGCAAACGTAAAAAAACTTTGGGATGCATGTTTGCTTGTCTATGAAAGTGTCAGTTTGCATCTGAAATGTTGCATATATTATTGTTGAAAGTAGCTCAATTACCTAAGTCTGAAAGTTGCAAGAGGCTTTCTTCTAGTTGATTGACACCTTCTCTTTCTATCTGTCTGTCTTTGTGACTCACTGTCTAAAACAATACAAATTCTCATTCTGCCAGATATCAAGGGCATCATTAGTTCCAGAATCAAGCTACATTGCTAAGCCAGCTGCCTCATGGCTTGATGATTTTCTGGTATGGTTATCACCTGAGGCATTTGGTTGCTGTCGGAAGTTTACAAATGGCACTTACTGTCCACCAGATGATCAAGTTAGTGCTTCACATTTACACACTGGTTTCTTTTATGTTAGCTAAAAGGATGTTGGTGCTGATTTTTAAGTTTTTGCCCCAAGCTTTATAACATTTTGTTATAGGACTCTCCCCCTCCTCTCCGTCCCTGAGATCTAAATGTGTATGAAATGCAATATTTTATTTAATTGTTCTACAATTATATCATGCTTGCATAGCATGATGCCAACATATATTTACAGCTTGTTAAGCTTTTTAGATGATTATCGCTTGATTGCTGATGTAGAAATTACTCTTTCCAGCCACCTTGCTGTTCACCTGAGGGAGGTTCTTGTGGGTTAGGTGGAGTCTGCAAAGACTGTACAACGGTTATGTCCCTGTTCTCTCTCTTCCTTGCTTGTGTCAGTGTGGTCAGGAGTCACATATAAGTTAGAAATATTTTACAGAAAAAACCAAAAAACACCTGCCCTACTCATTCCATACATTTGAGTGGTAATTCAAATTCCAGGTTAATTCCAAATATCAAACTAAAAATGTTGGAAGTACTAACATTTTGTAGTTGGTTCCAGTGCTTCCGCCACTCAGATTTGATCAATGATCGCCCGTCTACAGAGCAATTCAGAGAGAAGCTTCCTTGGTTCCTTAATGCTCTGCCATCCGCTGATTGTGCCAAAGGTGGTCATGGGGCTTACACCAGCAGTGTGGATTTGAATGGTTAGTACATTGGAAATTTTCATCTTTATGTTAAGCATTGTTTTCTGGTGCTTATATGGGTTAAGAAAGGCATGCCTGCTAATAGGCTTAAAGGCGTTTCATGTTTTCCTCTATACATCTGTTAGGTTATGAGAGTGGTGTTATACAAGCGTCAGAGTTTCGTACCTATCACACACCACTTAACAGACAAGTAAGCCAGTGTCTTTAAGTCTACTGATCCCAATATGATTTTGGATTATTTCCTAATATGACTTTAGTGAATCACACTTCACTTGATCCCTTTGTCATTTTCCTCAGGGTGACTATGTTAATGCATTGCGAGCTGCACGGGAGTTCAGCTCAAGAATATCTGATTCATTGAAGGTTTGAATTAACTATGCTCTATTAACCTGCTTCTTAGGCTTCCTTGATGCCTAGATATTCTTTGAAGGTCTCTCATGTCAAGAGGTTGAAATGCATGTTTGCTTTTCACATCAGGGCACAAGCATGTAAATGCTGGTGGCTCAAACACTTTCTTTTTTGTGTTTGACTCATCACTCTCTCTGTTACTTATGCTGGACTGCTGGGTATAGTGTAGTATATTTTATGGTCTCTATTATACTGCTATGAATATTGCTTGGTTGTTAATGTTGAAATGTGATGACATGCTTCTAGGCGAGTTAATTAAATTAGTTTCTTATATTCTGTATGTTTTGCTGAAGTTTCTCTATTTAGGGTGTGAGTCATTCTGACTGGTGGTTCTGTCTTGCTTCATGTTATTACCACTTGAGTGTATAAATTATGGCAAACTGGTAAATTGTCTTCACAGTTGATAAGGTATTGAAATTTGCTAACCTACTTACTGTTGCTTTAAGGTGCATATGTTCAGAAAAAGAAAAGGAGAAAAAAAACCCTCTAGGAAAAACCACTACCTAAGTGACATGACCACTGTTGTTGTTCAAATATCTTCCTCATGCTGCTGGTTATGTGTTTTCCATTTTTCCTATCACTTCTCTGCTTATTTTTTTCCTGACTCCAGTTCTTTTTGTTTGCTGACATTACTTCTCTGGTGCAGATAGATATCTTTCCTTATTCAGTATTCTATATTTTCTTTGAGCAATATCTTGATATTTGGCGGATAGCTTTGATGAATATAGCTATAGCACTAGGTAGGTATTCCAGTATACTTTATTGATTATTCTGCATCCTTTAAGCAAGTTGTATTTCATAGAACAGATTTCCTGCTCTCTCTCTCTCACATGATATCTATGTTTTGTGCTATCGTTTGGAAAGATTGTTTTGACCTGTCTAGAGATGGTTTATAGAAGTATTGTTTTTTAGCAAGTGTGTGAGACTTAAGGCTAAAGAATTTGTACCATCTTTCACAGCAGTCTTCTCTAAAGAGATCTGACCTAATTTTTTTTAAAATTTTTTTATCAATATATGAAGTTTTTGGATATTGATACGCTTTGATTTTATGAAGTTACCATTCTTTTGTTCCTTGTTCTTTTATATTTTGTTTTGTTTTGTTCACGAGGTTGTATCTGCTGACATGCATGCTTCAGATTTTCTTTCAGTGAATCTCTTTGTGAAATTCACTGACTACCTTATCTTAAATTTACAGGTGCTATTTTTATTGTCTGTCTGGTTATAACATCCAGGTTTAAATTCTTTCTCTGGTCCTTTTGTAGCCTTTTTATCTGTTCGCTTAATCACTTCTTCCCCCTTTTTTGTTTGGATCTCTCTAACTTTAGTATGTTTTTCTGGCTTTCTATATGCAGTTTGTGGATTTCTGCCATCATTGTACTGGTACTGGTGATGATTGTTGTAGATCTCATGGTACATCTTTTGCCTTGACCTTTATCTAGAATACTGTGCCTGCTTCTCACTCCTTTTCTTTCTCCACCTTTCTATTAAAAAATTAATAAAAGTTTTGGTAACTTTTGGTGTGTCCTTTTCTCAATTATAGTTTCCACCAAGAGAAAGAAAACTTAGTTTCTCACTAATTTTGCAGGGTTTAATGGCAATTCTGGATATTCAGCTAAATGCAGTCTCAGTCGTGAACCTTGTGATGTCAATAGGGATTGCTGTTGAATTTTGTGTGCATATAGCAAATGCTTTTTTGGTCAGTATTAACCCTGCTGCAATTATTTACACAGTAGAGTCTGGGATGAGTAGATAACTGGATTTGGGTTGCTTTTATCATACATGACTGTGGGAATTTGTGCATTCTTTTTCTCTTTGAAGTTTCTGTAGATTTACGTATGGTATAAAGAAGAGCAAGACTTATACTTTACCTTTCTGCCCTCTGACCCCTCTTTATCATTATTGTGACATTAACCTACAATTAAACACTTCTTCTCCTGGAACATACAGCTGCAATCAGGCAATTATTGAATTGGCCAATTAATTGCACCATCTTTTGTTGTCTTCTAAAATATAAATGTTGGAATTCTATGCTGCTCTTAAACAGGTAAGCAATGGGGATAGGGATCAAAGAATGAAGGAGGCTCTTAGTACCATTGGAGCATCTGTATTCAGGTTGATTGTTCTTTCCATTTCTCAATTTTGGTGTGGTCATTGTTTTTACTTCTTTCCCACCCAACACCTTTTTCTGTAAGATAAGGATCTAGAGATACGAGAAGAGCTTCTCTATTTTATCAGCCGCCTGATTTCTTCATTCTCATTTTTATATTTGGCCAATAGTTCATTTGAAGATATTAGTACGACAAGTTTTCCCTCTCCTTTTTTGCGCCTTTTTTAGTGCTTGGTACAAAGCACCAGTTACTTGGAGTTCACTTGCTGGAAAGAAGTTACTAATGATTTTTATCTTTTGACCTTTTCTTTGGACAGTGGAATCACCCTCACGAAGTTTGTAGGAGTAATTGTGCTTTTCTTCTCAAGATCAGAACTTTTTGTGGTATCTGACCATTCCCTGCTATCATTCAGTTATTTTTTACTGGTTTAGGGAATACATACAGACAGCTTTCTTTGATTTGCAGGTTTATTACTTCCAGATGTACTTAGCATTGGTTCTTGTTGGTTTCTTGCACGGGCTTGTGTTTTTACCAGTAAGTTAACCGCAAACTTCTTATTATCACAAGCTTCTCTGACTCAATTATTTTTGCTGGCCGTGTCAATCCACCAATTTTTAATTGGTGTTTATGTTAAGGCTTTGTTTGGTTGTTACATTTGTTACTTGTTTTTATGCTATAAAGTGAAGCAAATAGTATCAATTGAAATCATTTTCAATTAAAAAAGAGTACATGGCTTAAATATGACACCAAAAGATAATTGTTCCATGAATGATATCCATGAAAATTAAGTTTTTAAAAATGTAAATCCTCTAAGATGTTTGCTTCTGTTTTCAAATGTTCATTTCATAAGTAGTAAAAATACCAACCAAATGCTGATCAATGAACAATCAACCAACTACACTAGCGTCTGAAAGGCTTTACTATGTTGTGGTTGTTCTCAGACTTAAAAAGAAAATTTCATAAAAATGATTTATCAGATGGTGTTGCCTTCCACTGTTTATCCGCTTGTGCTTTGGCTACGAAATGTACTTCTTAGTCAGTAATAATATATATTGGTCAAGGATTATATATATTGCTTACTTGTTTTGCAGGTAGTGCTGAGTATGTTCGGTCCGCCGGCCAGAAATATTTCTTAGATACACCTGAGTTGACGGGGGTGTGAGCAGAGCAACCCTCCTTTCTGCAATTCGGTTAAAGTCTTGCTACTAGTTTCCATCTCCTAACATTAACCGTGAGCACACACACATATGCACGCGCACACACACATGCACGTCAATTGCATTGTATATTTATGTGTTTCTTTATAATTATCAATCTGTAATCTTACAATAGAAATGGATACTTATTTTCGAGGTGAGGATCTTTTACAAATACAGATGTAAAGCTTTGCAATTCTGAACCATGGGGAAGGTGGTGGATTCTTAAAAAATATGTGGATATATTTTAATCATCGAATGATTATTTGTAATAGTTCAATGCCCTGATTCTTGCAAAATGAACCTCGCATTGTCTTAAGGTTTCTATGTTAAATTGATGCATTTGAGCTAGTGTTTAAGCGGGGAGAAAATGCAATTGAGTTTCTATGTGAATATCTTTAATTATCGATAAATAATGTTTTGAGTAATGATGTTTAATGTACATAAAATTTTATTTGATTTAATATAAATAAATAGAAATTTCATTGAACTCAATAAAAAAATTAAAATTTTATTTAAATTTAAATAAAATTTTAATTTTTTAAAATAATTCAGTAACTGTGGGATTCAGCTTGTGCTTGCGCTGCGGCTTTTGGGCTGTTAAACGAGATTTCAAAGGCCTGAAAAACGAAAAGAAAAGAAGAGTGACAGAGACAAAGGATGACAAGGTCAAGCAACTAGGCAGCGATGGTAGTCTCTCTGCGAATCATCCAGCTATCCGAGATGTTGGACTTCCTTAGGGCAAAAAGCCTGCAGTTTCACCCTTTCTTTAGCTATCAGCAGTTGTAAAGGTAGAGAGGGAAGGGACATCAAACCACTCTCTCCCGCCAACAAAAGACAACACCAGAACACTCGACCGTTACATGGGAACGACAAAGCTTACCTTAGGTCTCCTCAAGAACACCAAAAATCCAAAGCTAGCATGGCAACTCTTCAAGCGAATTCAGTCTTCATCCACAGATTCTTCCTTTCTTCCTTCAGTACCCACCATTTCCCGCATCCTTATTCGTTCGAATATGCTCCAAGAAATCGACCATCTTCACCACCTTCTCTTATCCTCACAACCCCAACTAACTCCCCTTTCTTCCCTCATTTCCCTTGTTAAACTTTTAGCTAGATCAGGTTTCTTTGATAGAGCATTTTCCCAATTTCAATCCATCAGAACAAAATTCCCTCAAAACCCACCTTCCGTATGTTTGTATAATGTTCTCTTTGAATGTTGTATTAAAGAAAGACGTTCAGATTATGTGCTTTGGTTGTATAAAGATATGGTCGGTGCCGGTGTTTCTCCACAGACTTATACTTTTAATCTTTTGATTTGTGGGTTATGTGATTTGGGTCATTTGGACGACGCTAGAGAGTTGTTTGATAAAATGTCTGTGAAAGGTTGCGTACCGAACGAGTTTAGTTTTGGCATTTTGGTTCGTGGGTATTGTAGATTCGGGCTTGCTGATAAAGGGGTGGAGCTTTTAGATGACATGAGAAGATTTGAGATTAGGCCAAATAGAGTTGTGTATAATACTTTGATTTCAAGTTTTTGTAAGGAAGGGAAAACTGATGATGCTGAAAAATTGGTAGAAAGAATGAGAGAGGATGGTTTGTTTCCAGATGTTGTGACATTCAATTCTAGGATATCGGCTCTTTGCAGGGCGGGTAAAATTCTTGAAGCATCAAGGATTCTTAGGGATATGCAAATAGATGAAGAGTTGGGGCTACCTCGGCCGAATGTTATAACCTATAATCTAATGCTTGAGGGGTTCTGTAAGCAAGGGATGCTGGAAGAAGCGAAGACCTTGGTTGAGTCTATGGAGAAAAGAGGTGATTTGATGAATTTAGAGAGTTATAATATTTGGTTGTTGGGGTTGCTAAGGAATGCCAAGCTATTAGAGGCTCAATTAGTTCTTAAAGACATGATATATAAGGGTGTAGAACCTAATATTTACTCATATAATGTCGTGATGGATGGACTATGTAAGAATGGGATGCTTTCTGATGCAAGAATGGTGATGGGTTTTATTATAAGCAGTGGTCTGTCTCCCAATACAGTAACTTATAGCACTTTACTGCACGGGTACTGTCGAAAAGGGAGGTTATATGCAGCAAATAGTATTCTACATGAGATGATGAGAAATGGTTGTTTCCCTAATACTTATACTTGCAATATTTTGCTGCATAGCCTATGGAAAGAGGGTAAAATATCAGAGGCAGAAGATTTACTGCAAAAGATGAATGAGAAAGGTTATGGTGTGGATACTGTGACCTGCAATATTGTAATTGATGGTTTGTGTACAAGTGGGAAATTAGAAAAAGCTATGGAAATTGCAAATGAGATGTGGACACATGGAAGTGCTGCTCTAGGTAACCTAGGAAACTCATTTATTGGCCTAGTGGATGATGCTAACTCTAACAAGAAATGTATTCCTGACTTAGTTACCTATTCAATTATAATTAATGCTCTATGCAAGGCTGGAAGGCTTGATGAAGCTAAAAAGAAATTCAAAGAGATGATGGGGAAAAACTTGCAGCCTGATTCAGTTATTTTTGATATTTTCATACATATATTTTGTAAAGAAGGAAAGATCTCATCTGCATTTCGAGTTCTCAAGGACATGGAGAAAGAAGGATGCAACAAGAGCCTACAAACGTATAATTCACTGATACTTGGCTTGGGAAGTAAAAATCAAATATTTGAAATTTATGGACTTGTGGATGAGATGAGAGAAAGAGGGATTACTCCTAATGTTTTCACTTACAATAATATCATTCGGTGTCTCTGCGAAAATGGAAAAATGCAAGACACGACTTCTATCTTGGATGAAATGCTGCAAAAGGGTATAAACCCTAATATTTCTTCTTTCAGGATGTTAATAGAAGCTTTCTGCAAGGCGTGCGATTTTGGAGTAGCACAGGAGTTATTTGAGATTGCTCTTAGTATATGTGGTCACAAGGAAGCCCTTTATAAATTAATGTTCAATGAATTACTTGTTGGGGGACAACTGTCAGAAGCTAAATTGGTCTTTGAAGCTGCACTATATAGATCTTTTCATCTGGGTGGCTTCCTTTACAAGGATCTCATTGAGAAACTTTGTAAAGACAAGAAGTTAGAGGAAGCTAGTGGTATTTTACACAAGATGATTAACAAAGGATACAAATTTGATCCTGCAACATTCATGCCGGTGGTTGATGAATTGGGCAAAAGAGGAAACAAGCATGAGGCTGATGAACTTGCAGAGAAGATGATGGAGATGGCTTCAGATGGTCGGGTGGAGAATAAGATTTATCTAAATGCAAGGGAACCAATCCATAGAAAAGAAATTAAGTTTGGTGGAGATGACTGGCAGACAATAGTGCACAGGTATGGCTGCTATAGCAATGTCTATATGTGTCATTTCTTCACTGGCTTCATTGATCTTTGGTGTGTTTGGTGCTAAACCTAGACAACAGTGAACCTATAGACTATAGTCATTCTTCTTTTAAGTATTAAAATTTATCTTCTAATAGGACATCCATACAATGTCCTGGTTTAATTTTGAGCATGATCTAGCTCTGAAGCAGTCATCAAATTTTTTGCTTTTGTAATTTTTGACCTCTCCTTTAAATTATTATGGTGATAGAATATCCAGCTGCCAATAAAATTGGTGTTGTTAATACTCCAATATTTTGATATATTTTTACTTTTGTAATGGTTTTTGTCTAGTAAGCCATCAGATCCTTTCATGTTTTGCAATCCATCACATTCTGTATATTATTTGGTGTACTTGACATATCTTCTATTGACTATTCTTTCACAGAGACGATGGCAGTGGAATTGCTTTGAAAGCTCTTAAGCGAGTACAGAAAGGCTGGGGTCAGGGAAGTATATCACGTTTGCAGCCCCACAAAAACCAGTTTCTTGATTATTGGGAAGGAGGTGGTTGAATTACCATTGGTTGAAAATTAGTAAGTCCACGAATGACTAACCAGAGGTTTATTTGTCATTCATGGGGATTTGCTAGGCAGTGCACTCATGCAAATTCATTCAATTTAATTTCACTGGCTTTGGGAGTCAGGATTGCACCAGCCTGCAGGCCGATGACGTGGGGTAAGGTTTGATGTACAGATTAGTTCGAGTAAATTCTCTGTGCTTGTGAAATTGTCCTTCACTGCAAAAAATTTTCGGTGGCACCTAATAGCTCCTTCTTTTTGTATATTTGCTCAGTGAAGCATTGTTTTTGGTTCTCGAAATTAGAATTCTTTTTTCCAAGCTCCCCTATCCATTCCATTTGGTATTTTGCAGTACTTCCTGATGCCCTGATGTTCTCTTAGGGAGGCTCAACTTTATTGGTAAATCTCTTGAAGCTTGTTACTCATTCTATGAAAATGTTATTTTTAGCTGGCATATGTTTATATGCAAAATGGAGTTATTTTTGTTGCAATTTTAACATGACCATAAAGACAGAATAAAGAAAACAAAAAGAAGAAAATATTCTCTAATTTTTTTTCTTTTTTAATTTTCTGTCTTTTTGTTGCAGCCTTCAGAGAATGTGTTCATATCAGATTCTAGATTGGGTAACCTCATACTTATTCTTCTTCACCAATGATATGCTAATTTTTGAGGAAGGTTCTTTTTTTTTTGGAGAGAGAGATTTTCTCATCTATTACATTGGATAGAGTTTCATACTACTTTCTCAATGTTATGTGATGAATGGATTAGTGCAGTGCGCTAAAAACCCAGAAGTGAACATGTTATGTGATTAGTGCCTAAAACAGGAATTGAATGTAACCCATGTAGGGATATTGTCAATATGTCAGAAATCTAAGTGTCATCTGAGTTTCGTCGAGGATATCTTTCAACCAGTGGAATATGTTTCCATGAGCACAATCCTTTTCCAGGTTATCAGTTGCCTGTTGGTATGAATATGTTTCCATGAGCAAGATCTTTTTCCAGGTTTTCAGCTAAGGGGCAACTCTAACCTAGCGACCAGATTCCCTTTAGACACAACCTTTTCCACTATAACTGTACCAGGTTTTCCGGGAAAGATTACATTTTAAAACCTTGTAAGACAGGAAGTTTGTCTCTCCCGTTTCAACTGAGGCTAGTAAAGGAAAAGTATGAAGTTACTTTGGAAACTGGTGGATGAACACGTAAAGTAAGTACATTTAATGCAAACCCATGCATACGCACGCATGTTGGATTTCCAGGCTTATAAACACGTAAACATGCTAATTAAGTACATGTAACGAAAATCTATGCATTTATGCATGAGCACACACACGTCA